TCTAGACTCTGATGTTCTAGCAGGTATTCCATTTATGGAAGCGAACGATGTCCTCATCCGTCCTGCCAAAAGACAGGTTATTCTGGGAGGTAACTCGTTATACTCCTACAGTTCTCCGCCCTCCCCAATGGACAGACATGCTGTACGACAAGTGTTACGCGCCCCGTCTTGCTCAACTGTCTGGCCAGGAGAGTACATGGAAGTAGAACTCCCTGAGGAGTTTGGTACAAAGGTGGCGGTGGAACCACATGCGCCAATCAACAATACTAAATCCAACTGGCCTCAACCTTCCATCATATCTAGTATCTCTGGCAAGATCCGCATCCCTAATCTCACAGGAGAACCTCAACTGGTGAAGAAGAATGAACACTTCTGCATTGCCCGTAGTACATTCCTTCCCGACAACTCAGCCTCGGGCGACGCTCCTGTGTCACCCAAAATATCCAAATGTCCAAGAACAGCTCATCACTCTGATCTTGTCAACCTTGATCCTGACANAACCATATGTGGTTAAACAAAATAAAACCAAACTAAAAATCACACCATTTTAAAAGATGATTTAAGCTTAAAATCGACAGTTCTTTTAAATTGAGTGTTGTTTTGTTTGTTTGTTTTGGATTTAACGTTCACCCAACAGCAACTTTCACATGAAGATGTTTGCCCTTGGAGACACAATGCAAAAAGAGAGAAGGGAAGAAAAAAGGAGTGGATCATTGTGTAACAATGTTTGCACTGATGCATTCTGGTTTCTTCGATGTCCCTTAAACAGACGAGACAGAAGATCCTAGTAGTCGCCAACGACTGTGGGACACAGCAATTAAAGGATCGACTGTACCTCCAAATAACAATCTACTTTGTGCGGTTTGTCTGAGTGGTGTTTGTGTTGAACTTCTTGACATTTCATTTTCGGGTTTTTTGACATAACAAATGTAGTCGGTTATTTTCACAAATCTGACTGACATTGTGTTTATGGCACTGTGGTTTACCAAGTGACAAACTGTCAAAAGAGAAGCAGCATAGGTGTTGTTGTTGAAGCGAGATAACCAAATGTGTATGTCATTATATGCATACGAAAATGACATTTTGTCGATAGATTGTCTACCGCTTACACATCATATAAATAATGCAATTCGGTATACATGTAATTATTCGGACCACTGCAACAATTCATGGTAGAGAAAAATATCAAAACTCCGTCGAAACTGTCTGGAGTCAACCTGCTATTCAATGTATTATATTAGATGTCTCTAATCGCGATAGGTGTATATTTAATTAGCTCTATACACCATAAGGTTATAGCCTGGCGACATGATTTATTACCGCTGGTTTACATGACCTACTTACCGTGACCCTGATTGTTAGTACAGCCGCAGCACATACACGCTTTATTTTTGTGAAACATCCATATTGTTTCCGGTATCCTGAATATCAAGAAGATTTTACGACGTGAACGAAAATGTATGCTTTACCACTAATGATATATACTACGTGCTCATAGTTATTTTCTATAATTCGTGAACATGTTAAATACATCAGGATATGTTGGTAAATTCTGACCACAATACAACATAGATTATCAGGGTGCTCAGTACTTATCTGAACTTATCTGAACGTCCTGACATTTGGAGACAGATATCCACTGTATTTCTTCAATTTGTGTTGACTGTCAAAACTAAAAAAAATACTGTAACGTGAGGGTCTCTTTTAATTGATTTCATTTTTAATTGCTTTTTATTTAATTGTTGTTGAGGGTCATGAAATCTTTTTTGTGATGTCGTGGCGACCTACTTCATTTAAATTGGAAAATTATTATGTAACAGTTTGTAAATACCATTTTCTCGAAATTAACAAAAAATCCATGAACGGTGAAAAACATCACGACTCCCAGATAAAAAAGAAGGTAAAGTGATTCGCTTATGTATCGGTGTTTGTACCCTGTCATATCATATTTGGACCTTTCCTAAAATGGGGTATGATTTGGAATCGATGTGTAGGTTTTTATGTATAGGCTTAATCTGGCTGTTGTATTTGACATGTTTATGTCCCAGTTGTGTTATGATCGCAATAATTGTGAATTCTCGTTAAGGCGAGAACGTGAGTTACGGCAATCGTGCTAAAGTTGATGCGTTCGCAAAACGATTTCTCACACGGGTGAGAAATCATGTTTTGAGTAGGAATATTACCCGTTGTCATGAGTACGACCACTGAGTTTGATTTTGGGTGATTTTGGTTTACTTAGGCTTATTCATAAAGAAACTACTGCTGAGACATATGTAGGCTTAACTAATATCTATTCTGGTTAATGGACGGCAATGAAGGTTGATTGATGGAATATTTTGATGGTATTCTTGAAGATGATAAAATAAAGACAACATCTTCCGTTAAATGGATGCTTATTAGTCCAAAATTGTAATAATGCCTTTTATCTGATTGTACAGGATGACTGCCATAGGCTGGTTTATGATTAGTCAACATGTTGATTTTATACCGATTTTGTTCAGATTTGGTATGCAGATGAAATGTGTCAATACGATGATTTTCTGATGCATTATTTGCGACTAGAGGGTTAGTTTAGTTTGTGCCCTTCCATAGCAACTGCTTTAGTAATTTCAGGTTGCGTAAAAAGTTCGTGTCTTATGTTTCTCGAGTTATCTTGGTCATTGAAATCTACTAATTATTGTTGAACTATGTCTTTTGTTAGATGTGGCTTGCATATTATTTTTACATACTGTATATCTCGAGCAAAATGTGGTTTGAAAACGTTATGATTCAAATATATGAAGTGGAATTCAAACAAAATCAATTCTTCTGATTCGAAAAATAAAATAAATGCCATTAAAAGAAGTGGTAGCCGACGTGTTAATTCTCTCACAGTTTAAGTTAACCAGATTGCGTAGGAATATGTTTAAGAAGGTGCGCGCACGGGCATTGTATGTGTGTGTGTGTGTGTGTGTTCGCATGTGTGCTGCACGCGTATGCGTTTCGGGGGTGTAGGAGAAAGTAAGTGGGACAGGCGTGTTTTTTAAAACAAAAATACGACGTAATCGGCTAACAATATATTTTGTTTCGTTGTCTAATTGAATAAGTGAAGATTTTTGAAGCATTCTGCTGCGTATTTCAAAAGTCGATGAATAGACATTTTGAAATGTGTTGACGCTATGGTGAAAGCCTCCGCTCATTTCACCGTCAAAGTCACAAAGGCAGTTACAGCCATGGCAAACGCAGTTCTTCCCCTTTACTCGTCCGAATAAAAATAGTACTTATTTATTAGTTGTATTTTTCGAAATCAGAGATGAATATTATCATAGTTCCTGTATATTGATATACAATGGAAATCATCATACTGACTCCGTTATCTATAAATCTACAAATGTTTGTGATTTAAGGTGTAACATAACACTCGTCAGACGTCCATATATGATGTGTTCAAATGAACTGTTTTCTAGATTTTTATCGTTTAAGGGGAGATAATCCAAGCGTCGTTACAATACTATTTTCGTCGACTTTCTGTCGATGGCGACTTTCCTTTATTTCGATGAAACCATTCTTTCAAGAATGAACTACATATTATTGGTACTTGGGGAATTCTGAATTTTTTATCAACATGTAGTAATCCATCAAACCTGCGGTACTTTCACATAGAACATCGAATAGAAATGAACAAATAGAGACAGTCTTCGAGTATGTGAACTTAAATGATAATACATATAAACTAAAGTGTTTGTTTACCCTTGCATTTCTTTATGATTATATAACGCGATGACGTCGCGTCGGTCGTTTGAAGTTAACACAGAAGGAAGTTTGATATACTTAGACATTCATGTAAGATAAAAGCATTTTCAAACGTACAATGGAAGAATTTGAAAAGTACTAATAGAAAACATAAAAGCAACATGACCAATAAGGGAGAATAAAATACAAGGAAATACTTCATGATTGCAACAGTTATAAATTTAGATACATTGTACAGAACAAAATCAAATCAAAATAGATATTTTTCTGTAACAGGTCCCGACCTTCACTAGCTAAGGGGCCACAGAAACACACACGGGTGTATCTAGTTCCGACCAGGATATGATAGAATCCATCAGTACATACCTCATCAATGTTTTCAATATTCAAGTGTGCGAACTGGAAAATACTTCATCATCGACACTTAATAAGATCATTCTGTTATTTCCTCGTTGGGAAAAAATATACACCAGGGTATGTTTCTGTGGCCTGTTTGTCTGTAAATACGTACCTATTACAAAATGATTTCATTTATCTAGATGCTTATTTTTCAAAGTTAAAGGCACGTACGCCGGAAATAACACACGTCTATGAGTGTCATTATTAACATTGACTGTGCATTTTACCTTTCACTTTGAGTTCAAAATCAAGCACACGATCTTACCCATGGAACTGTCCAACGAATGAAGACTTCTTCATATTACTACGTAACTTTCTGTTCCTCCCCGTTCTATCAGGAGACCGATATTAGGGAGTTGGGAAAGGTATTGGCTGGTTTCAAAGGCCCTATAACAACGGATGATAATTTGTGAACCGCTTTGAGACAACCTACGAACTAGGTTGTGATAAAGCGGTATATGAGAACCTCGAATTATTAGATCAATGGATCACCTTCGTGTATTGTCAGAATGTGTGCTGTAGTCCTTCCAAATAATCTATGCACGAGTAATCTACATTAAGTTCATTATCATGGTGTTCAAAATAATCGTTAGAACTATTATTTTAATTTTATTCTTAACGGCCCATCAACACAAAAGAGGTCATTAGGACCAATAAAAGTAGACAAAACATGTTAAAGGAAAACCATCAAACGAACGAAAAGGTAAAAGACAAACGTCAATTTGAATACATTGTAAAAGTTGCTATGATTTAGTTTTATCTTTCTGAAGAAACCGAAACATTTTGATAGTACAGAATTGTAGAGATACCGACTTTTTCGAAAAATGTTTTGAGATCTGTTATATTATCATAAATAATTTTCTCTTGTTGGCTGTAGGTCAATGCTATTTAATAACAAGTGTTTCACTGTAAATGGTTCGTTACATGCTATGCTTTGAGGCTGGTCTTCGTTTTCCAATAAATAAGAATGGGTTATGTAGGAATGACCAATTCGGAGACGGGTAATATAAGGACAACCTCGTATTGGCGGTTTCCTCTATAGCTTGGATACCATTCACCGATTTTTGGTTTGACACAGTGTTATTTATTGTCTACGCATTGATTCCAAATATTTTGCCACTTTGATTTTACAAAATTTGTCATTAACGGTTTAAAATCTTTAAAATGAAGTTTAATATCAACAAGTGGTAGCAATAAAACCGCTTTGGCGGCGCGATCTGCCTTTTCATTACCTGGTATTCCCACATGTCCGGGAACCAAGCATAATGTAATGTGACATTTTGAGGTAATACTATGTGATAGTGTTATCAATTTCCTAATTGAGATATTCTTTAAAGTTTTGTTGCGAATGCTCTGTAGAACAGAAAAAGAATCAGAATAGAATATTGACTTCGGTACACCAGTTGATTGAATGTGTTCAAGGGCCAGATAGATAGCGTGGGATTTTGCAGAAAATATTGATGCATCATTTGGTAACCGGTATCCAAAAGCGGCATCTGTTGCAACTATGGCTTCGGTGACTTTATGATCGCCTTTCGAACCATCAGGATAAAATGGTTTAAAGTCTTTATATTTCAACTGCAATTTCGAAAAAGATAAAACGAAAGGCATAAGTTTCAGTGTCAGATTTTACTGTTTCATGTGGTGTAAAGTCAACCTCGGGCGAAGTCTAAAGCCATTGAGGAACATCAGTTGTTCCAAATGATTGAATTGCATAAACATTTATTATGGCGATTTAATGTGAATACTAAAGGTCGGAATACACTTTGGAATAAAGATTCATAATTTTGATTGAATACGAGGTGAATAGGATTGATTTGAAGGATTTGATTTTAATTGAATTGTATACTGCAATGACAGTTTCTTTCGACGATTTTCAATTTAAGGTGATAGTTCGTTTGCTTCCACGTAGAGACTAGCAACTGGCGTGGTTTTGAATGCAAGTGGAAGTCTAAGACCCTTGTGATGTACGGTATCCAACAATTTATGGTACGACTCTCTTGCGGATCCGTAAACAATGGATCTATAAGTGCTCTATAGATTCTTAGCAATTCTTTCTTTTCAGCACCCCAGTCAGTATGGGAGATTACCTTTAAAAGGTTAAGTGCCTTAATGCATTTAGCCTTAAGGTACTTGATATGAGGAGGGAACGATATTTTTTTATCAAATATAACGCCTATGAATTTAGTCTGTTCTACTACAGGAATAGGTTGGCCGTTAAGGGTGAGTTTTGGATCGTCATTGGTTTTACGTAATCGTTAGAACAAAGATATTATTTCCTACTACATGATTTTTATTTAGATATATCAAAGGGTGTTACTTTATACAAACACAACGTCTGTGAAACCTACAACATTAAGTTACCTGATACCATCACCTACATTCTGGATTGCGGTTAGCATACAGATAATTGTTCTGATATCAGCGTCTAGTATCTGACTTATCCATACGTAGATTTAAGATTTGCTTATAACAACAAGTCTCTTCTAAAATGTGTGTCGGATTCAGATACGGTTCATATGCGTAAAATCACTCCCGGATCTCCAACTGTGAAAAGTTTACCCTTGGGTTCAGCGAAAGTCTGGTACACGTGTGGGACGACCGGATATCCGGTAGGGAGGCTAATTCTGAAGTTCTGGATCAGCTGTCAAGCACATAAAACAATCATGCATTAAAATTCATTTTCAACTACAACGATGTACAGTGATATATGGATACTATCAACACTAGAAAGTTCTTCATGCTAGTTGTCAGTCCCTTGCCGCGATCTTTATCTAGAACATGACAAAGATTTTGGTTTTAGTTTATTTGTGTTTTACGTCCTATTAACAGCTATGGTCGTTTAAGGACGTGCCATGTTTGGTTTTTGGTGGTGGAGGAAAGCCGGAGTTCCCGAAAAACCCAACCGAGCTACGGCCAGTACCTGGCGACTGCCCCACGTACGTCTCGAACCCGCGACCCAGTGGTGGAGGGCTTGTGGTACCAGAATGGCAGACGCCTTAACCAATTGGCTACCGCAGCCCCACATGACAAAGAATACCTTGATAAAAGAAAAGTTAAAGATACGAAATTCGAAATCTTCACATTTATCACACGGCTTATTTGTAGGGATATGACAAAGAATACCTACAAATAAGCCGTGTGATAAATTTGAAGATTTCGTATTAAAGCTTTCTTTTATAGAGAGTAACATCTTAGCTTTGCCTACATGTACCAACGATGATTGCATGTCACTGTTAATTTGGTATGCATGTGGTTGCTCCAAATTTCTTGTGGATTATAATGGTCGAATTGTATCAAGTTGATTAATGTGCCCTATAGATGCAGTGTCACTACCGTAGCGCTTACTTAGTTGAGTACGTGACTTAAATTCGATTTGGCGTCGATGAAAAAGAAACAAATACAAAACATGGCGGTTGTCAGTTAAGTCGAAGATGCTTACCCTATCGGAGCATTTGGGCTTATTCACCTTCTACATTTTAAGGATATCTACGTAAATCTGTACTTTGTTCATATTTTCTATATTTTTTCATCGAGTACGAGTTACGGTTTTGTTTATACAATTTTGCCTCTGACTGAACAAAACATATAACCGTTTCACCACTATTTGACATGTTAGTAAAAGGTGAAATTAAATAAAAAATAATACTTGTGTAGTTATTCATTTAAAGAGGTTCCAAATGACGTATATATTTAAAATCTGGGCGGATGTACGGACGGACGTCAGGTATGTGTCCTGCTATTTAAATCTGGTTACGCGAATGTGTATTAGAAACAGTAACATTAAGGTGTGACGTATAAAACTGAATGAGTAAAAATGTAGCAGCAACATTTGAAATACGAATTCCTTATAAGCCTCTTGCCAAATGAAGTAAATGTATCCCCGTCTAGGAACAAGCTTATAAGGTTTGGTCGTTTCCATTGAAGTTCAGAAACCATTACCGCTTTCCCTTTTTTTAACAATAATCACCTTTGCGACACCAATTTGCATTTCCCTCTCTGCAAAACGCTTTCCAACACAGTTTCTGTTCCCATGACCAAATGGTAAATTGGCGAAAGCTTTGACAACCTGAGATGTTGTTGTGTTCGAGCGAAGCCACCGCTCTGGCATGAACTGTTCTGGGTCTTCAAAGTACCGATTGTCCTTTACCATTAAGGAATTGCCTACCAGGACATATGTCTGTGGACACAATCACACTTTATCTTTAATAAACCACAATGATGTATATAAAGAAAATGACAAAATGAAAATGAGAAAATGTTATTATCTCGGGTGATATTTTTGCTTACCCTAAAATTCATATAATGTTTAGTATGGCAAAGTTTGTAGCTAACACAGACGGCAAAGAATTATTTATTACTAACTTCAAGAACACCAAGTGAAGAACATTTTCTGGTATTGTTAAAGGTTCCACAACCATTGACACAGGCCTGATTAAATATTAAACAAAAAAGATATAAAGCTTCTCATTTTCCTAGGGACATGGTATCCTCCTATGACCATATCTGATGACAAGGTCCTCAGTACTCCCCCAGAGGATGGATAGTGAAGTCTACAATATGTCTCAAATATATTACATTTTTTTTTTACAATTAATGGCTTATGTATTAAGCAGTTTTGTGTTTTGTAAAATATCTGTGTTTTATGTTGATGTCGTCGGCGTTGAATACGAACGATCTTCGTTAAAGAAATAGTTCTAACTTGCTGGAATTATAGAATATCTTTTTCGAAATTTCGACTTTGTAATTAAAAGTTTCGAGATATCACCTACGATACACAATATGCTGAGAAAACAACTTTGAATGCCCTAATACTGATAGTTCCCTCTATTTCGAGTTTCATTTATAAGTCGAAATTTCAAGTTACTAAATCAAGAACGAGTTTATGTTTTTGGACGTAGCCCTAATACCATTACGTAAGCATGTGCTTTAGAGAACAATATCTGTAGAATTATTCTAATTTTAATTAGGGCTTTACTTTATACTGTTCAATTTATTTTATTGTATACCGTGGAAAACAGTATGATGTCTGTTTTATAATCTACGTAACAGGAGAGGCAATCGAAGAATCTCCTATGTAAAAGTCACTGTTGCATCATAAATACCTCATAGACTCTTTGATGCAGGCATTCAGATAGGACAGTGACGACAGAACTCTGTTGGTGAGGGGCTGCCCCGAGGAGAGACCGGCGGCTTGGAGCTCTTCATACAACTTTTCCTGTTTGTCTGGGTGGATGGAAGGATTCTGTAGAACTAGACTCATAGTCTTCGCTGCCTGTAAATAAAAAAATATTGAAAATGTGGCAAATATTAAATGTAAGCAAATTACAAGTTATTTTCCTCGTACGTCCAATTTTTGCAAAAATAGTGGTACAGAAAAGCTGTAGCATACATTTCCGCGGCAAATTATTCTGAAAATTAACAAAATATCGTGAATTTTCACTTAGAAATTAAATGTACCTTCAACCTTCTTTACCATCAATATACGGTAATCGCTGTAAGCAGCTGTCACAAATTGAACACATATGCAATACGGATTCAAATATACAAAATATTTTGATAACTTTAATTAAAGTAACATAAAGTTAGGTTTTAGATAAACACTCATATGTGTATATTTCCTTGTGTACTTATAAATGATTACACACGAAGTTATCCATGTTTGTAAAACCGCGAATATTGGGAACCGTGTTTAATATTTGTGTGTGTTTGTTTAACGTCCTATTAATAGCTAAGGTCATTTAAGGACGTGCCTCCATGCGTGTAGTTTATGCGTGATTGCGTGTGTATATGCAGGAGACAGGGTATGTTGGTGTACTTGCCTCCTTGTGATAGAGCGGATCTGATGCCGACTTTATAGTGCTATCTCACTGAAATACCATGCCGAAGGCACCCAGCACAGTATTTCGTCCGGTCACATTATATAGACAACAAGTGAACCAGTTGTTGCAATTCTCCTTAATGCCGTAATGCTGAACGTTTAGTAGGGAATAACAGCTATCATTTTTAAGGACTTTGATATGTCCCGGCCTAGAGAAAAGCCGGAGTTGCCGGAGAAAAACCACCGACCAGCGGCGAGTACCTGTCGAAAGCTCCACATATGCATAGAACCCGCGACCCAGTGGTGTACAGAACCACGTCTATGTGAATAATTGCCATACCAGACTGTTTAACGGTTGCAGTGGTACTACATAAGTCTTTGTCTGTGACTGAGGTCATAAGAAAACTTCCACGCTGTGAAAGTATACTGAAACTATATAGCTAAAATAATGTCAAGAAAGATACACTAAGACTCACAGCATCTACGCCTCCTATAAACATGTCGGTAACCGTTGTCGTGACGGTTCCTTCGTCAAGGCGTTTGTCCTGAAGTAGAGTGAATACCATGTTGGAGTCCTTCGCCATGTGGGTCTCCAGCAATCCCGCCTCCTCTAGGTGATGATACTCATCAATAAGCTCGGTGACGTGTTCCTTACATAGACTACGACAAAATAGAAAGTACATGAACTTAACACAAATACGCGTAAAACGTAATTGGTCTCACTAACATTTCTTTATTATAAATTGGTGTTTTGAAACTGTCAGAATTATGGAATTTCCACTGTTAAAGTAAATGAGTTACCGAAATGAACAAATTGCTTATTAATCTTCTATATATTACAATAACAGGGTAAAAGATAACTGATTTTTTGTGTACGTATCTGTTAACTTTGCATTTGACAGCATCTTCAGAACAGAGCAGATTTCAACCCAATGTCTGTGCTAGCATTTACATAACATGTGGAACACCATTAAAACCAATACTGCCTGCTACTTCGATGGTTAATCGATGTCAACATAAACAGCATCAAGGCAACGTGGCTTCTCAGGTAAGATGCCCGCACTGCACAGGTTGAAAAAGACGATAACGGGTAAACATATATTCCGTCTTTGCGTATTGCAGAGTTATCTTCTCTTGAGCGCAGGGATTGATTGTTACGTCATTGGTTTGTGTGAGAAAATTACGTCGTTTTCTCGAAAAATGATGACGTTACTCTCACAAACAAATGACGTCACAATCAATACCTGGTCTCAAGAGAAGATAACTCTGCAATACGCAAAGACGGAATATGTGTGAGTAAATTAATGTTTCGGTACATCGTCTAACTATTGAAGTTGTTTATGTACTGAAAGTTTAAACTGATGTGCAAAACGACCACAGTATATGTACAGAATTCAAAGATAATATGTTAAACAAGGGAATAAGTAGAACATTTAAAATGAATGTTTATCGATGAGAGTAAAGTAAGAAATCAAACATGATCTTTTTTTTTCAATGACAATTCATCATGTATATTAGTCAAAATAACCATTGTATTTACTTTCTTAAACCAAGAAAAGTTCGTTCAAATTTCCTGTAAAATGGTGTCTTCAGCTTTAGGTATTTGGATGGCCGCATTAAGGCCTTGAGGTCCTTGTTAATAGCTTCCACGAATATGTCAAGCCCATAAATGATAGTGTCAAACGTATGACCCCCGTCAAGGCACTCAAGACGCTTGTTGAAACAGAGCATGCCGATACCTGTCCCAAAAGATAGAAGTAAAGAATGATCAATGTGTAAAGGAAATGTGATACTCACAGACAAGAAGAGTAAAGAAGATATTTACCTTGCAGTACGAGTATATAATATAACACACTTACAATACCACTATGGCAGCGAAACTCGTCATGATGTCTCCTTCCAAATTCAGGAAAACATGTTAGCCGACAACGCCACAACAGTGAGACAAACATTAGCGTTCCATATAAGGTATCAAGGACAGTTATAATTGATTTCAGACGATTCATGATTATAAAATGGCATGTTATTATTTGTTTTGATTGTGATGTATGTACAGCAGCGTCCAATTGGGTCGCATTTAGCTGATATCCACCGACATTGTCTACCGTCAGCGTTAAAGGCAAACTATACATCAACATGTCTCGGGTGGAAGAACATGTTATCAATGTATATATAGAGCAGGATTTCAAAGGTAACAATATCAGACTGTCATAATGATATATATGAAGCGTACTTTCAGTAGTGAAACGGTATAATGACTGTAGTACGTCGTCCATGAACAAAGATTGTCGGAGCTTGTGCACATAGTCGTCTGCTACGATACAAAGTTTTGGTAGGTATGGCTCGAGACTGGTCGGCCGGTTTGTCAATTTCTGTGTAGGCTTCCGAACACGAGCCCAGTTTTCGCCGTTCCTAAAATAGAGAAAACTGTTAATTAAGGATTGAAAATCTTCATTCCAGAATGTATACTATACAATGGTATGCAACAATATTTCATTTAAACATATTCCTCTTGGAGAAATTGTAAAGACCGGTGTTGCATACCATCATGTCTTTTTTAAATTACGCATTCAAATCTTTATGTTCACGTTGAAAACAAAGACATTTTCTTTTAATATGTCTTAATAGTTTCTCTTTGTTAATGCTACATTGTACTTGAAACAATGGTTTGAAAACGGTAATCACAATAACAGAAGAGGGAAAAGCACGGTCAGACAGGGATACGAAACCGGGCTTCTCCGAACTGTAGAGGTCGATCTACACATTGAGCTACATGTACCTTGTCGCCGCCGATCGACAAAGTTAAGTTTCGCTACACCAAGTCTAGAAGTCAAAACATTTGGTGAAGCCAGAGTCATTGATTAAAATTTCATACTTACAGTAAAAAGAGGCCTTGCTGTTCTCCCGTTCTTTCGTAAAATGTCTTAAACATTTGAAGACTGAACCTCTCTGGGAATTTTGGACTATCGGCCAGTGCCTGTTGACAGAGATTGGGCGAGAAAATGCACACACAGTAGTCACCACCCATACGGAACTTCGAGATGTCTCCGTACCTCTCCCGGAACGTCCGCAACAGGCTTTCTATATCCCGTGTACCGACGTCAGCTTATACAAACAAAAGATATGAAATAACAAATGAATAACCTTGCTTTTGTCTTTTATATGGTAAAAGTATGGCTGATAGTCCTAGGATTATTCATTAAGAGGCATCCGAGAAATGGATGGAGAACCGTGAGATTTCATTATTTTCTCATCAAGAATAAGATACTATAACGTTGTAGCATAATTTACGTGAACGGCAAACCTCATGCGCGTATCCTAAGGGGTCTACATTTTAAACAACGATAAAACGTCTTAAATGATGTAACTTCTAAGCGACTAGTTAAATCCAATATCACTTCAGGTCGGGGAATTGTAAATACTTGTTCCCAAACGGCATGTGGTAAGTTATCATGTTTAATTAACCAGAGTTTGTTGATTTTTACCAAGTGTATTCTATTTTTTGAAGGAAAAGAAAAAACAAATTAGAGTGAGATAACCATGATAATTAACTATCACGGGTTTGGGGACCTTTTTCTCCGATACCATTCAGAAAATATATCTAGAAACAATATGATTCTCTTCGGAATGTATTCTTGCCACCGATCGGGGAACTAGTTGGCATGCACTATGACGTCACAATAGAAGATGACGTCGCAAGTCTTTGTTATTTGACGTCATAATCAGAAGATTGACCGATGAAATCACGTCCGGGGTGTTGTGAACAAGTGGTTTTTAAAACAGTTTACCAACTCATAAGAGGTTTATCCAATGATTTTGGAGTTGGAAACCTTATGTGGTTGTGGGAGAAAAGAATAAGCGAGGAAGGTTATGAATTTTGTCCCCTTTCCAAAACAAACCAAAGTCCTAATTACGACTTGACGTTTAGCTTGAAAAGATAGCGAAAACAGTTGGTTCATTTGCTGTCAGGAGATTGTGAATAATAATAATGATAATAATAATTCGAGGTTCTTATATACCTCTTTATCCCAACCATTTTCGTAGGTCGTCTCGAATAGGGCCTTTGCAACCAGCCAATACCTTTCTCAACTCCCTGGGGAGCATACAGCCGGAGCTGCCATTTCGGCGCTAACAGCTAGCATTCAACAATTCTAGCACTGCCCAACCACGTACTCATTTACAGCTGATTAGACTGGAACAAGTAGAGTAAAGTATCTTGCTCATAGATACAACACAGTGCCGGGCCGTGACTCGAACCTGCAACCCTTCGGTCACGAGCCCGGAGTCCTACCACCAGACTTCGATGTCTTCTTTGAATAGTTGGAATACTGTGCATGGTCCCATCGGCATGGTATTTCAGAAAGGAAGCACTGTAGGTCTGCATCAAATCTGAGCTGTCACATGAAGGCAAATTAAACAAGAGGCCCAAGAGGGCCTGTATCGCTCACCTGAATATTAAAGCAGTCATAGCAAAATATTCTCATTAAATATTATATTGCACTAAAAATATTTCCCTCGCAAACTTTGTTGGTTCCATCTGTTGAAACTACCAGCAAGATATTATTGTAAGATTCTATGCTTTTTGATTCTTCTTCAGAAGTTGCTTGACATATTTTTCCCTGTGATCTTGTAAGTAGGTCAATGTCATTTTCCTTCGCAAATTGGTTAGCTCTATTCCAAAAAGCTACCAGCCAAATCTTATGAATCCATTCCTTTTAGTTCTCAAGAACAAATCCATTAAAATGTTGTTGACTTCTGTGACCTCTAAATTAGGTTGAGGTCATTTTCATTTGCAAACTTTGGTGAGATCTATCCCGGGAAGTCACCAGCCAATTATTATAATTGTATGCCTTTTAATTCTTCAGAAGAAGCTGTTTGAACTGTTTGACATATTTGACCCCTGTGACCTTGAAAGTAGGTCAAGGTCATTTTCATTCGCAAACTTTGTTTGGCTCTTTCCCAGAAAGCCACCTGCCAAATATTAAGATTTTATAACTACAAGTTCTTCAGAAGAAGTCGTTTGAAGTGTCTGATATATTTGACTCCTGTGACCTTAAAAGAAGGTCAAGGTCATTTTCATTCTCAAACTTTGTCGGGCTCTATCCAAGGAAGCCATCAATCAAAAATAAAGATTCTATACCTTTCAGTTCTTCAGAAGAGGTCATTTGAAGCTTTTGACATATATGACCCCTGCGACATTGAAAGTAGGTCAAACTAGTTTTCATTCTCAAACTGTGTTGGGCTCTATCCCAGGAAGCCACCAGCCAAATATAAAGATTATATACCTTTCAGTTCTTCAGAAGAAGTCATTTGAAGCTTTTGACATATATGACCCCTGCGACATTGAAAGTAGGTCAAACTAGTTTTCATTCTCAAACTGTGTTGGGCTCTATCCCAGGAAGCCACCAGCCAAATATAAAGATTATATACCTTTCAGTTATTCAGAAGAAGTCGTTTGAATTGTTTGACACATTTGACACCTGTGACCTTGAAAGAAGGTCAAGGTAATTTTAATTCTCAAACTTTATTGGGCTCCATCCAAGGAAGCCATCAGCCTAATATGAAGATTCTATACCTTTTAATTCTTCAGAAGAAGTCGTTTGAAATTTTTGACATATTTGACCCCTGTGACCTTGAAATTAGGTCAAGGTCATTTTCATTCGCAAACTTTGTTTGGCTCTTTCCCAGAAAGCCACCTGCCAAATATTAAGATTTTATAACTACAAGTTCTTCAGAAGAAGTCGTTTGGAGTGTCTGATATATTTGACTCCTGTGGCCTTAAAAGAAGGTCAAGGTCATTTTCATTCTCAAACTTTGTCGGGCTCTATCCAAGGAAGCCATCAATCAAAAATAAAGATTTTATACCTTTCAGTTCTTCAGAAGAAGTCGTTTGAAGTGTCTGAGATATTTGACTCCTGTGACCTTAAAAGAAGGTCAAGGTCGTTTTCATTCTCAAACTTTGTTGGGCCCTGTCCAAGGAAGCCATCAATCAAAAATAAAGATTTTATACCTTTCAGTTCTTCAGAAGAAGTCGTTTGAAGTGTCTGAGATATTTGACTCCTGTGACCTTAAAAGAAGGTCAAGGTCATTTTCATTCTCAAACTTTGTCGGGCTCTATCCAAGGAAGCCATCAATCAAAAATAAAGATTCTATACCTTTCAGTTCTTCAGAAGAGGTCATTTGAAGCTTTTGACATATATGACCCCTGTGACATTGAAAGTAGGTCAAACTAGTTTTCATTCTCAAACTGTGTTGGGCTCTATCCCAGTAAGCCACCAGCCAAATATAAAGATTATATACCTTTCAGTTCTTCAGAAGAAGTCGTTTGAAGTGTTTGACACATTTGACCCCTGTGACCTTGAAAGTAGGTCAAGGTCATTTTCATTCTCAAACTTTGTTGGGCTCTATCCCAGGAAGCCATCAGCCAAATATGAAGATTCTATACCTTTTAGTTCTTTAGAAGAAGTCGTTTGAAGTTTTTGACATATTTGACCCCTGTGACCTTGAAAACAGGTCAAGGTCAATTTCGTTCTCAAAGTTTGTCGGGCTCCTACCAACGAAGCTTTCAGCCAAATATCATGACTCTAGGCCTGTCCGTTCTTCAGAAGAAGTTGTTTAAAGGAGAAGTTGACGGACGAGGACGGACGGACGGACGGACGAACGGACGGACGGACGGACGGACGGACGGACAGACGGACGACGGACGGACGACGGACGCCGCGCCACGGCATAAGCTCACTTGGCACTGTCATTCAGGTGAGCTAAAAAGTATACCAAATCCAGCACACGCGTTTGAAGTACATACATGGTCGCATGTCCTTAAATGACTTTCATTGTAGAAGTTAATTGGACGTTTAGTCCAACCAAGCAATCCAAAAAATCTGAGGTAAAGAATTTTCTCTACTTACTTTAAAGAGAAGTTTATTCATATCACACGTGACGTTCTTTTATACGTGCATACATTACAGTTTGCTACTTTTGAGTGGGAGGTAGGTGTCTGGATTTTTTTCTGAAGACTATATATCAGATTTGTTTGGTCTGGTTTAGTATTGTTTAACGTCCTATCAACAGCTATGGTCATTTAAGGACGGCCTCCCCTGTGTGCAAGATGCATGCGTGTAGTGTATGCGTGTATGTTTTGGGAGACTGCGATATGTTCGTGTTTGTCTCCCTGTGATAGCGCGGAACTGATGCCGACTTTATAGTGCTACCTCACTGAAACATATGTTGAAGACACTAAGCAGGACACCCCACCCGGTCACATTATACTGATAACAGGCGAACCAGTCGTCCCACTCCTAAATTGCTGAGCGTTAAGCAGGAGTAAAAATTACCATTTTTAAAGACTCTGGTATATTTCGGCCACGGGACAGAACCCAAAGCCTTCCTCACAGGGGCGAACGCTCAACTAAAGGCCAAAAGTGAGGCATTGTCTAGGGAGACATTACGAAGAAAAAAAAATGTGTAGAAAGAAGAGAAAAGATAAGATCCCAAATTAAGTCGCCTCTTACGATCTTGCAATGGGGGCAGCAGCATGTACAATTCTTCCGCCCTACCTGCTGGGACTATATATATAAGAATACATAAACAAATGATTGTCATCTATAGGTTCCAGAGCAATCAACAGTTTTACTCACAAAATGGCTTGAACTGTAACATTGTGCCAATGTATGGCACATTGTAGATACCACTGGGACCGGGAATGTCGTGGAATGGTTTGGCGTCCCCCGCTGTACTATCAAAGACAGCGGCCGTATGGACAAGGGAAGTTCTGGGGACAGCATTATGTAGCACTTGTAACAACCGACTCGACCTGTGTACATGTATAGAATATGTTACAAATGATGTGTACTTGTTGAGATATGCGAACTAAGAAACAGCAACGAGCGAACCATCTAGAGCGTCCGTTTATAGGTTTCATATGGATATGTGCTTAGCGAAAAAAATTCTACCCATAGCTATTCATTACACATGCATAACCTCTCACCGGGTGAGAAATTGTGTCGGTCAGGGAATTCATTGCGTAACACATTGACATACTCATGTTACTACATGTACTGAAGGTTGACCTCAAATTATTAATTCATTTCAGTTACGATACAGGTAGGTACACATCTAGGTTAAACACACCAGTTTGGTAGATATATCCGCCACGATAAACATGTTATATGATCACATTACTATACGTAGACAAGAAAACACAAATCAAAAGGTGTAGTACAATTTGCACCACGTGACCATCATAAATAGAACGTTAAGACACAATACGACACCTATATATATATATATATATATATATATATATATATATGTATACTGTTACTGCTTTAAGCAAAGATGAATAATGCACCACAAGTCAGTTCAGTGCCCTGTCACTTAAGTTATAGGCGCTTTGACGACCGGCATTTTGTACAAATAAATGTGTCTATTTTACAGGTACATGTAGGTTTAAGGAAACATTTCAGGAAAAGAGTACACATTTACAACAATGCAAAACATAGCTCCTCAGTGTGTGCTTATATATAAGAGTCTTACAACAACATAGTTAACATGTTGTTAACTGTTGATTCTGACCACGTGATTTCATAATGCATAATGGATATTAAACATTGCATAAAAGTTGTGATTGATACTGACTATAACCGGTTTTCAAAAAGTATGAATGTTCAATAGGCCTTAAACCTGTTTCCAAAGTGTATGTGAGTTAAATATTGTTCATTTGTGACGTGATTAAAACGAACTGTCAAGACATCATACAGTTCCACACATAATTTAGATTGAAGTATTTTAGATTAAACTTACTGCTGTTCAGTGGTACAGAGATGAAGACACTATTACAAATTGGAGGGGTAGATTTCTTATATGGTTATAATTACGTGTAAGTTAAGTGTATATATGTGTCTGCAATTTCCATCTGCTGACATTGTCTTGCGAAAGTCTGTTGTTAAAGCGTTTGACGTTGTCGTGACACAATCGTGCATATGAAGAATGTTTACTTCTCGTTTACTAGGTCATGGTACAGGCAAACGTTTCCACAGGTCTCGTTTCAATAGGTCAATCGATAATGTAGAAAGAAACATATTTGTTTTTAAATAAGTTACTAAATATATCAGTTGTAATGCACATTGAAAGTTAAAATTAATATTGACTGCACAGCAATATATAAATAATAAGTACTCATAAGAAATAATATTTAACACGTATCGACCATATGTACACTAGGAATTGTTAAAACATTACCTTACACCCGTAGCAGCCATGTTGTATAGATAAGGTTGACACTAGACTGCCAAATCCCGGAGCTATCACGGCTATGTATAATAACCGGGTGAATGGGCGCTGTGAAGACAAGAATCATTTGAAACCTGCTATAGTGTACGTTTTACTCACTCTGTGCCCGACAAACATCAAGTATATTCGTCGGGGCCGTTAACCCCTGCTCAGAATACAAGGCAAACGGGTTACCAAAGGTAAATACGACCTCGTTTCTACTTGCATAAACAGTCAGCAGTGCACAGCGTATTCTTGTCGTTTAACATGGAAATCCTCCGTGTGTGTAATGATTGGGTAATTGTGTGTATGTTTGGTGGAGGCAGGGTAATAGCACGGATCTGATACCGACTTTAGAGTACTATCTCACTGAAATACCATACCGAAGGCATGTAAACGGTCACATTATACTAACAACGGGTAAAGGCGGTCCTTCGATAACTCTAAATGATTTTGGTTCTATTGTTCAGTAAACAGAAACAATGAGATATCGATAAGGCAAATTATTTTAACGGTATCAGATCAATGCTATCAGAAGGAGGTAAATACACCAAAATACCGCCTCCATCACACATACATACATGCTCGCAAACATAACATACATGGATGCACATCATTAAATGACATTAAAAATACACTTCATATGTTTTAAACAACTATGAAATAAGTAATTTCAATTTATATTAATCACTCTTGTTAGTTCGGATGTTAGTACCGGGGTATTTGAGTTGGGAGAAACCGTAGAACTAAGAGAAAGCCCGCGTGGTCGGACAAGTGACCCTTTTCGCGTCCGATCGAGGAATCGAACCATGGCTGTCTTTGTTTTTTAGGACGTACTTTAACTTTTAATTAGAACTATCTGCCTCTCTTTTGTAAAGGTATATTTTTTTTACCCATTAAGATTATTTTAGTTTCCTTTGTTGAATGCTTCTCTCCGGAAAACCCTGTGATGGGCTTTGGTTAACGTCTATAAACAACTAAGGTCTGAGCACGTATTCATGAAACCGTTCTCATGCTCAAGCATGGATTCTGTGCTCAAACCAGTTTTATTGTAACTCACTTAAATGATGTCAAATGATCAAAAAGTCAAATGTAAACATTGAAAACAGTTTTTGGATGGAAGTCTCTTCAAGCATTTTTTAAAATCATTGACAGAATTTTCTTTTTCCAATAATTTATAACCGGAACAAGAAATTAGGCTTGAGCACAAGTACACTATAAATAAAAAGGAAAAATACAAAAACAGTAGAAAATAGAAATAGAATGTTCACGTCAGGTTTCCTGAGTAATTCTACCTTTCATGGATGTTCATTTACCAAGTGGCGATGTTCCGCTGTGTTGTGTCTTAAAATGTTACTGTATGACAGTTATATCGCTAAATGACCACAACATTTATTAAAATGGTCACATGTTAGTATACAAATTGGTAATTGACATATATGCATTTAAATAAAAAACATCAATTATTAAATTGATGTGTTTACTGTGGAACTTTCTTGTTTATTGTTTTTGTTGGCCTGGTTGCCCTTGACAACGACTGTGGAATGCGAAACTACCCGGCTGTTCCGAACAATTTACCGCTGACCCAGTCGGTGTGTATAAGAGTTTTAAAACAGCAATTAACAATACTCGCAACAAGGCACAACTAATATTGTTGGTTTGGAATATAAATATAAGGATTGGTTGTCATATTTTTGACGTTTAGTGGCGTGTAAACTATATTCAACATGGTAACGCGCACCATTCAATATATCGCAAGCCCGATGTAGTTTACACGCCAATAAACGTCAAAAATATGACAACCAATTCTTAAATAAATACACTGACATGACGCTGTATGAAATACCTTAAAGTCAACATTACAATTGGTAGAAATGGTGGTAAGTTGAAGGAGGAAGAAAAATGGTTTTATGATGGTAATGTTTTAGAAAATGTTGATAGTTTTAGCTACCTTGGTATTCTAATGAAATTCAATGGTAAATTTAGTATTAAACAAGAGAAATTAGCAGAACAAGGTAGGAAAGCACTATATGCTGTATCCAATGTTTTTAAAAGGAAATATTTCAATATTGAAACCCAACTTAGCGATTTTGATACTTTTGTGTGCAGTGTCCTAAACTATGGAGCTGAAGTGTGGGGCTTTCACAAAGCTCCAGATATTGAGAAAGTGTATTTGAATTTTTGTAAACGAATTTTGGGGGTTAAGAAATGCACACCTAATGTAATGATTTATCAAGAATTAGAGGGGCTACCTTTACAAATTATTAGGAAATTTAGAATAATATAGGTTAGGTTTGGGATATCTATGGCTAACAGAGGGTAATGAAGGTCAAATTCTGAATATTATTAAATGTAGAATGCATGACATTTTTCAACATGAGTGTCTAGATTTAATTAATTCATCTGCTAAGTGTTCTCTTTATAAATGGATCTGTGGTATTTTTTGGCTTAAACAGTATTTAATTAAACCTATTGGATTACAAAATATAAATTGCTAAAATTCGGTTGTCATCGCATACGTTGAATATTGAAACGGGTAGATTTCATGGTTTAGAGAGAAAAGATAGAATTTGTATATATTGTGACACTGGAGATTTTGAAGACAAATACCATTTTATTAGTAGATGTAGTCGTTATACTGATTTAAGAAACCGTTTCATTAAAACATATTATCATAAAAAACCTAGTATGGCAATTTATTTTAGATTTGATGACAATAAGAAATAATAACTTTCTAATTTAGCCAAATATCTTAACCGATGTCAAAAAAGGAGATGCAATACTGTTTAAGATTAAAGGAATCACTCTCTACACTTTCTCTGTGATTTTATCGTGTATGCATGGTCGGAAGGTTGTATTCTCTGTACTCCTATATATATATATGTACTGTATAATTTGCACTGCACTGTACTTATAAACCGCAAGGTTTAAGGTAATAAAGAATGAACGTCCGATCGGGGAATTGAACCCAAGCCGTCTTGGTGAAAGGCGAGAGTGCTATACTCTGGGCCATCCAACCACCTTTAAGAGCCATTATGCATTTACGAAAAGTGTGATGAAAGCATTTTCGCAATTGTTATTAAATAGATGAATTTTGAATTTACATTTCATTCGTGGCTTTCATACCGTTTTTGTATTAGCGGAAACACCTTAAGGGTGCTACATTTTGTAATGGAAATACCTAGCGTTCCAGAACAGAAAACTGTTGCAATTCAGCAAGGCTTTCTCTTTATTTCGCAATTCAAATTTGTCGTTTTGTTAGTGCAATACTTGTTCCTTTTTTCCCCTTGACCCTAGCATACTTTTTGTGATATTTTCTAATCAATTACCAATTAAATAACTGTCATAGAATACAGCTACCTATGTCCAGGATTGAAAATACAATACCTTTAATTTATATAGACTTCAATATTATCATATTAAAATAGATCTTTCAATGTACATTTAAGTTGAAGAAATATTGCCTGATTTCCCACTATGATATCGCAGTTTACAATGTTGTTGTACCACACATTTCTGGGATACAATATAAGAGACATACAATGCAGCATTAAACACAGATCAGAGCAGTAGGTTTTACACGTCTACCCTGTATTTGCTCTGTACTTCACCGATGATCTCGATATTTGCCGTAATCCTGATGGCCACGGTTATGTTGAGTAGTGACAAATTCATTAAATATACATACATCACTCATTATCAGTACTCCTCTTATTTTTGAAATTCTTATGATTAGTTGTATGTTAGGCTAGTTTAGATTTTAACCTTTTTGGTCCCTTGTATGACCGATGGGTCCTTGAAGGACGAAGAAACTGTATGCTGCAGAGAAATTCTTTTATTTTGCATACGGTGTTAGTTACCATATTTGATAAGTGTAATCACATGTGTATGTCTTGCGTTCATTTTTACAAGCGATCAGTCTCAAATTACACGAGTATATGTTGTAATTAATAGGAACGAACAGTCGACAATTTTGAATTTTCTTTTTTCTCAAATAAACTGCTTTATTTTAAACTTGGAACATCCCACGGCAACATTTTATTGAAACAAATTGCTAACAATAACGACCAAAGAAATAGCTAAGTAGTTTGCAATATTAATAATGATAATAAATAACATTTATTAAACGCGGTATATAATTTGCAAAATTACTCTAAGGCGTATTACAACACACGAGTAATAGTATTTCTACAGTGAAAACTATAAATATAACATACAAATCAGCATTATACATAAGGTAATAAGACATGCATCTCCATATGCACATAAACATGCGTATAGGGTTGTGTGTATATGACGTCTACGCAAAAGCGCCTTCAATGCAGGCGTAAACAGATTGATTTGTATATCCTTCTTGAATTCAGACAGATTTTATGGCATAGTCTCGGGTTTTACCAAATTTGAAAACCCCTCGGGTGGAATTTCCTATCCTACACCCCTGGACATGAAAGAGTCTTATAATATATTATATATCGTTATTAAAGCCGTGGAACTGATCACAGGGGTGGTCATGATAGACATATATTTACACTCTGAAAATCAAACTCAACGCTTTAGCTTTTAATAAAAATTCTGAAAGGATTGCGTATTTGGTAATATGCGCTGCGTATGTTAACTTGTGAAGCATTCTGATGAAAAAACCTTTATTACTCCTATACCGGTAAAACTCGAAAGATGTTAAACCCTTTGACTATTAAATAGGTAAATCTCTGTTTCAGTGGCATTTTCTGTTGACGCCTTATGTCGATAGAACAATTCATAAACATAGTAATACTGAAGCTAACCAGTCAGAGTCAATATCATATTTCCACTCAGTTTTACCAGGGACGTTTAGTATATATATACTGTCCCTGGTTTTACCTTTGTGGAATACGTCTCACAGTTTTGTTGATATATTTGGATGAGTAAGTAAAATAGCTCATTTATAGATTATTGAAATCCACAAAACATCGATTAAATCTCAAATTATGACGTTACTCTCACAAACAAATGACGTAACAATCAATACTTGCTCACAAGAGCAGATAACTCTGCAATATGAAAAGACGGAACATGCTCACTAAGGGTAAATGTCTTTTGTCGTATTTCGTCTTTGCGTATTGCAGAGTTATCCTCTCTTGTGAGCAGGTTTCGATTGTTACGTCATTGGTTTGTGTGAGAAAATCACGTCGTTTTCTCAACAAATTGATGACGTTACTCTCACAAACAAATGACGTAACAATCAATACATGCTCACAAGAGCAGATAACTCTGCAATACGCAAAGACGGAATTAACCTTGGTAAAAAAGAAAGCTGGAAACGGGTAGTGTTTTATAAACGTTACTGTTGACTTGAGCTAACACTTTATTTGAGGATTCCAAATAAGTCTCATTGTATTATAATTATGATTTCTGTTTTGCAATTTGGTTTTGGGAAACATTTTCCAAAATATTCTAGGACTAATCGATGTGTGGGGATTAATGAAACAATTGAAAAAATGTTAGACAGATTGAATGCTAGGAAAGGCCGAAAGTGTCTCATTTGGAAAATAATTTTCTGAACGCTTCTGGGCTTTGTTATTCCCAAGGTAAACAGTCGTCTTCGATAACTCCGAGATTTATTTTCCTATGCTTCACTTGTGATTTTAACAAATATTACTGACGTTTCCAAATCATATTACACCCCACAGGTTTTCCATATTTTAATCGCTTAAACATAAAAGTAGATTATATATGGGTCAGAGAATCAATATCAACGGTAAATTCCCATATAACACTGGATCTTAACAAAGATATGTTTGTAGGATACGAATGACCTTGAATTGGTAAATAGGGCAAGGGATAAATTCCAACAGTGTGGACTATATGAGGTTGTCCAATTTTCGGGGAATTCCGCCCCTTTATTGAGACACGGGAAAACACAGAACACTTACATTACATTAAAAAATAAGAAGGAATATTCTAGAATATAACTTTTATTTGAAAACAATGAGCCGCTCGGCAAGCGAAAGCCAACGGCAAAAATTACAATGACTGATGGCATCGTTGACCAATGATACTGTGTGTGTTTTCGAACAACGACAAAGAGATTATGATACACCGTGAAAGCTGAAGCTTGAAGAAAGATGAAGCTGTAAAAATGACACGACGATTCGTCCAGCAATATTTTTTGTTTACATATATGGTAAATATATGTTTTTACGAAAGATAATCAAACTTTAGTAAGGGAAACAAACATATATATATATACTAGCTTTATATACATGTATTTGTATATAGGGCGGGGGGGGGGGGGGGGATTTGGGAGATATTATTTCATGTGGATCACTAATTAAATACCCTTTGCAACAAGCTAAAGAGTTGCTCAGGCATCTAGTCTTGTAAATGTATTGCTTTATAAGAATTAAAATGTCTTTGTCCACATAGCTCGAGTGTTGTGATATTATTCCAAAAAGGAAGGATTCCTTATTATACGCAAAAGAAATCAGGAGTATATCAAGTAGAGATTCAAATCTCTGAAGAAATGCTTGCAGCTCTTTACATTCCCATAAACAATGCACTATAGTTTCATGCTCCATATTACACAAGGTACATACAGGACTTCGACTTAATTTGACTTCAAAAAAATAAAAATAAAAGTGTTTGTTACTAAAATACGGTGTATAATTCGAACTTGGAACCATTGTAATTCTGTCTCCTGATTCCATTTTCTGGTTCCAGTAGGCAGTGTCGCTGGAGCGATAATAATATTATAAAAATCTTTAGAACCTTTCTTACTCTTAAAGAATATATCAAATAATAGTGGTATAATAGGCTGGGAAGGTCTTTCCCTCAGGAAATCATGTCTTCTTAAAAAGCGTTGGATAGCAGATACCAATCCGTGATATTGCAGAAAGTTTGTATCGATTTGAAAACTATATAGAAACTTGTCAAATGAAAAAAAGGTCAAATTATCTGAATTTTTAATTAGGTCATTTAATGTAAACACACCTGCTTTAAACCAGTTAAAACTTATTATTTACCTGGATATCATTGTTATACCAAAGCGGAGTTTTTAGAATGGAATCTTGTCTAGTAAGCCTCATAAATTTTGAGTTATTAAGTCTATCCCATGCTTTGAATACATCTTTCCAAAATAAATTGATGCAACTAGAACCACTTAAATGAATTTATTCTTTTCCACAATTGAGCAACTTTTTTATATCAATAATTGTGTTCAACATTAACTTCCATTTGCCTGATGACTAAAAAAATCTTCTTACCCATCCTAGCTTTAGAGATTTAATGAAAGCATATACATCAACCATCTTTACCCCCCACCCCCACCCCCCTTCCATATAGTTTTAAATAACAACATCTTTTTTAATCTTATGACATTTACCATTCCACAAAAAAAAATAAAAAAAATAATGAGTTTAAAAGAGTGATATATTTTTCTGGTGGATTTGGCAAAGTAATAAACAAATAGTTCAGTTGTGAAATCAACAATGACTTAATAATATTACTATTTTTACTATTAGTACTTTATCTATAAATTCCCATGATACTGAATCGAAACCTTTTTCAAAATCTATCAACATTAACATTCCCCTCCGCATTAAAGCCATTCTGGTCTCTGTGGAGTATAACATATAGATAGATAGATTCCTGGGATGTTGTGATCCTCTGCATACTGCATCAGATCATATACTGTACGAATATTTTCCCCAATGTACCGCCCCGATACAAATCCTGTCTGGTCTTCATTGCTAATGTTTCCCAATACTGTTTTAAAACAACATGAAATTACCCCAGATGCTATTTTATATGTAATATTTAAAAGTGTAATGAGTCTCATTTTTTTTTAATGACGTTATTAACTCCCTTGTAGATACAAGTTATGACACCATGTCTTTGAGTAACTGAAAGCTGACAAATTGGAAAACCATAATTTATGGAACGAACAACAAAAGTACCTACATTTTTCCAAATTACTTTAAAAAATTCTGCTGTGAAGCCGTCGTACACTGGATTTTTATTATTTTTTATTTCTTTAAGAGTTTTCCCTGCATCATCAATTTTTTTTTTCCCTCTAAGCTGTGAGATTCATCGTTACTTAGTTTTAGAACATTGCAATTCTAGAGATGTACTTCTAAATCAATGTTATCAACCTCCCTAAATCTATATAAAGTTTCATAAAAATATTTTACTTCCATTAAAATATGTTCTTGCTTTGTAATAATATCATTGTTTTCTTTCTGAATTTTGAGAATAATAATAGAAGTATAGTTTCTATTTTCAAGATTGAAAAAGTAAGATGTTGGTGTTTCTCCTTCTTCTACCCATTTTGCCCTGGATCTAATGATACTTCTCCGAATTCTCTTCAAACGAATATATTCTAATTCCCTTTTCTTTTCCCTTAATTGCTCCAGGTCTGGGTTTGTTTCAGCTTCTATTACTGAAATGGATTTTTTAATCTCTTCCTCCCCGAGTTTTGTTTGTTTTTTTCCTGTACGGTGAGTATGAAATAGACCTACCTCTTATTTCCATTAATAAAGTCTCCAAAAATCATTTATTATAAACTGTATATCATTATCAGGGATATTTTTAATGGAATCAAAATTATATACAAGCAAAAAATATTGTAACTTAATATTTTCAATGCAGTTTTTAACCATATCTATATATACAGGTCATATAATAAGGAATTTTTAGTTTCCATAGACCTTTACCTTTTTTAAATTCATTCAGTTTCAAAATAAAAAAATGGGGGCAGAATGATCTGATCTTTAGCCAGGATTAAATAATGAGACTAGATAAGAAAAACATAACCCGAATAGAGATGTGGGTTTGGATATCCGGAATATACTTATAAAAGTGGGACTTAGCAAAGTACATAATTATAGCAACTGATTTTAATCATGACAACCACTTCTACTACTACTTATATATGATGCGTAAACACATGATTATCTTGCGTAAGTGTATAAAAGGGCCAAAGTAACTCTCGAGAGAAACAATACTAGCATGTGTAGGCTATATTGAGTTCGCGTTATCACTAAAGCTTAAAGCTTATATTTTGTTTGTTATTGAGCTGGCCCCGCCGAGTGATTCATAGGAAACAACGACCGGGTTATTCCTTAACTCCTTCCTTCCCCTATACGAGTAATTCCCTAAAGTATGCATATATAGCTGCGGTTATACTCTCGGGGTTACAATTCGTACATCTATGTGTAGAGCTACATACAGAAAATGATGCAGTGGACGTATTTCTGTATAGGTCTTTTCTATCAGCTGCAGTGCACTTTCTCTATGGAAATAGGTGAAAACTTTTTGAATTTATATTTTCAATGTATGATTTTATTTACAGTGCATATATCTTATATTTTATATAATTTCCGGAAAATATAAATTTTAACGTCCTTACGAAATGTCAATCTACTAGTGAGTAATATACCCTTCTACCGCACTTTTCACTGCAGATACGTTTGGGTTACCATCCGTGACAACCAAATTTGAAGAGAAACACTATGTGGTGCCTGACAGAACGATTAACTTTAATCTGACATGTGAAGCGACAGGCGACCCAACTCCATCGTAAGTAGTTCATCAGTTTCGATTTAACCATTTATATAAGGTTGTTTATAGTATACATATGCTCGTTGTCAAATGATAGATAAACCCACGAAGAGTAGTTCTCAAACATTAAATATGCGTTTTGAAACAGTATTGATATGCTACTCAGCAATGATCACTAACGGGAGATCACGTCTACATATGATATATGTGTATATACTTAAAATCTTAGTTGTGATTAGAACCAGCGCAACATAGTAAAGAGTTCTCTCATAGAAGTTTTAACATGTACAATATAAAACATATATATACACCAATTAATAAGATGCATATTTTTTATCCATCATGATAAAATGTTCCAATACGAGTAAATTGTACGTTATAAGATCTCTGTGCAGTTTCTGCTGATTCTTTCTAGGATCACGTGGTTGAAGAATGGACAGTCCTTCATTGATACATTAAGGGCACATGTCACGTCGATTGGTGTCCTTGTTTTCACGGAGGCTGTTTCCAGTACTTATGGTACCTACCAATGTAAGGCAACAAATGCCAAAGGCGCCTCCATTTCTCCGGAGATTTCCATCAATAGGGCTTGTAAGTACATATCAAACAGTAATCGATAAGAGTTATTTAACCCCCGCTGTACAGTTCATTTTGATCACAAATTTCATGAATACAAAAGATGCTGAACTACACAATGTTTATTATGAACCTGTTTTGATCCTATATGATCTGTGAGAAGATTTGTCTTTGTTAAAGATATGTTATATTTTACCGTTATTACTTTTGCCCGTGATATCGCCCAATTCGTAAATAGAAATAATCCTTAGAATAAACCAGTTATATGATAATTGCAGAAGCTCAATAATAACTGAGGAGAATACGTGACGTGTCGTAACAGACAGATAAAACAACTGTATTCACGTTCGCCAGGTTTGCTTATGTAACGAGTCTATATAACGGGATTACCATATGAAGTATGAATATAGACACATATTTAATAGCAAGTTGGTAATGCTTTAAAATGCAAACTGGTGGTTTTAATTGTTGAAATGAAGCGATGATCATATCTTATTTGATCTTGTAACTGAATAAATGTGACCTTCGAGATGCATTATCAAAGCTATACATATATATGATAAGTAAAGATTTTAACTTGTCTCCAATGATGTAATTAGTGGCTCCTTTGTGTGGAACTTTGTTAAATCCAAAGTGTAAATTCACATAATTGTGAATCTCTAAACCAGGTCTCAATTTTAGTAAAATTCAGTCCCAAAACTTATAAGATTGAAGGATATCTCTAAGCTATTTAAATTTGGTTTGTGATATGGATGCCAGATTAGGTAAAGACTGAAGTACATTTCCAAAGATTACATATCTACTGAGAAAAATGCAGCGGCCGGTATGGAAAGCTTTCAAGCATGTGTAACATTCTTCATTTTGTCCTCTTGTAATCAGTAATACCATTACAGTTCACGAAAATGTGGATAAGTACACATTTAACGAAACATTCAAGTAATGACACATGGTTTGAAACATGTACATGCAATGTAAATTTTACATTTCTATATACGTGTATGCGTAATCTTGAGTTGACAATGCGCGTAAACAACTGAAATCAAGGACGACACCGACCTTAAACGTTCTATCGACCAATCGACGAGCCAGATGCAGTGGTTAATTTGTGGGCGTGTTCTTTTTGAACACGGCTTGTTGACGCCGTGACGATTTTGATTGTATCTACTGAGAAAATGAGATATGTATGGCTGAATTCTAACGAAGTTGCGTTATATGTAATTTAGAATGGATTGGCATGCTCATTACTTCTTCCAAAGTAAAGGCACACGAAGGTAGTTTCAGAAACATGTATTAAGAACATGTAAGTAATGATGATATGACCGGGCGGCATGCAGTGTTGGGTGCCTTTGTCATGGTATTTCAGTGAGATAGCTCTCCAAAGTTGGCATCATATCGGCCTTATCACAAGGAGGCAAATGCACCAACATACTGTGCCTCAGGCACATATACACACATGCATGCATGCATACATAATACTCATCGAGACACGTTCTTAAATGACCATTGCCGTTGATAGAACGGTCACCTATATAATGATCATCTAAGAGATAATTCAACTTGCCAATGTGGTTATTTAAATGAAGACAAATTACACTACTTTTTTAGATGTCCTTTGTATAATAATGACAGGATAGGATTGAACTTACCAGATCCATAAATAATATAGATCCCCTTCTAAGAGAAAATATAACTGTTTTTTTATGTGGAAGTACAAATCATAATGACCAGGATAATATGCATATACTGGAATGTACACCATGAGTTTCATTTCTAATGCTGAACGCCTCTTAATGTATTAACTTAGTACACATTGTTATCGAGGTTAATTGGTTCAAACATTTAAAATATGTATAAAATACGGATGTACGTTAAGTATACATGTGTATTATGTTTTGGGAATTGACTGACTAGGGAACAGAATCCCTACAACGGGGATAGAATGAGCTCCACGTGGTGACTCAGAATCCACTTGCCAACTATACATCTCCTCTTATATCTTGCATCCTATGTTCTTTATCATGTAATCCATCGGCAATATCAAGTGGCTTTATCCTCTAGTTGAAACTCCAATTCTATGAAAATGAAATCCTGCTTAAAGTTAATATCCTGTTAAGCCTACTGTCGTCTGCTCGAACCCACGCCATTTTAAGGTCACATGAGACAAAGTCTCAAGTGACCTATTGCGATCGCCTTTTGTCCGTCGTCGTCCGTCGTCCGTCGTCCGTCCGTAAACATTTTACATTTTCGACTTCTTCTCCAAACCCCTGAACCAATTTCAATGAAATTTTGCAGAAACCTTCCATGGCCAAAGGTCAACTAAAGTATTGGTTGATTTGGTCCCCAGCCCCCAGGGGCCTGAGGGGAGGGGCCAAAATTGGTCGAATTGACTGAAATTTCAAAAATCTTCTACTCAAGACCCAGATATGGTAGAATCAAATACTCTTCATAGATGGAAGGGTCTTAAGGTGCCTTACCAAAATTGTGAATTTCATGACCCTGGGATCTCACGTTTCCCCCTGGGCAGGGGGTACATTTTACTATAGTTTATATAGGGAAATCACATTTTGGACCAACATTTGTTTAATTTCCATTGAAAGTAATTCCATTTGGGTTAGGATTATCAGTATTGGATAGCAGTTTGATGGTATGCACATATCAGTTCTGACTGACCCCCAGGGGCTGATGGGTGGGGCCAAAATTGGTCGAATTGACTGAAATTTAAAAAAAAATCCCCTCGAGACCCAATTAAGGTAGAATCAAATACTCTTCAAAGATGGAAGGGTCTTAAGGTGCTTTACCAAAATTATGATTTTCATGATCCTGGGGTCTCACGTTTACCCCTGGGGGAGGGGTTAAACTTTACTTTAGTTTATAGAGGGAAATGACATTTTGGACCAACATTGTAAAATTGTTCTTTTGTTAAAAGAAGTAATTCAATTTAGGTTAGCATTATTAGTATTGGATAGCAGTTTGATGGTATACACATATCAGCCCTGACTTAACCCCAGGTGCTGATACTTTGAAATTTGGAGCCAGCCCTACCCCCAAGGGCTGTAGAGTGGGGCCCAAACAAATCAGTGTGCTAACATTTCTTCATTTTCCTTGTTTAGAATCAGAGGGGCTAGTTTCAAATACTTTTCAGTCTTAAATCTGTATGCTAGATATTGAATAAGGTGGTTTTATTGTTTTTTTTGTCACTTTGAATAATATTTTTGTTCATGTTTTAAAAATAAAAATCAACTCTCTGTATAAATATATCAGAACTCAGGTGACCGTTAAGGCCCATGGGGCCTCTTGTTTAAAATAATAATCAAGGTAACAGAGAAGCTTTACTGATCTATATCACAATCCACCTCTGTTGGGTATGGAAGAGAAATAACTGAAATTAACGAGTCACTGCGTGGGAGCTCTGGTCGATGACTTCTGTCCTAAATGTAGAAAGCTTTAAATTATTTCACAATTTACATATTATAAAATACATTGTCCATACCAGGAGCGGGCTTGTATAAGCATTACGCCTGTTGCCCAATTCCTTTTGAATGTGTATAAGTTGCAATATTCAATAATATCTTTGTGAAATAAAATAGGACGTTAACGCCCTTACAATCGACAAACCAACATGGCAGTCAAATATTGATATTAAAATATTGGGTTTGTCTCAAAAGTGACATTTGATCACAAAAGTAATTGCCCGTGCAGGTTCGGGAAAGAATATGCTTGCTGTAACCACCTGGTGTTGCCCCGCTGCCGTCTGTTTCTTCTGCTTCGGGGGCATTGAAGAAACCCAAATTAATCTGCTGCCCTCATTGCAACACTCAGTGTTTGGTGCAGCTTCTTTCTCACTTCTCTACCCCTCTTTTTCTTTTGTCTCCTAAACAGCCGTCATCATGTGACCATAGCTGTCCGCGAGGATGTCAGTCACAACACAAACATACAAACAAATCACAGACATTCTATACACATGCACTGCCCTGATTTCAATTAATATAACACTACATGTATGTACTCCTGAGATATTCTCGTGGTAAAAGTATCTCATGTTCACACTTATTACTATGTGATGTATGAAGCCAACAGGGCTACATATCCTTGTAGGTCGGGGACTAAAAAAATGAACTCACTACATGTTAGCCACTAGTTTATGGACCGCTGTATAACTTCGGTTTCGCTTATGTGCCCCTACTTGGGTGCACAGAAGCGATCAAAATAAATCTGATGCACATAGTTATTTTTTTTTTATAATTTTCATAGTTTTCTCTACTACCTATCAACTTCCTTTTTTCCTAGAACCTTTGCTGGCAATACCTGAACAGGCCTAAGTGTTGAACGTTTACCTCGGTGAGGAAGCCAACGTGTTCGTGCCCCAGGCCAGAACATATCAAGGTTCATAAAATAGAGGTTTATTTTCATTGCTAACCGTCAAGCATTTAGGATAATCGCAGCAACTGAGTAATCCTTTGGAATGACATGATATATAGTTAAACCGTTTTCGGTATAACGCCACCGGATGGGATAGTGCAATGGGTACCTGCGGCATGGTATTTTAGTGCAGAATAAATATGGCATCAGATCTGCGCTATTACAAGGAGGCAAATGCACCATTATACCGCCCCTAGCACACTAGCATACATTACACAGGGTTTTCTGTATATCTTAGAGCAGTGTTTTGAGATACTTTGTCATACATTTGTCATACACACGTTGAGATATAATATTCATCATTTCGTGAAATATTGTCACTTTAATTCTAGTCCAATAAAACAAGTGGTTGCCTTGCAGTGTTGGGAAATTTCCCGCAGACACCGGAAGTGAATACAGTATCCGAGGATCGTAACCAGTACTTAGCCTTGCCCTGTACAGATCGACCAACGTGTGAACCGAAAAGTTCCTGCAGGTTCGAATGGAAGCGACGCGGTGGAGAAGGAGTTGCACCGGAAGAGCGTATTCTGGTGGACAATGAAGGTAACAAGTAAAAATGAATTACATGAATAACACACGAAGAATGTTTTGAAACGCGAGGAACTATTTAAAGGAGTGAATTATAATATTTGCTTGGCTGGGTTTCGTATAGAATTTAAAAAATTCCAACAACAAAAACAAAATCTAGATAAAGAATGCTTCACGTAAGGTTTAAAGTCCTTCTATTTGTATACTTATTATAAATGATGCTTGCGAATTGTCAATCAGAACATTCAGAACATAAAATGTACACCAGATGTGTTTGTAGTATGATTGTCAGCTTTACTTCACTGTGATAGACTGGAACCTTGTTCAGGTGTCTTATACGTTGCGTTTATTATTGAACACCAGCTTTCTAGTAATCTCTCTTGGGGTAAAAGTTAACAGTACTTTAAATATTAACATGAGATTTCCATCAGGAAATATGTTTGTGACCAATCATAGAATTCACGATCACCGGGCTCCGTCATGGTAAAGAGATATATGGCAGACACCGGGCTCGGTTTGATAGTGTCATTGATGGCATAGTGCCAATGATGGTGAGTGAATATTAATTCTGATTGACAAAGATGACAAAAAAACAAACTAATCGTGTACCAAAAGCATCTGTTAGGGTTCCAATGGACCATATTAAATTGACAAGAGCCTTGAAAGAGCCACCGAAAACTAAAGTAATGTGGCCTGAAATCCAGACATAAGTACTTGAATGTAGAGTTGTTGAACGTTATGGTAAAGGGTTATATATAATTATAGCCTTCAAACAACAAGTTTTATGTGTTTTTGTTTTAAGAATAGATAAATCACAATTGGTTTAAATGATGTCGGCTGTATAAAGAAATATTTTGAGCTTGCCATAATCAGAAAGGTGATATTGTCACGAGGGCACGGCTGTTCGGTTACCACGTCTGTTTTCATATGATAAAGAAGTCATTGTCCTCAAATGGTGAAATTCTATCCTTTAGATATTTCATTAATTGTATATTCGTAAGTGAACACATGAAAAGGACGATTGACATTATTACATTTCTCAAACAATTACCCCAAAATTTATTCATATTTGATTTTCTTAATAATGATGTATTTGTTTGCTGACATTTTCTGTCATGATATCGGTATCCTTATCAATCTAGACGAAAATACACTCTATAATGACATTGAATCATCCACCTTCATGAATATATTAATGCAAAAGATGCGTGACGTCAGGTCAGTTGCCGTCATATGTTGTTACGTAGACACGCATAACATCTTGGTCAGTTGCTGTTAATATTGTGATTTAGACACGCATAACATCTTGGTCAGTTGCTGTTAATATTGTGATTTAGACACGCATAACATCCTGGTTAGTGGCGTCATAAAGTGTGATGTAGACACGCATGGCATCCTGGTTAGCACGCATGACATCCTGGTTAGTTGGTTCATATATTGTGATGTAGACACGCATGGCATCCTGGTTAGTTGCGTCATATATTGTGATGTAGACACGCATGACATCCTGCTCAGTTACACTATAAAGTCGGAATCAGTGGGGGAGCAAAATTAATCAATTAATAGATGCAGAGGCAAAAGCAAGAAGTCCTTCCACCTATAAAAATAGTTCTACACAAAATATGCAAATCCACACTATAAATGCAATTAAATTTACTTTGTATTTAATTATTATTTTTTGTATATTGTGACACAGGTACACTTCATATCCTGTACCTGGATCAGTCAGATGACAATGAAACGTATACTTGTGGAGTGTGGAACTCACAATTTAGATCGCATGTCCGAAGTCAACAGACCACCAAACTAAAGATCAGGTTTGGTAGGTATATGCTTAAAGAACAAGAAATTGAAGGAAAGGATTGACAATTCCACTTTTAAAAGTGCTCTGTATTGAGTTCCTGATTTTCTCTGTTTAATTATCGCCATGGTTCCTGTGTTATGGCAAGATGTTGTAGTCATAGTACTGTATATTTCTATTTTATTTCAACTAATTCTTATTCCGTGGCTGATGATATCGGTTAGAATACAATACATGTAATGTATTCAACCCTGCGGAAGAATGCCTGTTAAGACCAAGTTAACAGTGAAACACATTGTTTATAGACAAGGGTTTAAAATACCATACCTCAAATAAACCATGCATAACAAAACCTTCTAACCCTGCATATTCAATGAAAGGTTAAACGAGCTTCACCCAGCTGCAGAATCGGGGGGTTTCTTCTAAGCGTTTTGCTTAAGGGGACATAAGGTTCGTTATGTTTTCTTTCCCCCTACTCTCATTTTTGGCAGTCTATCCCTAGGCATGCGTCATGGTCATGGATGTTAAACCTCATAAAACCCCCATAACGAAACCTAATTTGAACTAATCATATTCATGTGAACTTTATTCATATAAGACGGATCACGGAATACCTATCCTCCCGCACTGGTGTTTAGCAAAAATGTCACAGGAAAGGCTACACAGCAGGCTCGGCTTCAGTGTGTTTTCTCGGGACAGTAAGTATACCCGTTACTGCTTGTAAAGGTAGTTTTAGTTTTTTGAACAATATTATTTTACACTGAAATGATGGAATCATATAAAGAATTTCATTAGCATGTTTCAGTGAGATAGCATCGGCATCAGATCAGGGCTATTGCAAGGAGGCAAATACACCAACATACCGCCTGAACCACGCATACACATATGCACACATTCATTACACTCATAGAGGCATGTCATTTATTGATTATATAACTATACAGAGGATGTAAGAAGACGAGTTAACATTAACTAAAAACATATTTCCAGCTCCTGAAGCAATAAAAGTTATTATTTTAAACATGATAAGTTTTTCTTAATTATACATAAATTTGATATACATAAATATGATTTTGAATAGATGCTCGATTCACAGGTATGTTTCTGTTCCACTCTCCAACTTAAGCTGTATTTTACAGTCCTCTCCCTGACATTGCTTGGTTGGATACTAACGGTGATACTATAGAAGAGAGTGATGTGTACAGTTTCCATGACAACAGACATACCTTAGTGATAAGTTCTTTGTCCGCTGATCACGAAGGCATGTACACGTGCAATGGCTTACAGACAGCATCTAATGCGCGTGCAGAGGGCAACGTGTACCTCAACGTTACGGGTAAATATTACACACATGTAACAAAATACATTGCATGTTTGCTTAAGTTCATTGGTCAGAAGTAAAGGAAAGAGTGGAATTGATATCTCGGTCGAACCGGATATTGCCCATATATAAACTTCCAATAATCTTAATATAAGGAAAAACAGTATGAATTTCTTGATAAGAAACCCGCATTCAACCGGCAATCAATGAAATATTATACAAAATAAAAAGAATTGTACCGTTAGTTTGAAGGTAATACAAACAAACACATACAAAAAGAAGTAATTAAAAGTTTAATATCTTGCGTAAAATGCTGATGTAACTTTATCAGAAAGATAGCTCTTCAACAGAGGTAAATCTTTAGTCAAATATCTCTCACACAAGCTGAACAAAGACTTGATCAAATCTGATACAGTGTCATATGAACCTCTGAATGCTGAGATCCTTACTTGAACGAAGATGATTCAAGTGAAACATCGATTAGGCGAGCAGGAAGATTTTTAAGACAGGAAAAAAGTACTTGACCGTACCGTTCTATTCAATGATTCATGCATATGATTCAGAATTTTATCCATTCAGAAACCTCAAACGAGTAGTTCTCATTACATAGATTAATGTTCAACTGGAACGGGAACAATTTTTTAAAACTGAATCATTTAAAAATCAACCAGGACATGTACAACTCGGTGTCGTACACACAACCAAAGCTTGTGCTATTCTGTATCAATATCATGAGTTCCTGGTTGGCAATAATGTTGATGGGATCGGTTATAAGATTTTTCAAGCAGACTGTAGGTATTCCACTGGGAACAAACTGTGTACCTCTTCTGAGAGACATTTTTTTTATTAGAGGCAAAACTTATTGATGAGTTTATCAGGAGTGGTTACAAAATAACCCTAGCCCTTCAATTTCACTTTAGGATATATCGGCAATATGCTGTCTTTTATTAACATGTAATGTATCTAAACAACACCAATCGTAAATTATCTTCCGAGTTTGAAAGGACAATACAGACTCTTCTCATTCAGCCGCTTTCCTCGATATTCACTTGCAGCGTGACCAACAGAGCTAGCTTACTTCTATGCTGTACTATAAACGGGACGGTTTCTAATTTTGCGATCGCGAAACTTGCCCTTTCTTAAAAGTAGACAACCCTGATTCCTAAAGGTACCATGTTGACATGTAGCAGTAGATACAGTATTCAAATACTTGCTCAGAATATCATGAATTCTGTGATAGATGCCGACTGCTGACGGAAAAACTTACAACACAAGGTTCTCAAAGCTGCAGTTTGACCAAAAACTACCGACAAGCGGTCGTCTACTTGCATTAGGCGACATGTTATTTGTTTCTGTGCTATGAAGGTCGCTGTTTTTACTATGCTTACTTGGATTGAGCTAGAATTACACTGAAGGTGTCATCAATAAGTCTGAGGACGCTTACCCTTCCGGAACACATCGTTGCCTTATTCTTGTTCCTTTTAAATGCATTCATTTAAATAATTTCTGTGTTCTAATTCTACTCTTTTTTTTCGAAATGAAGTTCAAATTACGTATTTTTATCTTGAAATTCGGGTTCGGTAGCCGGAATATACAAATTTTAAAATGGAAAGGCTCTGTTATTATATATCTACGTATAGTTATATCATAAATCAATTTATTATCGGACACTCGAAACCAACTGCCTGAATCAGTCAACCTCTCCATTTTCACTGATCCCCTATTCTCTTAAAAAAACATCCATATCATCGGTCTCTTTCTAACCACCATTGATCTCTTCTCTGATACTTGTATTGCCCATCCTTATGGCAAGCCAACTTAACATTTATTCAAGGAGCAATGTCGATCCTGTATTTCATCGAATTATATAAGATATCTTATATAATTATATAAGATATCTCATATACAATAAAGATATCTTATATCTATATAAGATATCTTATATACGATATACGATATCTTATATACGATATACGATATCTTATATACTATATGAGATATCTTATATAATATATAAGATATCTTATATACTATATGAGATATCTCATATAGAAATTAAATGAGATATCTTATATAAGTATATAAGATATCATATGTATTATATAAGATATCTTATATCGCATATAAGATATATCATTTAATTGTCTATATAAGATATTTCATATAATATATAAGATATTTCATATATTATATAAGATATCTCATATAATTGAAATCTCGTTGCTATATAAGATATCTGATATAGAATGAGATTTCGTGGCATTAAAAACCAGAAACTAATTTCTCCCTCGAGAAATATTCGGAGCACATTCAGGATTGCATTGGGCGCAATGGCGGAGAGGGATGGTACGGTTACGGAGAGGGATGGAATCTGCTGTATTTTCCCTAGGCCTAGCTCGCCTTGTCTCTCTTATAGCGGCCAAAGCAGAGGCTGCCATTTCCCGCACTCTTGAAGTGGGCTCCGACATAATGGTGGCGACAGGAACACGTGTTGTTACAACAAGCCTACAGTCCCTACGTAGATCCTCGAGATATTCCGGACGGGGAGACTTCATTTTCGACATTTTGTTAAAATCTCGTTCCTATAAGATATCTTATTTAGTAACGAGACTTTAATATACTATATAAGATATCTTATATCGTATATAAGATATCTCATATAGTATATGAGATATCTTATATAGTATATGAGATATTATAAGATATCTTATATATATCTTATATAGCTCTATGAGATATCTTATATATTATGTAAGATATATTATATAGAAAATTAAATGAAATATCTTATATACGATATAAGATATCTTATATAGCATCTCATTTAATTTCTATATAAAATATCTCATATAGTATATATAAGATATCTTATATATTATATAAGATATCTCATATACTATATGAGATATCTCATATACGATATGAGATATCTTATATACGATATAAGATATCTTATATAGTATATAAGATATCTCATATGCTATATAAGATATCTTGACATTGCTCCTTGAATAAATGTTAAATTGGCTTGCCATACATCCTCCTCTTTTATCGCTGATCTTCCTCATTGTTTGTTTCGTAATTTGCCCTTAAGTGTCATTGGTTCTGCTCAGGCCGGGACATACCAAAGTCCTTAAAAACGATTGTTGTTATTCAAAACACCTGAATAACAATGCAAGTGGTGTCGTGGTGTGTATCCATATGGAAATGAACGTGAATGTGACGTAACTCTGCAATTGTCTTGTTTTGATACAGCTGTACTCACATAATTATGATGCATTCTAAACCACCGCGTTCACTAACACTGTTTCTTTATTCTGTAAAATAGGACCTCCCATCTTTGAAACCGGAGCAATGGTGGACCAGGTACTGACAGTAGGTTCAGACGCGCAGTACAGCTGTTTGTCGCGGTCCCTCCCCAACGAAATTGTTCCAGACCCACCAGTTTGGTACCAGGATGCGCAGGAAATCACAGTCTGTAAGCGGTGGTCAGCACGCATATATACCCATCATAGTCAAGGACAAAATATATACCGACAAAAGTATCTGGTTATAATAATTATATTCCTAATAGCGTACTTTAAAAACGTCGATAAAAGGATAGGTTACAAATTACGAATTTAAGATAAAATATAACAATTTAATAACCATCGTACATATTTGCTGTTGTCGGAATTAGTTATACTGCTGTGGTAGCATATACAGAGAGACGACGTAATAAAGGTGGCTAAGGACCCCCCCCCCCCTACCACTGCCAAAAACTGCTTGTAACTATGCATTTGACAAATGTTCTTCAGCATGACTATTCCGTCTTTTCGTATAACAGAGTTATCTGCTCTTGTGAGCAGGTATTGATTGTTACGTCATTAGTTTGTCTGAGAAAATTACGTCGTTTTCTCAAAAATTGATGACGTTACTCTCACAAACAATAACGTTATAATAGAATCCATCCCTGATGTGGGGTATGGATAAGATTATTTAAACCCAAGGGATAAAATATTGAGCAGGAGACCCAGGGCAGAGCCTCGGGTCTTTTGCTCAATATTTTATCCCGATAATTTGAATAACCTTATCCTTACCTCACATCAGGGATGGATTCTATTTCTTGCTTATTTCCTAAAACCCGTAAAAACAGCTACTTTTCTAGTAAAGTTGTAACTGTCCGCACATTTCTCATTTGCATATGAAGCCTGGAGGCAATCGTTAATGACGTGAATGACCCTGACTGACCCCAAAACGTCGAAAATTGACGTCACGAACAATAGCGTGACCCCGAAAGGTCACTAAAGTTCCCCACGTCAGTCTGCGTGGTGAGCGATCCAGACCCGTGGGTCGGATAGAATTTTCCAGTACCGCCGGAAATGCGGATATCTCGGTCTAGTATGCAAGAATAATAGAATCCATCCCTAATGTGAGGTATGGATAAGGTTATTCAAACCCAAGGGATAAAATATTGAGCAGGAGACCCGAGATTTTGCCGAGGGTCTTTTGCTCAATATTTTATCCCGAGGGCCAAATATCATCACCCTTAGATTTTTAATTACTGAGAAGAAGTTGTTGAAAGGTATTTAACATATTTGACCCCTGTGACCTTGAAAATAGATGAAGGTTATTCATTTGAACAAACTTGGTAGCCCTTCATCCAAGAATGTTACAGGCCAAATATCATCATCCAAGGCCTTTTGGTTATTGAGAAGAAGTTGTTTAAAGGTTTTTGACATGTTTGAACCCTGTGACCTTGAAAATAGATGAAGGTCATTCGTTTGAACAAACTTGGTAGCCCTTCATCCAAGCATGTTACTGGCTAAATAACATTATCCTTTCCCTCTCGGGTATTCAGAAGAAGTTGCTTAAAGGTTTTAAACATATTTGACCATTGTGACCTTGAAAATGGGTGAAGGTCATTTGTTTGAAAAAAATTGGTAGCCCTTCATTTCAGCTTTTGGTTATTCAGAAGAGGTCGTTCAAAGATTTTACCATATTTGACCTATGTGACCTTGAAAATGGGTGAAGGTCATTTGTTTTAACAAACTTAGTAGCTCTTCATCCCAGCATGTCACTGGCCAAATATCATCACCCTAGGCCTCTTGGTTCTTCAGAAGAAGTCGTTCAAAGATTTTAACATATTTGACCCCTGTGACCTTGAAGATGGATGGAAGTCATTCATTTTTACAAACTTGGTAGCCCTTGGTTCCAGGATGCTACTGGCCAAATATCATCATCCAAGGCTGTTTGGTTATTGAGAAGAAGTTGTTTTAAAGGTTTTAAATATATTTGACCCCTGTTACCTTGGAAATGGAAGAAGGTCATTTGTGTGAACCAACTTGGTAGCCCTTCATCCCCGCATGTTACTGGCCAAATATCATCACCCTAGGCCTCTTTGTTTCTCAAAAGAAGTCGTTCAAAGATTTTAACATATTTGACCCCTGTGACCTTGAAAATGGATGAAGGTCATTCATTTGAACAAACTTGGTAGCCCTTGATTCCAGGGAGGTACTGGCCAATTATCATCATCCTAGGCCTTTCGGTTACTGAAAAGAAGTTGTTTAAGTAAAAAGTTGACGCCGGACAGACGGACGACGGACGCCGCACCATGGCATGAGCTAAAAACACTGTGGAATTGTCAATTGTTTTGACTGAATTCGGACATGGACCCTGAAGTGGTGCCGACTACAGTTATTGTTATGATAGATTTATTTTATACGTGTAAGAAACTACAACAATATATTTTAAAGATGTAACAAGTCAATATTGCTCATTCGGCGGCTCATTTCGTCTCTGCTGTGGCTTCAGCGACACCAAGCCTCATTGCGTAATGAAGCTTGATTACACCTTAAAATGTACAACCATCTGAAATATGTTCTGTATTCCTTGTTCAGTTGGTCCCGAAGAGAAGTTCTCAAGAAACGGCACAGTGCTGACTGTGAATAGATTGGAGAAGAACGACACGTCGTGTATACAGTGTGCGGTGGGAAACAGCGAAGGACGCAGCTTCCGGGAAACTCGGCTCGTCGTCATAGGTAATCAGCTGTTTCCAATTACAAGTAACCTACTTGACCTTTTCGGTGTATGTCAAGATTATGCTCCCCAGGGAGTTGGGAAAGATATCTACTGGTTGCAAAGGCCCTATAACCACGGCTAATAATTAGTGAACCGCTTTGAGACGACCTACGAACTAGGTTGTGATTATTATTAATTATTATTATTAAAGGGATATTTGTACGAATTATACAAGAATAAATATACGTTAATATGTTTTATATACCTTTAAATTAGTTATATCCACTGCAATATTGTTTAAAAACACATACAAGCAGTATTGCAGGCCGTTGGTATATCAAAGATAATCGCTTCTACCTGTCTGTTTCCCAACATGACATCTCTTGGAGCTGTCAGAAAGGAATATTGACGTTCAGCCGATATGGGTGTTCAACCCATATGTAACACTTGCTTTAAATAGCATTGTGATCGTTAACATTACATTATACCAATTAAGAAATTAAGCCCGTCATTTGAACTCGCATCTGTTTCATTCCAATCTATATGATAGCACTGCCTGTATATGTGGTTCTCGCAACTCCTTTTCTACTTAATTCATAATCAAACTGTTCTTTATTGTTTCCAAACACGAGACGATAAATGAATATAAATATGGTGGAGTTGGTCCAGCGCTACATTAGAGACACCATCAGATGGAGAATCCTGCCGAGTGTTTCCATACTGATCAAAACCGCTAGAAAATCCTGCTACACTTGTTCATAAATCGCCAAAAACATGTTCGTCGAAACCTCAAATAGTGTTTTAAATTTCAAAAATAATTCTCATATTATCAAAATTGTTCGTATTAATATCCCTTTGGTGATTTTTCTCAGATTATCTGTACTTTCTGAAGTGTGACGTGGGACATCATGATGGATTCTATGAACCATATTGTACCATTGAAATGCCATACTACGAGTGCTGATGCGTTTAAGTTAATTAAAGCAAGGTCATCGGCAAAATGATTTTGGACATCATTTGTAAGTAAGTCCTCTACTTTCTTTTAACGTTGTTTTGTTACAGATCCCATCACCATCCTCGAAGGTTTACCGGAGTTTGTAGAAGTAACTCCAAACACTTCAGTCGGTATACGTGTGACTGCTATAACTGACCCACGTCTGTCTCTGACATACGAGTGGTCATTTCTGGATAATGAAGTATGGACAGGTTTGCCGACAGGTGTAGCGATCAGTGACGACCAGCAGAATGCTACGTTTACTCCAAGCCCGAGTAATGTCCAGGAGATCATTGGCATATACAGGGTGGTTATCCGGCATGCCTTCGACTCGGTGATACTACATACCAACATAACAACAACGTTTTCATCAACAACACAAACAGCTGCAACAAACACTACCGAAGCAACACCAACGACAACTTCAGCATCAACAACGACAACTTCAGCCTCAACAACAACTTCAGCCTCAACAACAACAACTTCAGCTTCAACAACGACAACTTCAGCATCAACAACAACTTCAGCGAAGATGATGCCAGCCAAACCGCCTGTGGGCAATCAGGAAGAAGAACCTTCCTCCTGTAAGTAATGGTCTCTTTGAGCTGTTTTTAATGTCACTTCCTACTGTAAGTAATGGCCTCTTTGAGCTGTTTTTAATGTCACTTCCTACTGTAAGTAATGGCCTCTTTGAGCTGTTTTTAATGTCACTTCCTACTGTAAGTAATGGCCTCTTTGAGCTGTTTTTAATGTCACTTCCTACTGTAAGTAATGGCCTCTTTGAGCTGTTTTTAATGTCACTTCCTACTGTAAGTAATGGCCTCTTTGAGCTGTTTTTAATGTCACTTCCTACTGTAAGTAATGGCCTCTTTGAGCTGTTTTTAATGTCACTCCAAGTCCTTTTAATAGGATTAATAAAGATCGCTGCGAGTCAATTCAAAACAAAAGGTATAGGCACAGTAACAAGTCTATAAAACCTGGTCCTTTTATATTTTAACATTGTTACTAAACCATAGTTATCTGTCCATCAAAATAAATCTATGGCACCAATTGCAATAGTTGGGATCTTTACATTTCTCTCTGCCACTAATTACCCTTTATTACTTGGCGCCTTGCTTGGCAATACCTTTCTTTTGGCTTTGATGTTGAATATTCGCCCAATTGAGTAAGGTAATGGGTTCTGTTCCCAAGCCGGGACATACGAATATCCTTACAAAAGGTAGTTGTTATTCCCTGCTTAACGTTCAGCATTCATGGGAATGGCAACAACTGGCTTACCCGTTGTCAGTATAATGTGACAGGACGGAATGTTTTGCTGGGTTCCTTCCGCATGGTATTTCAGTAAGATAGCACTATAAAGTCAGCATCAGATCTGCGCTATCACTAGGAGGCAAATACACCAACATACCCTGCCTCCGGCACACAAACACATGCAAGCATACACAACACACATGGAAGCATGTTCTTAAATGATCCAAGCTGTTAACCCTTTCACCACTGTAGACCAAAATGGACCCATCCATATCAATGCATGGTAGAGTCTATACTGAAGTACATAGGGGTAAAAGGGTTAATAGGACGTAAAACAATATATATACAGATGTGAATTTCGGGATCTGTTGACTCTCAATGGATTTTTTTGTAAATAGTTAACGCATTAAAAAACTACAATGTACATCTATATAATTATTATGTTTGTATTGTTTTACGGCACATCGACAATTTGAGCCATTTAGCAAACGAATTGTTTATACAATATATCATATCTTATTATAGAGATGAATTGAATGTTAATAATCATAGATTGATTGCACAGAAACTGTATCGAATAAACGTTTCATAGAGGGTACATTATTAAATCTGTCACGTATTTGTTTGAAATCAGCGAATTCAATCATTAAGTGTTTTACGGTAAATGGCTGATCACAGGCATGACAACAAGGTTTATCTTCCCAGAAAGTTCAGAATGTTCGTATTCAACATCACAGACACCGTACAAACTGGCCCACGAAAAAACCGTCGAAATATGTTGGTCCTCGTCATATGCAATTAAGATATGATATTCTGTGCATGACAATTTTGCATAATTATCAAACAAATTAAAGCGTTGATATCCGTACACATACAAGTACAATTTCAACATTGAAATATACATTAGGACGTACCAATTCATCTTTGCAGCTGTACCAGTAGCTGCCATCGTGGTTATTGTCATAGCATGCATATTCGTGTCAGGACTCATCATCGCAGTCATCTGGTACAGACAAAAGTGAGTATTTGTTCTAGGGGTAGGCGAGGAAACGTGCAAGAAGATTCGTATATATCGCTAAAAGTTCAGAGAGAGGCTAATGATGACTCGTAGTGATCACTTCATTTTATATTTTAACACCAACATTGTTATAATTCATCGAGCCGTAACTAAACATTTTATATGGACCATCTATATTTTCATCTGAATCGCTAAATGTTGCTCACCAGTAATTCAATTTCATTTAATATTTTCTATGTAGGAAGCAAAACAAATTGACCATCGACCAGCCACCAGTGAAGTTCGAAAACACAAAAGACGCATGAGTCAGCTGTGACGTCATACAAAGGAATATTTATGTTCATTCATTCAAAAACGTGTCATACATGGCCGTGTGTCAGTTGTGAATACCGTCCTACAGAATAACCACCTCAATAACACCCAAAGCAGACATGTGTCAGAGAAAAAGTCGTGAATATCATCACATGGAGAAGCATCACCTTCATCACTCATATACACGTCATACATGGCCCTGTAACTGTCACTCGTCACTCCTATACACGTCATACATGGCCCTGTAACTGTCATGATATCACGTGGAGAATCAGCACCTTCATCTCTCCTATAAATGTCATACATGGCCGTGTGACTGTCATGATATCACATGGAGAATCAGCACCTTCATCTATCCTATACACGTCATACATGGCCCTGTAACTGTCATCATATCATATGGAGAATCAGCACCTTCATCTCTCCTATGCACGTCATACATGGACCTGTAACTGTCATGATATCACATGGAGAATCAGCTCCTTCATCTCTCCTATACACGTCATACATGGCCCTGTAACTGTCACTTGTCACTCCTATACACGTCATACATGGCCCTGTAACTTTCATGATATCACATGGAGAATCAGCACCTTCATCCCTCCTATACACGTCATACATGGCCCTGTAACTTTCATGATATCACATGGAGAATCAGCACCTTCGTCTCTCCTATAAACGTCATACATGGCCGTGTAACTGTCATGAATATCACATGGAGAATCAGCACCTTCATCTCTCCTAAACACGTCATACATGGCCCTGTAACTGTCACTCGACACTCCTATACACGTCATACATGGCCCTGTAACTTTCATGATATCACATGGAGAATCAGCACCTTCATCGCTCCTATACACGTCATACATGGCCCTGTAACTGTCATCATATCACATGGAGAATCAGCACCTTCATCGCTCCTATACACGTCATACATGGCCCTGTAACTTTCATGATATCACATGGAGAATCAGCACCTTCGTCTCTCCTATAAACGTCATACATGGCCGTGTGACTGTCATGATATCACATGGAGAATCAGCACCTTCATCTCTCCTATACACGTCATGGATGGCCGTGTAACTGTCATAATATCACATGGAGAATCAGCACCTTCATCTCTCCTATACACGTCATACATGGACCTGTAACTGTCATGATATCACATGGAGAATTAGCACCTTCATCTCTCCTATACATGTCATACATGGCCGTGTAACTGTCATGAATATCACATGGAGAATCAGCACCTTCATCTCTTCTATACACGTCATACATGGACCTGTAACTGTCATGAATATCACATGGAGAATCAGCACCTTCATCTCTTCTATACACGTCATACATGGCCCTGTAACTGTCATCATATCATATGGAGAATCAGCACCTTCATCTCTCCTATACACGTCATACATGGCCCTGTAACTGTCATCATATCATATGGAGAATCAGCACCTTCATCTCTCCTATACACATCATACATGGCCGTGTAACTGTCATGATATCACATGGAGAATCAGCACCTTCATCTCTTCTATACATGTTATACATTGCTGTGTAACTGTCATGAAAATCATCACATAAATACCATCAATTTGATTACTTCAGGTTCATAATAATCCATCAGTTATACAGTCAGAAGTCATCAGATGTGAAAAAATTAAATCACCAATATACAAAACTTGACACAGAAACGAACTATTACTCTTATAAATGGTTTAATTGTGTATTAAATAATTCTTATCGAAAGTAACATCTGCAATCCAATTTCAATAACTATAGTAATATATCCATTCATTAACACATTATCACCCATGGAAAACTAATTTTATTAAGGCTATTACAAATGAACTTTGCACCAATATTGATGCAAAGTAAATCATGATTGTACATCGTGATTGGCACTATCTGGAATATAAATGCATGTAAAAGGCAATACATAAGAATCCACAATAAAAAATGCTGTTCAACAATTAAGCGGTTTATGTTATTCATGATCTAAAATATCTCATCACAAATATTTATTCATTAATATGTATTAAAAATGGATTAAAGTTGTGTCAAGTTTACAAAAATATCTTTGGCATGTTATATTTTTATATCTCATGTGGCTCAAAGGGAAAAGCGAGCTTATGCCATGTCTCAGCATCCCTCGATACATTTTTCACTTAAAGACTTCTAGTCCAGAAGGGCAGAAGGTATTTTAACAGTATCTAGCATAGATCATTTCATGCGAAAAAGGTGGAAATCTTCTCATGACCACTCAATAAATGTGATTAAAGTCATGTTTGACCTAATTTGTCATGGATTATCCCTGGGCCATTGGGATTTCAAGTTGTATAACTGAAAGGAAGCAGAGAGGACATGCTAAAAAGGGAAAAACATAAGCTGTCAACCTCCCTCATTAGGAGGAAGACTCTCTCATTTTGACCAAAAATACCAATCTCCCTCGAAACTCCCTCATTCAAGTCCAAATCACACAACCTGAAAATCTACATCATTGGTCAAATGATATCCTACAAATGTAATTACTGCTTCTTTAATTTATTTTGATACATAAAAAGGGAAAGACGAATTGAGCGAAGCAGCTTCAGTGGGATTTCCTACCCTTTTCTCAGTCATTGGAAACGTGGAATTAGGGAGATTTTCTCTCATTGGAGGTTTCAGAGGTTGACACCTATAGAAAGATATACATATATATTTCTGATAAACAACCCCTTAAACACGATCAAACGGATTTAATTAATTTGGCATGAAATATTTCTAAACATAATAAGTTTAAAGTTATAAAATGAAGAGTGTGCCCCCTTCCTCTTATACTGTTACGCATGTCCCATTAACAGCCATGGTCATTTACATATAAAAGACAAACCAGGTTTTGGTAGTGGAGAAAAAACGGAGAACCTGGAGAAAAATGATCAATCTGTGGCCAATACTTTGCAACTGCCCCATATAGGCCTTGAACCCATGTCTCGGAGGTAGAGGGGTTGTGATCGTAGACGGTCGGACACAATAACCACCCACCGTTTCGAATCTTGACCCCACCTCTGCACAGGGGACCAGGGGGGTGGGGTTCAAATTAAAGCGGATATAGGTACTAATATTTTTAGGACTCCTTCACAAATACGAGTGAAGTCAACTTTTTACCTAAGTTATCAGGGAATACATGTAACTATTGATGTAAAGAACTTAATTCTTCTATACTAGTACAAATACTGAAGGTAACAGTATATATATATAAATTTAACACTTGTATGAAAACACTTACCAATGCTGATGCTGACAAACAGGAAATTACTTAATACATTTTTTTCTAGTATGAGAGGTACACTAATCAACCAACCTGATTATGAAAATAGACATATATTTAGAGGTTCATTTACAATGATAGCCATTTATATAGTCATTCATGAAATCATAAGTACCCTTATCAAACAGGTAAAGGCAGACATCATGGAGTTAGTTATATCAAAAATATTCAATGACTGCCTACAGTTACAGTTATAACTTATATCTTATCTTTTTCCTAAGAAGTTGGACATGCAAAAATTATCTCACCTAATCACAGACCATAACAATTATATAAAAAATGAAGAAGAAAATACCAACACCATCATTTACATAAATGCAAATTATTATCCAGGAAAATAGCAGAGGATTGAAGGTATTACGTCATAAAGTGTAATCAAATGTTATGATCCAATCACAAATTTTGTTACATTATTATTCTTTGTCAACAAAATCCAGAGTAAACATTTGAACGATGTAGATTTGTGCATATGAACCATATAACGAAGTAAATGTTGCCAAGCTAGTTGGTTTACCACAGCATCAGGTGATGACAGCTAACTGTTGTCTGGGTACAGAGCCTTTAACAGCAGTTTTTTATTACACTTGCCCATATGGTTCCTGGGTAACTCTGCCATCACCTCCAGTACAGTGGGGATTTCATACCTAGACAGTTTGTCAGAACAGAAGTCCTGTACTTCTCCCAATGTCAGGGTCCTGTTCTCACGCAGACAGATGACCGCCACAACCTGCTGACCATACACCGAGTCAAGCTTCCCAATAACCGCGACATCACAGATATGTGCGTGTGTCCTAAGTACCTGTTCTACATCAAGGGCGCTGATTTTGAAGCCTCCAACCTTGATGATATCAACACTGACCCTCCCCTGGATCTTGTATAGCTCCCCGTTGTAGTGAACGTTGTCACCTAAAAATATAACTCTGATGAAGTTCTTGCTACCCAAACACATAACTTGTACACAGTCTTTAATTATCAACTAAATGAATAACTCATACGCAGTCCTCATCTTACATGAATGAGTATTTATAAGTATTGTTCTTTCATACTCTCCCAACAAAGGATGCGATAGTCTTGCATATTGAGTGAAAAGTGTTTCTCATGGTTGTGGCCAGGCTATAACCAGGCAAAGCTGTGATATGTCGATGTGCAGTGGAAGTTTAAAACTTGAAATGTTTTTAAAGTAAATGTTAAAGTCACTCTTACAAAAAATAGACTAGGGGAGGGGGTTTGTCAGGCACCATGGAAGGCCCTTCTTAACCTGTCATTGTACTATAAAAGCTATTGATTATCGCTGACTGTTTTCCATTTACTATTTGCCTGATTCGCTCTTACCTATGAATGTAATATTACAAGACTCTTTCATGCCCAGGGGTGTAGGATAGCGAAATTCCACCCGAAGGGGTTTTCAAATTTGGTAAAACTCGAGACTTTGCCGAGGATTTTGCCAAATTTGAAAATCCTGAGCGTGGAAATATCAGCAAATATCAATTTTCCCCTGAGCTTTTTAGACGAAAACAAATCAAGCAGCCAGATTAAGCATATCCCATGTTTGCATAGAAAATTTAATCACATCTTTCTAACGTGTACGGCAAATATATAGTGAAAGGTTTTAATTTCCTCACGTCGCCTTTCCCACATTGCGGCATCGGAGAGTTCCAAATTTGTGACGTCACGTCGTTGTTGAGCCATTGTGAAGTCACGTCACATGAAATGGGGTGTAAGATAGAAATTTCCTACACCCCTTTCTTACTCTAGACAGCTCTATCTTACACACAGGGAAATGAGAGAGGAAACTATTTTCATACCTAAGTGTAAAATATAGATGTTCCCCTATAAGTGATGGTTAGTTATTGTGTTTATCTACCTGGAGTTAGTTCAAATTGCATAAGACATGGGGTTTACCAAGTGTCCTTTAATTTATAATCTTCACATTAACTAATGAGATTTAGCTAGAAGATAAGATTATCAACCATCACTATTTTGGAGACCTTTTTCTATCATTATGTTCATATACTTTCATCTAGAAAGGCATATTTTTCTCCTAGAAATATGTGATTCATGTATCTGATCAGGGAAAATATTTTTAATGAATGATGATGTCACAATGGAAGATGACAGCTGGACAAAGACTTGTTATGTGAAGTCTTAATTGAAATAGACCATGTGGGGGTGCAGTCCTTATCTCAGAAACTGAAGGACTAATTGGTAAGAGTGGCCTTGACCTTAGAAATTAAAACCCTTATTGTACATTTACAGTTCACTGTGTATTACCATGTCAAATTTTAGGTAAAACAGTCTTTTGGATTCCAAGATAATCTCCGGAAACAAAAATGGAGACAGACAGACGTCAGACAGACACTATTTACTACAGGGCACCTAGCTGCATCTCTGATGTTGGGCCAAAATTAACACGGACTTGAAAAACAAAAGCAATCTCTCACCATATTAATACTTAGAAATGGAATATATTTACAGCTGCTTCAATAAACTCCAAACTTTGATTCTGTTAACCAGCTGACCTACCTGTGATAAACCAGCCGTCCTTTGTAAAGGATTGCTCTGTGGCCTCAGGCAGGTTCCAGTAGCTACCAAACACGTTGGGGCCCTTCACAAGTAGCTCTCCAGTGACAGCCTCATCTACACAACAATATAGGCAGGGGTGACACAGGAATTACAGGTACATACATCCATATACAATGTATATGCAGATAGATTATAAATATAGGCAGGGGTGACACAGGAATTACAGGTACATACATCCACATAAATGTATACGAGATAAATAAAAAATCAACAAGCAAATTTGTGGAAGAAAAAAAAAGCATTATAGTAGGTACTAAAGTGTAAATTAACCGCTTAATCCATCAGAATTTACTAACCTCATTAATTATCCATAGATATGCACAAATCACATCGGTTGGCAAACTTAGCATGAGTCGGATGTGCATACGGAATTTGGTTGAAATATCTGCACAATATCTACAGCAATTATCACAGGAAAACCAAAGAGTGCCCGAGATGGGTGGAAAAACAGAGGAACACAAACATTGTTATCAAGTTTAAAGGAATTTGGCTAACATTTGCTAGAGTTATTAAGCAAAAACTGCCGATAATGACGTTTTTCGTTAATCAAGGGTCCATAACTCCGCCAAATGGAGTCCAATAAAAGTGGTTGTCAAACTTGGCCGAGCCCTTAATGTGTTGAACCCTGTTACAAAGTTTGAAGACAATCGGTAATATTTGTTGCGGTTATTGCACAGAAACGGCAGATAATGACGTTTTTCGTGATTCAAAACTCCCCCAAATAAAGTCGGCTGAAAGTGATTATCAAACTTTGCTGAGTTCTACGGCGCATTTAACCCTGTGACCAAGTTTGAAGAAAATCGGTTAACATTTGTTGTAGTTATTGCACGGAAAGGAAGCGTGCCAGAGAGACAAACAAACACAAATTAATATCCCCCGTTTCGGTGAAAGCGGGGGATAACAAGCTAAGAAAACTACAGCCGATCATCGATAATGCTTAAAAATATCAGAAATGATCACATGATTTGCCTTGATATTATTTTTCGCAAATCTAAACGGTACACAAAGTCTTCACAAGATTACACTGTATATAGACAGTAGTGCTCTCTGGTGTCCCTGACACAGCATGTTGAACCTGTTTATTACTTACCTGTGTAGACAGTAGTGCCCTCTGGTGTCACTGACACGGTATGTTAAACTAGTTTATTACTTACCTGTGTAGACAGTAGTGCCCTCTGGTGTCCCTGACACAGTATGTTAAACCTGTTTATTACTTACCTGTGTAGACAGTAGTGCCCTCTGGTGTTACTGACACGGTATGTTAAACCTGTTTATTACTTACCTGTGTAGACAGTAGTGCCCTATGGTGTCCCTGACACAGTATGTTAAACCTGTTTATAACTTACCTGTGTAGACAGTAGTGCCCTCTGGTCTCCCTGACACAGTATGTTAAACCTGTTTATTACTTACCTGTGTAGACAGTAGTGCCCTCTGGTGTCCCTTCACAAAGTATGTCATACTTGTCAGGATTGTCCTCGTTGAACTTCACTATTCTCACTTTGACATAAGGCATTGGGTTTCCTACAGTACCTACCAATGTTAAATACAACGTCTGTAAAGTATAGTTACTGATTTTGATAAATTGAAAGTCAAGATGAAAATTTCAGGCGTTCTTACTTATATTTATCTATCATATATACAACAAGACATCATCAGTCTTGTTAACTTGAGCTGTGGCCAAATACTTATTGATATACTGTGTATAATTAATATGAATTGTACAAGTGCCATAACTAGTTCGCAAAAAAAACACCAAAATTCCTACCAATTATTCTCTTTTTCTCTGCCCAATCTGAAAAACAAATTTAAACAAAATGTGATATGCATTACTGATTTGATTGTGTTTGTAATAAATGGAATAGAATTACTGTGTGTGATTGGTACTTCTGATGACACTGTTTTAATTATTCAGTACAATGTGAACAAATGTTTTCTATCTATGACTTTTACTGATGTTCTATAAAGTATTCATCCCCATAAGATACCTATATCCGGGTGAGATATTTATGCATAAAATACTAATCCGGGTGAATATTTTATGGCGGATGAAAATTTTACATGACACCTGTATTTTCTCTTTTAAATAATCATTAATGCAATCTTTGACATAACAAAAAATCCTAGTGGAATCTTGGCACCCCAGCTGCACAAGATCCATATTAGTTCTATGCAAGTTTAATCTTTTCATTTTTCTTTTGCTTTTCTAATGAAGCACAAAATAAAATATGGACACCTAGAGGTAACACAAAGCACCTGTTTATATAAAAACATGGCTGCCATGCATTTTTATCTCCAAATGTAATTTACTAAGGAGTAGTAACAGCCTTTATCATAAATATTATTACACTTTATGTATGTCAATATGAAAGGATTCTTGTAACACAACCAATAAACCAGATAAAGGAAGCCATCTGGATATGCCGCAGTGGGCCAGTTCTAAATCGAGATGAGGGGGCTCATAGACTCTTGAACATCTATGACCAAGTATTAAACAAAGCGTAGCTGATTGAGTCATTTCGGTACATATATAACAACTAATTGTACATACGCGTACAGCGTAGCCGAATCGACGTCGATTTGAGGACAACTCGTACACATTTTACGCCTTTGTGTGCATACGCTTCACTGGTCATTTGTATGATGAAAGTGACAAGAGTACATACCGTACTAGTCATCGAAACGTCACATAGAAACAGGTATTGGTTGTGTTACAAGAATCCTTTCATAACCCATACTTACCAATTCAACCTGAAGAAAATGTTTAGAAATTAATGTATGTCAAATTACAAACAACCAAGTTCAGATGCTGTTGGTTAAATAATACATTGAGCTCCTGAATTTGACCTGGTGTTTACACCCTTGTTATAAAGGGAAGGATGAGAATATGAGAAATGATACCTCAATAGTCTATTTCAGGAAAATTCAAACATAACACCAATTTTAAAGTTTTTTTTGAAAGTCATAGCAGGATTGTGTTCAAGAGACCAAAAGCTCAAGCAATATTTGTGGAATTTGTAATACCTGTACAAACGATTAAATATGGGCATAGATCATGATTTATCGGAATTTAAGAAGGATATGATGAACATCTGTGAAATTGTTATTTATTGTATGTTCAAACTTTACCAGTGGAATGTACTGTTTCAATGTTGTTAGTGAGGATCATTCCAGTCTCCGACATCCCATACCGCTCCAACAGGAAGTGACCAGTCCTAGCCTCCCATTGCTCTAAGACAGTTGTGGGCAGTGCGTCTGAGCCACTCACCATAAGCCTAAAACAACATTTTGTAAAGTAAGCTATATATAATTGTGGAAATAAAATAATTAATATACAATGTATCAGATACACCAACATTTTTCTTAAATCTAACCAACTACATTTTCTTCACCAGAAACGCATTCAAATGTATCCTATGGGTGGCCATTTTAGGATAAAATACATAAACTACTTAAGTGCAAAAAACCCAAATGGCCATTATGTACTTTTTAAACTTAAGTGTAAATGACTTCCATTTAAGATTTCCACTTACATTGGCTCTCAGGTAATCCTATGCAAGAACTTTCACAAGAATGGATCTGACCTGTAGAAAATTAGGGATAAGTTCTTTCCTGGAAGGGGATTATGTACATGTCACCATTGTAAAATTCTAGCAATATCCTTATGACTCTGTCCAGAATTTCTGTTTAGCTCGTTTGGTAGACCAGAAGCCATTAGGCTCAACCCCTAGAGGAGGCAGTGAAAAATTGATGTCCTCTGTGGCATAAGGAATAGCATTTTTTTTAACTGGGATCGATGAACACTAAATTATAATAGTGAAGATATTTTGAGGTTTCAGTGACTGACTAAAATATTACCTCATGTTCCACCTCATGTCACTGTCTTTTGCCTTAATATGTTCATCACTAGCAGACATGTCCGACTTCTGGTCCAAGGTCTTCAGGTATTCTATTAACTTGGCGTAGATAGTGGGTACTGCCATCAACACTGTAATGTTTTCTTTACCTGTCAGCTTCATCAACACCTGAAAATAAACCTCGTGAAAGTAAGACACCGCTTACTGCTCTGTTGAAATAAATATACATGTTATAATGAACCTCAGCTTTTGAGATTTCTACCGACGAACACCTGATGGCAATGTAAGTAAATGTTTTCCAAAACAGTGTAAAATGAAAACATTTCAATAAAATGGCACTGGTTAGCTTAAAATGAAAAATAATAAAAATTGGAATTAAAGTAATTTAAGGAATGTTTCCATGCAAGTGCACACCTTCTTAACAAAATTTACAATAGCACTGTGAGATTGAATTAGATGTCGAGTGAGTGAATGTACCTGGTGTGCATCAAACTTGGGCAGCATGACACACGTGGCACCACAGTACAGTGGAGTCATGAGTGCGTTCACCAGGCCGTGAACATGGTACAGTGGCAGGACATGGAGGATTCTGTCTTTGGGGGTCCATCGCCATGATGACACCATACCCTCCATGTTGGCTGTGACGTTCCGGTGGGTTAGCACGACACCCTACGGACAGTCATAGGACATAAACAAATATTTCGTTACTCACGTTCAGTGCGCCGGGGGAGTGGGGTTGGGGAGGCAGGGAGGTATGTTAGTGACCCTCATCACTAACAATTATTATTTTCCTGGCATGGGGCCACTATAATAAAGTTAACAACTACTTTATATCTCAACAGACATATTTATATCATCTGAACACATAGTTGCCTCCATGTAACCCCAAACACCAAAAAGTATATTGGAATAGCTAGTCCTCAATGAATATTTGAATCCATCTCGCATCAATATGAGATGTTTTCACAAGTGTGGAGCGCAGGTAAACTTATGTTGAAGTCTTTTTCTTCTTAAGTAATATCAAGCAGGTAACATTATATAAATATCACATTCATGAGAGGGCGATATTGCATATTTTCACCCCTCGGAAAGCATTGTGGACCGAGGCGAAAAGTTTTCACTGGGATGAACCAGGGGCGCATACATTTGGCGCATGTAACAATTTTTGGAATAACACCCTGGCACTGGGACGAACCGTGCACGCATACGTTTGGCGCATGTGATATTTTTTGGAATAACACCCTGTCTTCTTTATCTTTGTAAAACGAGCAAGTTAACATTGAAAATGTTCACATCTTTCTCAACCAATCAGATTATGAGATTTTAACAGAAGGTATAATAATAAAATATATCTCCCAAATTTTATGACAAGGAAAACTACTAAATTTCCCTTGTTAAAATTTAATGTATATCTTTGTGAATTGAAAGCTTTTGGAATTTTCAAAACAACAAAATTATTGAATAGTTTTAGGTCCTAATCCTTACCTTTGATAATTGTTATGAACCAGTAATCTTACCTTTGGGTTACCAGTGGTGCCACTTGTGTAGATAATGACAGCTGGTATATTATCATAAAACCTTTTCTCTATCATATTTATAAGCTGATCTTTGGTTGTTCCGAACCGGGCCTCCTGGACTTTCCAAAAGTCGAACCCTGTCCGACATTTGTCTGTGTAGTCTGCTGCTGCCAGCTGCAGACATGGAATGTTATGGTTAGTGGCGATATCTTCCACCTTGTCCTTAAACGCATTACATGTCACTATAGCAGAACACTTGGCATCCTTTACCCGGTACTCAAGTTCCGAGGGAGGATGTGTCTTGGCCAGAGGCACAGCCACTCCTCCAACCATCCATACCCCCCACAAGGCTGTCACAAAAGACATATCATTCTCACAGAGTATTGCCACCCGACGGCTCTCCAGCGTGCAGGAAGGAGCTATTTGACAACTTTCTGATAGGCGTTGCCCCATCTTATCTCCGAGATACAGTAGGTCCCGGTATGTAAAACTACCATGGTGATCAATGATTGCCAAGTTGTTCAAGTGATTTACAGACCGCAAATACAGAGGAGTGGATAAGAATCCCTCATCTGTCACTTGTGATGAGTACTGCTGGGTTCTTGAACATGACTGATGAAATACTGAGAATGTCCTCACATTCCTGGAACAAACCTTGGCCGAGACAGACGGTGACTGACACACACCAGCCAAGCCTACACCTAGAAGTGATATGGCCCTCCCGTAATACAGCGTTCTCTTCGGTTGATGCAGTTGTCGCCAGGACACCGCCTTTAATCCTAATCTCATCAGCACCATTCTTTTTTGCATTCTGAATACATGGTAAAATACTCAAGCAAGATTATTATGACACAGTGAGGGATATGCCACAATATATCTTATTGTATTGTATCGTATCACGATACTTTATTGTGTATCCTATTGAAATGTTTTGTCCACCTCTATTACGATACGCTAACAGTACTTAAATTATCAATCAGTTTTTATCAAACTCTAAAAAAGTGTTTTCATTTTTTAATCCTTCAGTCAGGTGTGTACAAGAAATTATACAAAACTATATTTCGATAGTATTTATTATTGAAGTTTGACATAACTTGATAAAATCATGCACTCAATCATTTATTATAAAGGTGATCTTTTAAGCAGCTATTTTTATCGTGATACATATTGTATAGTATTATCATGAGGTACAGTATGGGTATCATTTCAGCCGTATGACACAGCACTTTGCAATTTCCCCTAGAACAGCATATGAACAGAGACGTATATATGTAATATATACGTCTCTGATATGAAGTATTATCTTTTTCACAACTAGATTATCACCAATGTCTGTTGTCCAAATAAGACTGAATCTGTTTAAGAATTAATTGAAACATTGGGAAAAATGTCCGTATATGAACGCATAGATATTGACTTAACATCATCAGCAACCGTTACAATTTGACACTTGACGAGTACAACTTTCTTAAAAACTATTTCCTTCTGACAATATATATATATTACTGTAATGCTGCTTTTAGTGCTCTCTCTTTCGTTCTCTCAGATGACAACTATATTGTTACCACAGCTTTTGGTGGTTCCTCGAACACTGTCTTACCCATCATTAGATTACCCTATATATATATATTCATGTGTATAATGTAAATGGCAGATATGTAAATGGCAGATTTAATTAGAAGGGAGGTTTCTTTTCTCTTTCCCTGGTGTATCCACACTTTTACTAGTGTGAGATTTCCTTGTCTCACCCTAGGGTTGAGACAGGGGGGATTCCCCTATTCATAACAATGGTAAGACGTACGTATCTACAACAATGCAATGACGTCATGTCAACAATCCATCAACATCACGTCAACCCTGAATTTAGCATGTAATGTTATCATTACATTGTGTATAAGATACACAATGGGAGAACAGGGTAAGAAAAAACGAATCATTCATCCCCTTCTGGGTAAGATAGAGGAATCTAAACCCTCGGGGAAAGATTCTTAAGTTGGCAAACACAAGGCTTTCAACTTAAGAATCTTCCCCCTCAGGTTGAGATTCCCCTATCTCACCCCCAAGGGGTTGAGAGATTCTATTAATCCCACATCTGCAGGTTTGACAATGACCAGAACAAGGAATAAAGCCCCATCAATAAATCTATGAAGGGGGTAACCATGCACCAATACCAATGGTATATGTGTAGTGGAAAAACACTACTACAGTACGTCTCTGCATGTGTCAGGCATGCCACATGAGAAAGCCGGAGAAACGTAGCAAAAGAGCCTATTTGATGAAACCTGTTGTTGTGGAATCGTAATAACTACAACGATCTCGATGACATTGTGACAGCTTAAATCTGAAGAACAAACCAGCTGCTATCTGGATTTGGGATGAAGCAGAAATACCTGAAATATATATACTCCTGTGAAGGTTACTGCTGATAGAAGGTTAAAAAGCGTCGTTGGCAGGAGTCGACCAGCAACAACTGGTAGAATATTACAGCATTGTGTGTCAATGCCACAGGTGAAAACATTCCATCTATGATTATTGGAAGGGTTTGTGAGTAAATTTTTGGTTTAATGTCCTCGCAACAGCTAGAGTCAGTGGCGTAGCAAATCATGTTTCGGAGTGTATGCTTACAGAGAGTCACTGTGCGAGGCACGTAGCTCCTGGGGAGTGGAACTCCTTCTCTGATAGCTGGAAAAAATATTCTTCTAGGCCCTAGAAACAATCCCTTTTATTCTGGGAACTCCTTTTAGTCTGATTATTATCAAGTAAAACCCGACTTTTTATATGAATAATATCAAATTGTGTACTTCACTAAAAAGTTGTTTGCATAAACCGTTGAGATTTGTCAATGTTTATAGACATAACAATTTTAGCAACACTATTTTATCAGAATTTTCAAGAAGATTTTTTTTTAAATCTTTCCTTTTTTTTGTGATTGATACGGACTGTCCATATATATTAGTCATACAAAAAGAAATTAATAAAAATATATGATTAAAAAATCTTGAAAATTTAGTGTATGCTTGAGCATACAAGCATTATACATGTATGCTACGCACTGACAGTCATATGAAGACAGTTGTGTAAGGAGACACTGCCAGGAAAAAAAGTAGAAAGAACAGAAAGACAACAAGAAAGATAGGAAACAAGAAAGATCCCAATTATTGCAGATCAATTTTGGTCTCTTCCATGTCCCCTTTGAAGAGGACACGGCAGAAAACCCCTAATTCTGCAGAAGGGCCCTCAATAGTCGCCTTTTATGATAAACATTAAGTGGGATACAGCGGACCTATTCTTGATTTCGTCAATTTCCCCTTTAAAGAAGACAAGAGAAACAACCCCTGAGGCATATTAGAAGGGGTAAAACGTTAAAATGGCTGTTTGGATACAACAGGAAGGAGGAGCCAGCTGGAACTCTGTGGACCTATCAAGAGAAAGCTGTGATGAACAACAGCATTTGCGAGTGAATGTTCTTTGGCGAGTGGTTTTCTTGGCAAACACCAGACATCTATGTCAAAATGTCTTAGTCTGGTGTAATGGCCAGAGAAAACTCGGGCTATGTAATATCTTACAGTCTTGTGCTCTTGTAATCACAGTCACTGGCTTGAAGGAGATCGGGTGAGGACAATCATGAGTGCCTGTGTTGTAATGCTTTTTATGTGTGCCTTTTACCTGAATAAACATTACATGGCCAGTCGACGGGGAGGAAAGTGGGGTGTACGTTAGCTGCGATAACGTAGCTAGCGTGCAGACAGCTTGAAGCCATGATGGTGTATTGCCTAAATAAAAATCTTACATATTAAGTTGAATTTTGAGTCTAAATTAAACACTACCTGTGTTAAAATACACTCAAATCACCAGACTGTCACGTCATACAGAAACTTCCACGAGCTGATCAAATATGTTGTCCCACTACCGGCGAGTTTCCAGAGTTGTTACTATCCTGACTAGTAACGGCGTGATCTTATTCTCCTGATAGTGTGGGTCGAAGTGCTGAAACCTATCACTGTTCAGGCCGAACGCGTTTAACTCATTCGTCCCCTAAAAACACATTTGAACCCTTCCAATTCAGAGGTTGGAATAGTTTATTATCAAATTTCAGGGGTGAATGAGTTAAGCACACTGGGCTCGTTACAAATGTCTAATACACATGTATAAAATACACATGTATAAATGTGTTTGAGATTGGTAAAAGCAGGACAAGAGGACATTCTCAGAAAATATGTACATTAGAAACATTTTTTTTTTCAATTTCCGAATATTGGAACATGAGTTCACCTGAATTGTACATTGTTACATTATGAACATTGTATTACCTGAAGTAGGGATGTGTAGTCCAGCATGGAGTGGGATATTTATTGGTATGGTTAATTTAAAGAGGCTTTAATTGAAGCCTGCGTCAATCAAAATTTCCTAATAAAGTATTTAATTCGGTATATAATTCGTTTAGTATTTAATTCACGATATATCGTGATGACCTTATAGATACATCTATATTTTCTTATGTATGTTAATTAACTCCTAAATTATTAATCGTAAAAACCTTTTGTAAATTGCTATATGCATTCGAAGGCTAGCTACAACTGTAAAACTTAAACTTTTGACACATTTTCAGATTATAGAAGTGTTTTCGTGAAGAGTTACGCTACAGAAAACAAATTTTCTTGGGAAATGAAATCTTGTGCGCGAATCTGATGTTGACTTTATAGTGAAAAGGAAACCTTGTGTTTAACGATAAGTTTTCTTCCATAAATTTAGTAAAACAGATAATGCGAATGAATGCATACTTCACAATATCATAACAAATATAGTGATGTGGCGGCAGTATTTATCATATTTTTGTGTTACAGTAGAAGTTTGTTAAAAACGTTCAGGTAATAACTGAAGTGCACATTTTAACATGGATTATTTAATACTTAATTGGTTTTATTTTGTTTAACGTCCTAAGGTCATATAAGGACGAGCCTTCATGTGTGGATCTGATGCCGACGTTATATTGCTTTTTCCCCGATTTGGTTTTGGTTTCATTTGGTTTAACGTCCTTTTAACAGCTAAGGTCATCAAATGACGTTCTTCCGTGTGTGTTGTGTAATTGTGCATGTGTGTATGTGTGCTCGAGGCAGGATATGTTGGTGTACTTGCCTCCTTATGATAGCACAGATTGTATGCCGACTTTATAGTGCTATCTCACTGAAATATCACGCCGAAGGCTCCCAGCAAAGCATTCCACCCGGTCACATTATCCTGACAACGGGTGAACCAGTTGTTGCCATTCCCCTTAATGATGAACGATAAGCGGGGTATAACAAATACCATTGTTAAGGACTTTGGTATGTCCGTCTTCGCCTAGGGACAGAACCCATGGCTTCTCTCACATGGGCGAACGCTCAACATTCAAGCCAAAAGTGAGGTGTTGCCAAGCAAGACGCTAGAAAAAAAAGGTACAGTGCCGTGCCAAAAGTGAAGATAATTTTCACAACGTCATTTTAATTCCGGGTTACTTATTTTGGTTAAAAGGGGCATTCCTCGGAAAGTGCCCCTTCTTCCACACATTTACTCAAGCGATGCTTTTCAAAGGGTCATAGGTCACTGGAAGTGATTGGTCGTCTGCTTTGTTTACATTTCGTACAGTTTTGAGAATGTCACCAAAACGTAAGGAATTGTTAATATCGGAGAAAAATGCCATTGCAGCATTGCATAAAACTGGTGTGATGGGACCTGATATTGCACGGCAAACGGGACATCCACTCCCAACTATTTATGGAGTTTTAAATCATTTAAAAGGTCGAGGGAGTTTGGAAAACAAGGAGAGAACTGCATGGTAGGCCAAATATGCTAACACAGCGGGATACTCGCAAACTTTGCATCACTGTAAAATCAAATAGTAAAACGTCCACTTCATAAAATAATTTTTAATGAATTCAGGGAAGAACCTAGCTGTGTCTAAGAGTACTGTTCAGAAAAAATTGTATGAAGAAGGCTATAAAAAGTGTGTTGTTAAAATATCCATTAGAATTCGTGCCTCAAATGTCAAAAAAAAGGCTGGCACGGTGTAAATTGAACAGACACAAAACTCTTGAAGATAATTGGAGAAGAGTCATCTATATTGATGAATATAAGGTCGAAATTGGAATGGATAATCGTGTTTTAGTCTGGAGACGGTGAAGAATGGACACATTCCTGTTTAAATCTTGGGCGTGGTACACGTGGATCTGGGGCTGCATTACCTCTGAAGGTGTTGGGACTATTACTGTTGTAACTGGTTATATTAATGCTTTAAAATATATTGAGATATACAAGTTTGAGTTTACAATTTTGTTTGGCCTGTTATTGCTCGTCATTTCCCTGATAACAATAACATATACCAGGATGACAATGCTCCGTGCTCCGGTTCATAGAGCTAATTCTGTGAAAGAGTACATGGACCAAAATCAACTTCATGGTATAAAATGGCCGGCACAAAGACCAGACCTTAATATAATTGAGAATATGTGGCGTAAAATGAAACTTGAACTGCAAAAACAGGCATATAAAGTCATCACAAAGGCTCAGATGGAGACAACAATTCGGGACATATGGACAAATATACCCCTAGAATTCATAAAAAACTTTATGATTCGATCCCAAGACGTTTGAGGCAAGTGATCAGGGCAAAAGGAAATATATCAAAATATAAGTTGAGTTCGGATGATTTTATTAATATAATTAAAAAGGTTGAAAAGTGACAGGTGCTTGACAACTGGATGTGGCAGCCATCTTGAAGTATCTTCACTTTTGGCACAAGTCTAGTTAGAACCAGATATGTATTATACGTCTCTGTTAGAACTAGAGAGAAACATAAGGATACCAAATATTTGAATGGATGCAGCAGATTTATTTTGGACGCTTTATTGTCCCCAAGAAGAGGATGGATGCAAAAGCAAACCTCCAATTCTGCAGGGGGTTCCTCATTAGTCGCCTCCTTCGAAACATACAGAGGGTAATAGCAGTTGAATTCGTTTCTCAATCCCCGACCGGCAGGTGTGTATTTGTAACTTAAAAGTTATTTTTATCTCAGGAAAAAATAATATTGGTTGCAAAAGATTCAACTTCCTTTCAACAGCTGCCATTTAAGGACGTGCCTCATTGTGTGTTGTGTATGTTTGCTGGAGTGGAAGCATGGACTATTGGTGTATTTACCTCTAAGTAACAGCGCGGATCTTATATTGAACCATACTTACAATAGGTGAACCAGTTGTTGTCATTACCCCAAATGCTGAACATTAATCGAGGAATAACAACTTCCAATTTTAAGGACTTTGGTATTTCCCGGCCTGGGGATGGAACCCATTGCCTTCCTCACTTGGGCGAATTTCAACATTAAAACCAAAAGTGAGGTATTGTCAAGAAAATAAAAAGAACCCAACTATTGAAATTACAGCAAATCTAATTTGGTAGCTTTTTTTTTGTTCCCATGAAGAGGGCACAAAAGCAAATCACCAATTCTGCAGGTAGTCATCACATTAGTCGCCTCGTGCGATTTTTCTGGATCCCCGACCTGCAGGGGTGGTATTGTAAAGTGAGGAAATATAGGTATTTAGTAGTAAAGAGAAATACAAAGATCCCAACTATTGCAAATATGCAGCAGATTTATTTTGGTCGCTTTTGTGTTCTGGAGTAGAGGACACAAAAGCAAATCCCCAATTTTGCAGGCGTTCCCACATTAGTCGCCTCTTACAATACATGTAGCGGGTAACGCTAACAGCAAGTGTATTCTTTTCTCGATACCCGACCAGCAGGGTGATTAACAAATAAGTTCCTTTTAAAATGTGCCTTGTGTGTAACCTATGCATGTATGTTTGCCTCCTTGCGACAGTGCTTTCTCATTGAACTAACATGCAGAAGGCACCTAGCATGGTACTCCACCAAGTCACATTATATGACAACAGGTAAACCAGTTGTTCCCTTTTCCCTTAATACGTTTACATTAGCAGGAAATAACTAACATTTTTAATGACCTTGTAATGTTCCGGCCTTGGGACAGAACCAATTGCCTTCCTCACCTGGGGTCCCTTAAGGTAGGGCGTACGAATTGTACCTGATGCCCCTATTGCATGATCGTAAGAGGGGACTAAATTTGGGATCTTTTCTCTTCTTTCTAAACAACTTTCTTCTTCCTTATGTCTCCCTTGACAATGCCTCATTTTTGGACTTTAGTTGAGCGTTCGCCCCATGTGAAAAAGGCTAAGGGTTCTGTCCCATGACCGAGACATACGATAGTCTGAAAAAATTGTAGTTTGAACTCCTGTTTAACGCTCAGCAATTTAGGAGTGGGAAGACTAGTTCGCCCGTTGTCAGTATAATGTGAACGGGCGGGGTGTCCTGATGGGTGTCTTCGTCAGTAGGTTTCAGTGAGGTAGCACTATAAAGTCGGCATCATTTCCGCGCTATCACAAGGAGACTAACACGAACATATCGCATCTTCCCAAAACACACGCATACACTACTACACGCATGCATCTTGCACACAGTGGAGGCCGTCCTTAAATGAACATAGCTGTTGGTAGGACGTTAAACAAAACTAAACCAAACCAATCCAATACAGGTCAAGGTCGTTTATTTAAAAAAAACTTGGTAGCCCTTTAACCTGGCATGCTACTGGCCAGATATCATCACCCTGTGCTTTTTTGTTATTCAGAAGAAGTCGTTTAAAGTTTTTTTTTAAACGATTGACCTCTGTGACCTTGAATATGATTGAAGGTCATTCATTTGAACAAACTTGGTAGCCCTACATTCAAGCATGCTACTGGTCAAAATATCATCACCCTAGACATTTTGATTATTGAGAAGTTGTTGAACGATTTTAACATATTTGATCCCTGTGACCTTGAATATGTCATTTATTTGAACAAACTTTGTAGCCCTTCATCCCAGCAGGCTACTGACCAAATATTACCGTCCTGGTCTTTTTAAGTCACCTGAGCTTTAGCTCAAGTGACTTATTGCTATCCGTCTTCGTCCGTCGTGCATTGTCCGTTAACATTTTTACATTTTCAACTTAAGCTGAAATACTGTCAAAGAGATTTCATTGATACTTCATGGGAATATAACTTTCACCTCCCTGACCAAGTGTTGTTATTTTTCGGCTCGATCAGAAATCCAATATGGCCGCCATTTTGAAAAACTATTTCAAACTAATACTTGTCAAGTTCTACAGGGCCGAGTTAACGGAAACTTGGTAGGAATGATCAACTCATGGTCCTGGCAAATGTTATTTTTTCAGGTCAATCAAAAAGCCAATACGGCCGCCATGGCTGCCATTTTGGAAAATGAACTATTTTAAACTTGATTACTTGGTAAGTGACCTTATCCAATCTTCTTAACCATAGTGCAGATGGGGCCTGACCTAAACCAATCTTCTTAACCTGGTCACTGAAGCCAAAAACGAGGAAAGTGGTCCTTTCTTAATCAAGTTTTGAAGTCCAGTTTATCATGGATATACATGTATGTGAAATAAGATCAACAATTTGTGTTATGAAAATATATTTTATTTAATATGTTTAAACGAATTGCACTGTAAGTAAAGGACATATACTGTGTCTTTCCACATATTAAAATATCACTGGTAATAAAGGAGGAATTGAAACATGTATGAATTGATGTATACTATACATACATACGGAATGGATCTCAACCTTATCAATACAGTACTATACGGCTATCATTAGAGACTTGGAAACTGTCGCCAGCCTTAAAGATTCCACAACAGTACTTCAAACAAATATTTCACACATCATAAATGATAGTTCAAAACATAAAGCTGAAGCCCATGCACGGGTGGTCGGGTGGTGCAGTGGATAGCACACTTGCCTTTCAGCAAGGCGGCCGGGGTTCAATTCCCCGATCGAACGTGAAAAGGTTGAGTCACCTGCCGGACCACGTGGGTTTTCTCCGGGTACTCCCGTTTCCTCCAACGCGCTAACATCCGGGCAAACAAGAGTGATTAATATAAGATGAAATAACTTTTTTTTTATAATTGTTGTAAAATGAATAAAATTTATATTATAATAGCTCGCATGCTTTTTACTAATCTCTCATCAGATAACATACATAAACTGAGGATGCAATAACAATCCAGCAATATCAATGTGTATATTATTACCTGTTATTCAAAAGGAAATACAATTTATTAAATTTTTTCTTCATGTTAAGTATTTTAAATAGGAAGGAAGGAAATTTTGTTCTTACAATGAGATCATGTGGTCATCTTGGATTTCTTATTCATGAACCTAGTGATTACAGTAACACTTTGTCAGTAACATTTCTTATAATCATGGTGGACAGTGATCACCTGGAACAAGGAATCGGTCGAACATGTCTCGGCAAATTAGAACAAGGTGTTGTCATCGTTGACGATGAATCAACGTAGAACCATTTGGTCATAGTCATAAGCATCCTCGATATCCAGGGGTTACGTTCACCTTCGCTCTCTACACCCCTGGAATAAGTCATAGCAAAATTGAAGGCACGAAGATAGCTGTTTGATTGGTGTCAGGTAAAAAAAAACCTGATCAATCGGTAGACTGATGCCTGTCCTTTGAAGATTACAAAGGAGAGACGCCCGAAAAAGCCTGTCAATTTTTACCGTTACGTGACCACGAGATTCTTTTGATGTATATAAAAGGATCGAAATAGTCTTCTTGTCTCATCCTCAAGGTGGCACACACCGAGCCTTCAATTTTGCTATGACATATTCCAGGGGTGTAGAGAGCGAAAGTGAGCGTAACTCATGTATATCGAGGATGGGTCATAAGAGACTTTATGTCAAAACAAGTAGGAAGAAAGTTATAAACAAGAGTCATCAATATCCCGACCTGTTAGTTGGGTTTAGATAATCATGTGACTGTGTATCACACTAAAGGATTTTGAATGGAAGTGTACTAAAATTTATATTACTTAACTGTGTATCTTACTAATTAGGATTGTGAATTGTACAGCGTACTAACATTTATATTACTTACTGTGTATTATACTAAAGGATTGTGAATTGTACAGCTTACTAACATTTATATTACTTACTGTGTATCATAATGAAGGATTGTGAATTGTACAGCGTACTAACATTTATATTACTTACTGTGTATTATACTAAAGGATTGTGAATTGTACAGGGTACTGAAATTTATATTACTTACTGTATATCATACTAAAGGATTGTGAATGGCACAGCGTACTAACATTTATATTACTATGTTCCTATAGGATTTTTTCAACCTGAATACATAAAGCAATAGTGCAAACAATAAGAAAAGTAATTTTAATGATCAAAGATGGTGACTAATGTATATAAATTATAACATTTGTCCCTCCACAGGTAGTGCTTTTACGGGTTTATCCAACACCCACTCGTGATTTATCCATTACTTAGTCCATTTCCCATTTAAGGCTCACTTTTCTTTCATAAGAGGGCCAGCCCCTTCATATATACAACTCTTTTATTGGCAATAAATGCTCCAAATTTACCAGGGTAGTCAAATTCCCTCATCCATTTTTGACAAGTAGTCTTTTTACCAGTTAAATTAAAACTGGTAAATGAATGAAAGAATAGATGATGGACACCTTACTATGACATGAACTCATGGACTTTTGAATCTTAATGTGAGCGAAAATCAAACTCAATTTACAACTGTGTACAAGGCAACATTTTGCCACAAATTAATTTTACAGTATACCATATATGCCATGCTATATAAAACATTAACACCAGCATTTCCTGACAGAAAAACTATTTGGAGCGTGGTAGTACACATACAAAAATAAACTTATCAATCTTCAACCCATGCTATTAGTATATCAATAAAGCTTCACAAGTGATACAAATTTTCTCGCATTCACACATTAAGACATATGTGTAAGAGGAAATGAAGTCGCTAGAGCGATGACCTTGACCTTCAACATAGAAACCTAAAAACGCAAACTTATATGTTCAAGGCATTGCCATACCAAACACTTGTGTGAGGTTTCATGAAATTTCGTTAAGGAATGAAGTTGCAAGAGCGATGACAGAGTGTATCATACATACTAATGTACGTACGGGCGGAACCCCCTCAAACTATTGTTGCGAGGGGATAATAAGTTTGGAATGTTTTGAACATAGAAGTCCACAGACGTCAATTTTGTTATAACCGCATATTATATAAAAACTTCAATATTTACAACATATTTCCAGTCCTAATCTCTACATAAAATATACCATTAACAACAAGAATCTCATTTTTCAGTGATAAAACTGATGTATGCATAATCTCATAATACATATATTTATTATATTTTTGCCAGTGAAATATTGGATTCTATCAACTTGATAAAACTGATACCTTTCACACTATGACAAATATCAAAAGTGATAAAATATCACTTTTTGGTATTGACCAATCATAACGTTATCTTCTATTTGCTGCATTCAAAGGCAACAATTTTTTGTTCAGATTCAAATGAAGCAACGGTAGAATAAGTGGTTGTTATGGTAAATATTTGGCACACTTAAGTATTTACATAAATATACATTTACAACTAATAACATTTTTATAAGCTATCATACCAGAAAACGTCAGAATTGCGTTGAGTATCCCAATCAAAACGGTGAGCAGCTTTGTTGTCAAGCACCACGTCATTAAAATATGGCGCTAATTATTACGCTTCTGATTCCCGCCCTTTTTTCATGCATTACATTTTTTTCATGTTTTATGCTTTAAAAATGTAATAATGTTTTAAGCTTCAAAAATGTAATGAATCGAAAATTTAATTGTGTCTTCAGTAATAACAAATATATTTCACTTCTGTGGCTTATATTTTGATATTTTACATTCCTGCTGCGCACTCGTGAAAAATATCAAAATATAAGCCACACTAGTGAAATATATTTGTCATTACTGAAGACATCATTAAATATCCTCTATATATTTAGAACACATTAAAGATAACAATAGTAATCTGTTAACATGGCCTAAAATCTCCAGAATAAACCATGGATTATTTTCTTAAGATTATCAGGCTCTGCTTTACAGCTGGCCTATGTTCAAAACTTAGTAATTTCGTAGTCATTTAAACAATACCGGGTAAGCCATGAATGGTTTGTTATCAGCTCTGTCATATTAACAAAGCCTTTTAGATGTAAAAAAGTTATTTCCTGTGAGATATATGTCAGAAATTAGGGTAATTAAAGGAAATGTTACCACTTTAACCCTTTCACCCATATGTAACTTTAGCAGACTGTACTGTGCATTGATCTGGATGAATCCATTACGGTCTACAGTGGTGAAAGGATTAATGCTTCAATGGCTTTCATAGTGAAGTTTGATTAAATCTAAAACTTGACAAACTTCCAAGTCATAAATAAACTTGCATGTCATGGAATGTTTTATAAGCTTTATGCAGGTTACTCATTTAGAGATTCGGCTGGTAATATGCATTGTAGGAGTACTTCGTGTTGATTTGAGAATTGTAAAGACATCACTGGTGGGAACTGTGCACCTCACACCCGGTTTTCTTCCTCTTCTTGCACATGACCAACAAACCGTGGTGGCGGTTTCACTGGCCGTTTAAAGGACTTCAGTTCCCTTACTGGGTCAGCCTCTTTCTCTTCTAAGCCTACAGCTAACCATTCTTCTCCACGGAAGGCTGCCTACAATAAACAAGTTTACCACCAGATTACATTGTGCTCAGGTACACCATTTGGGTCAGAAAAAGGATGGACGAATTTAGGCTAAATTCAAGCAAACTGAACATTTCATATGAAAACATGCTTAATCAACAGGAAAATGGCCCATCATTTTAAGATTGATGGATCATGTAAAATCTTGAGGGGCTTTAAAATGTCAAATAAAAGAGAATCATTTGCAACAAAGAGCCATTTTGGTGGTTATCGTAGACTTCTAATGTTATTTATGTTATAAATAGTACCTACAAGCACATTTAACATGCAACTTAAAAGAAACCGCGTCTTCAATGCAGCATGAATTACTCCATGTGTTTCAATAGATGTTGTAGTGAAGACTACCCAAAACTTTATAGGATTAACATATCAATTGTTTATCCTTATTGTGATGAAACTGAACTGAAGCATGCATGTCAGTTATAACATAATAAAACAAGTCATTAGTCCCAAGCTAGTATGTCTGTAAATTTCACTAGCCCATGCAAGCTGGCGATCTGGTAGCCCTGCATGGGCATTTGACTAGTGGGTTACTGTTTATAAATTACTGTTTTAAATGAAAATTTACATTAAGGTCGCACATATGAAGCATACAGGGGAAGTTAGAATGACCGATGTATAGCCTGCCACCGTCCAGTGACCGGACATAGAACGGCTGACCACTGTTAAAGCCAGTTTTTGGAGGTAACATTTTAACCATTTGAAACTGAAAATTGGTTCTGGCATTGAAATTCAGAGGAGCCATATTTTGTTGTACTGTGATAAAAAAGAGACCAATTCCATGCACAGTAGTTTCTTTCCATAAGTAGCCTGTGGGAGGGGGGTATTATATTAGTCATATAATGTTGGTAGAATTTCATTTACTTACTTTACTTTTCATAATAAACCCTTTAGATTTGAGAAAGTATTGGTTTATTATTTACTCACCACCATGTAGATCATGCTTGTGATAAAGAGACACACCCCTCCCAGCAACGTGGCAAGGATAAAGCAGGCAGGAACACATAATCTTTAAAAATGAAATAACCAAAATATACTGTCCCATCAACACACAAGGAAACAATCTTAAACTGATATTAAAAGACAAATAAAGATAGTACAACACCTTTCATAATAACTAGAAAATCAATTTTAGTGAATGTAAGAAATAAAATGAAACATACAAATGTATGTCAATGAAAAAGAATCACCAACCACTTATAATTAATCACATTATTATTATAAAATGTTTGAATATTACACTGACAAAATGAATGATGATGAGGAATACAACCATTTAAATAAAATGAAACAGATACAAATGTATGTCAATGAAAAAGAATCACCAACCACTTATACTTAATCATATTATTATAAAATGTTTGAATATTCTACTGACAAAATTAATGATAATGAGGAATACATCCATTTAAATGAAATGAAACAGATACAAATGTATGTCAATGAAAAAGAATCATCAACCACTTATAATTAATCACATTATTATAAAATGTTCAAATATCATATTCCAGACAAAATTAATGATAATGAGGAATACAACCATTTAAATGCCATTTACAGATACATACCATGTATTAAACGTTATCTGGGTTAAAGAAATGAGACACATTACAAACTTATATCAATCACTCTTGTTGTCCCGATATCCAGGGGTTACACTCACTTTCCTCTATACACCCCTGGAATATGTCATAGCAAAACTGAAGGCACGAACATAGCTGTTTGATTGGTCTCGGGTAAAAATAACTGACCAATCGCTAGGCTGATACCAGTCCTTTGAAGATTACAAAGGAGAGAGCACCGACTTCAAAGCCTGACAATTTTTGCCGTTACGGGCGACCGCGATCTTTTGATGTACATCAAAGGATCGAACTAGTTTTCTTGTTTCATCAACAAGGTGGTGCACACTGAGCCTTCAATTTTGCTAAGACATTAGTCATATTCCAGGGGTACAGAGAGCGAAAGTGAGCATAACCCCTGGATATCGAGAATGCCAAATTTACAAAGAAAGGAACAACAATACAATATAATACAACTTACACAAGATAAATTATAAATCTGACAAAATAGTTGCGGGTGACTGGTCCGCAGCAGTTCAGTAATCTAGACAGTGGTCTCTGAAACCTGAAGATAAATCAGCATTAGAGAAAGATGGTTACTTGTTATGATATAATCTTACAATTCGTATCCTAAACATGATCATTTCTGATTCTTTCATATAAAATATCTGTTGTGAAAGTCATTGATTTAATAATTGAAACAAATATTTCAAACAACATCATTTAAAATTAATGACCTTATACAAAAGGACTCGGCCTTATTTTAATCCGAGAAATTTTCATCACAAATAGATTGTCTTGAAAGCGACCATCAGGTGTGGATATCAATGGTTTTATATGTACTCAACTAACAAAAACTAAAGGGTCAGAAGCATTTCTGTAAAAGAATATTCTATTGTGGAACTCCTACATTTGGGAGTTTAACGGAAACTATTATTTCTTTTTCTGAGCAACATTAAATTAAATGACAAGTTGTGACCAAGTCACTTTACTTTTCAGATTTATTCATGCTTTTATGAGACATACCAACATTCTTTTCAAATAATATTATTGTTCCATATTACTGCAAAAACTCCCTTACATATATATTCTCAGGACGACTGAGGTTCTTAAGTACATACTGATGAGATTAGTTTCTTACGTTCTCTCCTGTGTAGAATGACCTGTCTTCCTCTTGCCGCGAGGGTACTCGATCATCAGCACAAAAATGCCTGCAACACTGAATACCTGGTTAAGGCTAGATAAAAGTTTTATTCTATGGTCCATCAAGAATTTTAAGTAATTTAGGGCCAGTCCCAGGAAAACTGTATATGGAACATGATAATCTTGGTGAAAATAAGGGAAAGGAATCATAATATACTGATTACAGAAGCAACCTATTGTTTTAGTTATCAGTATAGTGATATAGCAGTATAGTGCGTTTAATTTTCCTTAACAAGAATTACGCATAATTATATGTGTCGCCTGTCCCGCTTTGTCAATATAATAATAAGCATTTGACATAGTACATAAGGAAACGGACCTAAACGCAAAATCATAACATTGATTTTTTTCAAGTCCAGAAATTTGAGTTTTTTACCAAAACAATGCAGAAATCAATGAACTGTTTTTAGTGCAGTAGGCTCCACTACCCATGCTACATCTATGATCGAGGTTTTGTTGGTGTAGCTTTGTCAGAAACAGAGCTAAACGCAAAACCTTAACGTTGAGGTTTTTTCTAAGTCCAGAAATTTGAGGTTTTTAGCAAAAAAATGCAGAAATCTTTGAAATGCTAGTAAAGAGTGTAATGCATTCAGCTATACATCCCATGATACAGCTATGACCCAAGTTTGGTTGCTCTAGCATTTATACTTTGTCAGAAACACCTTAATATGTAAGAGCTAAACGCAAAACCTTAACGTTGAGTTTTTTTCTAAGTCCAGAAATTTGAGGTTTTTACCAAAAAAATGCAGAAATCAATGAAATGTTTTTAGTGCAGAATAGGCTCCACTACCCATGCTACATCTATGATCGAGGTTTTGTGGGTGTAACTTTGTCAGAAACAGAGCTAAACGCAAAACCTTAACATTATTGACGCCCCCGTCGGAAAAGGAGCGCCTATGTGTCTTTCCGACATCCGTCGTAGCTAGGCGACACAAAACTACCTGTATGAATATATATTTTTTTATCCCACAGGATAACTGACTTAACTCTAAATTTAATCTCTGGTTTCCACAAAAAAAAATTCAATAAACTAAAGTTAATTGCAAAGAACTTTTGTGTTTGAGACGTTTCCTGAAAAGATACATTCCATAGATTCCGATCTCCCAGCCCTTGAAGAAACCTGCTACACCAATGGCTCCTCCAGAAATCAAAACTGAAAAGTAAGTATAATATCTATATAAATACTTAGGATCTTACATGAGTTTCCATTCCATAAGAGATTTATGAAACGAATCTAAGAATTTTTCAATTTAGCAATCCTCTGACGAGCTAAAATGAAAATTTGTGGCGAGTTTCATAAATCTGACATATGAAATGAAAACGACTGTAAGATCCTTTTATCACAAAATCAAGATTTGTGGCATTTATTCGTGTAAAACGACAATTTTCATGCAACCATCCGCCATTTTGGCGTGACGTCACAATTGAACAATTGCAAGGTCGAAAGGTCGTATTACATGGGTTAATATTCACTGGATAACACAGTACATTATGTATTTTCGTTCTCTTTTTGTTTCCTCCACACACATATTAATACATTATCTAAGGGTCTCACAGTTTTGCCCAATCCCAGATTATTACGATAATCAGAGACGTATATATATCACAATTAAATACTTATTATTATTGTAATATATACGTCTCTGCGATAATGAGGAGCTTCGGACGTATATATTTAAAACTTTGCAGAAGATTAATTTGTCTATGCGATAAGTTGTGTAATGGAAGATGGTGAAAGCGGGCCGTTGGAAACAACTCTGGAAAAAAGACACCTAGAAGTTAAGATAGATATCATAAAGACATCATTATAATCCATTAGAAAATGATTACAATGATCATGTTAAAAAGTGATCTGTTCTACAGACAGAAATACCATTGGATCACGTCTCTGTTTTGGACTATTAAAAAATTATACCTCTATAAATTATCAAAGAAGCCAATAATGACAGTGCAGTATCATAGACGTAGATATGAATAGAGATTTTTGTTCTGACCTTAGTAGTTCAGGCCCATAACCCAGTCCGGCCCCATATTCTTAGTCGTTGCATCCACATAATAATATTATATATATATGATTCATGTTTAAAATTTAATTCCGTTTGATTTTATTTGTATTGTGTATAATTTATTTTACTAATTCAAAGAAATAAAATTAAAAATTAAAAACATATATCACATTGTAATTTTTTATTTTTTTCATTTTACATGTATGTTGTCTAAAATAAACGGCAAAATACACCTGTGTAAACCAGGGATGTGTATACATAGTCCACTACACATCCGTGTGTAAACAGAGACTAAAATTTTCAAGAAGATTTTCTTTTCTTTTATTCTTTCCTTTTTATGATTGATACAGAAGATCTATATCAATCATCAAAAAAGAAATCAATAAATACATATATATGATTTTTAAAAAAACTTGAAAATGCTACGCCACTGCCTTTATTGTTTAGATTGTTATAATTGATTACCCATTGGTTATACATGTATATATATATTACCAATAAGTAATACCTATAACCATTAGATATTATATACTAGTTATAATTGTTAATATATTTTATCATTACGTCCCGTTATAAATTAGGTATACCATTATGTATATATATGGATTATATTTATTAAATATATTTTATCATTACGTATATATTTTAGTTATAACTATTAGATATATTTTATCATTACGTACATACAGAGACATATAAAGCTAGTAGTATATACGTCTCTGGTATATATATTAGTTATAATTGTTAGACATATGTTGTGTTACATAATTGAATAATGCATGAAAGTTGGTGTTTGGTATTTAATAATAATATGTGGACATATTTTTCATCTACTATTGAGTATAGGCACGTACATGTACTGATAATGAAATTGTCGCCATTTTCTCTTAAAAACATAAATTACATTATCTATTTTCGCATGATATATTGCACCTACCACTTGCATTGGTAACTTAGTATAACATGTTTGTAATTATTAACAGAGACGTATAATGTATTATACGTCTCTGTTATTAAGAAATACTGTAAGCTGTTAACTTATTTGCTATTTATTAAATATATGTTTTTATTGTTGATTGCATTAAATATTACATAATGAACATAATGTATCATGTTTTTCTTGTCTTTTAACAATGGGAAATGGGAATGTAAAACAGAGATGCATCATATTTCTTTTCTTACAGAGTTGAATGAGTCGTATATACACTGTTCCCCGGGTCGACTTATATCCACCCGTTTGCCTCTAAGCGGTTTCACGAACTATTGAACTCTCTCTTCAAAGTTCTACGGTTGTATATTTTTACACTAAAAATTGTCCGGATGAAGGGCGACAACCCATAATACACTTGTACAATAAACACAATGCAAAATGTACATATGATCCATGCATAAAACATCATTTAATGGTAATATGTGAAGGAAAACACTACAGTGAGGCCGGAACGACTAAGGGGTCGGAACGACTAGGATGGACCGGGAAGGGGCCGGGCCGGCCCGGGAGAGGCCGGAACAATCAATCAATCAATTGGGTATTTGGACGTGCCGCGTTCGGAGTGTAGGGACTAAACAAGTGAGGTGACATCGAAATATTATTCAACAAGCGAACAAACGAAAACTTACTAAATGCACTAGCTATAGCCTGCTCGTTGGCCCACATCGCCCATTCTATTTGCCTCATTATTCCTTAGTTTCCTTTTGTCAACACAGAGATTTTTTTCCTCGTTTCCTTGTTGTTGCCGGAAGTAAAAGTGGCAACTTTATAATGTATCGGCCTCTTTGATTGGATACAGGCTCAGAATTCAGCTAATCAACAACGTGATAACAAGATCAAGAATAGATAACTCTAACATTACACTTCCTGTGTGACGTTCCGTCAAAACTAGCCGGGAACACTGAGTGTAAATACAGCTAATTTGCTATTTCCTTGTTCTGACACGAATTGATCAGCTACGATACGCATGATAAAATATCATAACGTTTAAACAGGTAAAATGATCAATATGTCTTTAGACTGAAAATCGTTATATGTTCTTCAAACACTGTTTTATATATTTATACAGAACACAGATTCACACAGACTGACAGATACACAGAACCTCTAGTCATGAGAACATGGGCCTTGATTCTGACTGGCCTGTTTGTTCACATTGTGTTTTTCTACTCCATATTTGACATCTACTTCACCTCACCTTTGGTGCATGGTATGACACCAGTTGTGTCCAATGAATCTCCCCCAGCAAAAAGACTTGTCCTGTTTGTTGCTGACGGTCTCAGAGCGGACAAGTTTTTCGAGATTGATGGTGATGGAAAATCGAGAGCTCCGTATCTTAGGTAAGTAAACTAAAAACAAATATAAACATGTGTTGCAGTCTTGCCCTAATCAGAAATAATTGACTATATCCCTCCCTTTCAAATTTTGATAGGATAGGCTATCTTTGACCAATCAAAAACTTTAAAAGAAAGAAGATAGTTATTTTCAGATTAGATGAGAAATAGAAATATAGCGGAAATGGACTGGGTTGATCATCGGCGACCTGGTAGCTCAATTGGTAGAGCGTCCGTCTAGAGTTTGGAGGGTCCCCGGTTCGAACCCTAGTCAGGCCGTGCATTTATCTTCTAAATATTCCACAAGTTTTCTTCTAAATATTCCACAATAAACCAACGCACTTGGACCATTCTATAAGCAGAGCTAAAAATGCACAGTTTCGGAGAATAAAAAACAATGTATCAAGAATAGCAGCCCTTCTCTCACGTGCACACGTCCACTGAATTACATAACGTATCTTAAAAACTACATGTGGCTTGACATTGTTTAAAAAGAAATAACGCAAACTGGCAATAGTCAGAATTTTAGTTTCGGACAGGTACGTCTGGACCCCTCAATCTACACTTGCCAAATTTTCCTGAGATCAGCCTCGGTTCGGATCTGTATCTGTCGTTTTCTTTACAGGTTCAACCGGATACGCAAATGTACCCTAGATTTTTGTTTAAATAAGCAAAATTCATCAATTGAACTAGGAGTTTTTTGTTTTATTTTCCTAAGAAAGAAGATTTATTTATTTCATGAATTACTCTACTTCTATCAATATATTGTTCCTACAGAACTGTCATAGAGGAAACAGGAGCCTGGGGTGTGTCCCACACTCGAGTGCCCACAGAGTCCCGGCCTGGTCATGTAGCACTAATTGCAGGCTTTTATGAGGATGTCAGTGCAGTTGCTAAAGGTATCAAATGTGATTAAAATGTATAGGAATTTCGTCACGATACAAATAAATTTTGTTCTCTTACAAACATTCCTTTTCAGAAGGTTAGATAAACTAAAGAGTGGATAGCGCACTTGCCTTTCACTACAGTACTCCGGCTTCCTCCCTCACTAAGACCTCCCCCCCCCCCCTTGCGCGCTTACATCCGGGCAAACAAGAGTGTGGTTAATATAAGTTGAAATAACTTGTTTCATAACTGTTGTAAAATAAATAAAGTTTATATATTTATATATAAACTAAAGAGCAAAAAGTAGCATATCATGGGTTGAAAGTTGACCTCAGTTAAAATCTGGTCTTGAGACATTGTAGTATGTAAGTATAGATGCTAAAACTAAGAATTAAGCTTATACCACGATTAGTTAATAGAAAAAAAAACATTAGATAGACATATTCATTTTTTCAGTTTACATTTTTAGACCCCTATATTTCTGTCAAAGTAATGTTTATATTTTCTGTCGTCCTGTTTGCGATAGGCTGGAAGGAGAATCCTGTGGAATTTGACTCTGTGTTCAATGAGAGTCGTTATACATGGTCCTGGGGCAGCCCAGACATACTGCCCATGTTTGCTAAAGGTATGTCTGAGTAAATTTATTACTCTTACCTGCATAAATATTCTGTTACTTTATGTTAAGTGAAAAAAGACTGAAAAACACATTTTAATTATTTTTTTATTGTTGTAATGGAATCAGACGGAATACAGAATCTTGATTAGACTAGACATAAAACTCCTATGGTGATGTTCGATAAAATAAAAACATTCAGTCTGACCACTCTGTACAAAAGGTTACATGAAGTAAGTATTGATTTTGCATTTTTTTTAAACTTCATTTTCCATTTCCAGGGGCCAGTGGTGACCATGTGTTGACTGACCAGTATCCATCTGAGCTAGAGGACTTTGCAGACTCTGACTCCTCCAAGTTGGACACTTGGGTGTTTGATCGTGTCAAGGTTGGTTGTGGTTGTAGCCTGTAATTAAGTGCATATGTTTGTTTCACATTGTCCTCATTTTTTACGATCTGATTAAAATCATCTGTTACATGTCCTCATTATACACAATCTAATTAAAATCATCTGTTACATGTTGTTGCAAAATATATACATGGCTCTGTTAACGTCGGACTATGCCTGGACAGGTGTTGTACGAAGTAAACAGAGCCGTAACAGATGATTTTAATCAGATTGCATTATACAAGGACCAAAAAGGCAGTACTTAAATATTTGTATTAAAACTCAATATGTTTCATTTTTGTCTGTCAAAACATTGTGGTTTTGAAACCTATCTTGTGTCCTAATATACCTAGACATAAAGTGGTTGTTTAAATGGTCAAGTCACTTAGTGGAGTGATTAAAAAAACAATGTGTAATACACATTGATGTTTAGAGTACATTTAATCAGTGAAATATATTTAAATATTAAAATCATTATTTTATTTGCTCAAAGTGCAATAAATGTATAGAACTTGAAGCCAGTGCTCTACTTATTATTGGCAACCCTTTAATAATAGCTTTGTATTTTTTGTTGTGCTATTTTTGAGTTTGGCATTGGATTATTTTGATCAAAAGTGTTTTTTTTATATAAAAAAAACATTTATTGGTGGAGTATCTAATAGGTCCTAAGGTAATGAATGAACTTTTGACTGCTCATTGCCAGCGCTCATGAGCTGCAGATAATTTGTATGACACTTTGTCGGACATCCAGTGTATTGCTTGAATCACTTAATTTTCATTTTACATTGAAAGGCATTATTTGAGAGGGGGAGAAGGGATAACAAACTGGCAGAACAACTAAATCAGGACAAGATCGTATTCTTCTTCCACCTCCTGGGGATAGACACGAATGGTCACTCCCACAAACCACAGTCAAAGTGAGTAAATCCAAAGTCGGGAAATGCTCCATAATACTTGCTTTTCAATGCATGTGAGTTTTGAAGTTTAAAATTTTACCATTTTGGCTCTATATCCACTGTCTCTATTGAAATGTCATTATATAATCTGAAAGTTTGTGACATTTGATTATCATTTAATGAATTAAAAGTTGGTTATATTACACAAGAACTTGTGTCATATTATATGATTTCATATGCAAAATATTACACGAGTGTATTCATTTGATAAACAACGTTAATGGTCATTTGATAAATAAAACATGTACAAATTAAAAATAATATCTACCGGTAATCACATTGTTAAACATACAGCAAGGCTTGTCTGCTCAGTAAGAAGACTTTAACTCTTTCATCCCTGAAATTTCATAATGAACTATTTCAACCTTTGACCTGGAGGAGTTCAAATGTGTCTTCAGGAGTGAATGAGTTAAAGCATCATACTTGTTACATAGTTCACAACTGTTTGTGGTATTTTTAAATACTGTGGTGTTGCATTGTTTTTGAATGATATAGTGTATATAGAATATAATGTAAGTTCAGGACTGTCCATCGTCAGACCAAACAAGATTTATAAATATCACCCTGGTAAAATACTAAACGCTTCGATTCCTACAGACTCGACAAGGAGAATTTCTCTTTAGTTCATTCGGTAGAGCGTAAGACTCCTAGCGGAGGCATTGACAAAAAAATTACCTCTGTTACGTAAATAAGGAGATGGTTGAAATGACAGACTTATAAAACAATATTTGAAAATTCGTAAATTAATTACAGAGAATATTTGGAGAATATTGGACTGGTGGATTCTGGGATAAAGAAGATGACAGAGCTGATAGAACAGTATTATGGCAATGATGGGAAAACATCCTACCTGATGACAGCTGACCACGGCATGACTAACTGGGGTGTGTATGGCCACGTTCTGGTATACTGTTGTGTATTCTTTGTATTACATACTTTAAAATGTTTTAATATTTTAAGAAAGTTAAAATTATTTTAATATTTTAAGAAAAGTTAAAATTATTTTAATATTTTGAGAAAAGTTAAAATTATTTTAATATTATTTTAATATTTTAAGAAAAGTTAAAATTATTTTAATATTTTAAGAAAGTTAAAATATTTTTATCATTTAAGAAAGCCTATTCCTAATACATTTGTACAGTATAACAATGTTTTCACAATAATCCTTGTTTTTGCTTCAGGTTCCCACGGAGCTGGACATCCTCACGAGACCTTGACCCCGCTGGTTGCCTGGGGAGCTGGGGTCAGACAGCCAGTAACTAGGCAACACACATCAGACCCAGACTCCTATTCTGAAGGTTATTGTTACATCAATTTCTGCTGCATGCTTAGAATCTTTATACAGGTGTTGATGTCACTATTTTGTTTGATGACATTTTTGGGCACGTCTGAAGCTGATCTCAAAATTTTATATCAATTACGGAGCTGGACATCCTCACGAGACCTTGACCCCACTGGTTGCCTGGGGAGCTGGGGTCAGACAGCCAGTAACTGGGCAACACACATCAGACCCAGACTCCTATTCTGAAGGTTATTGTTACATCAATTTCTGCCGCATGCTTAGAATCTTCATACGGGTGTTGATGTCACTATTTTGTTCGATGACTTTTTTGGGCACGTCTGAAGCTGATCTCAAAATTTTATATCAATTACGGAGCTGGACATCCTCATGAGACCTTGACCCCACTGGTTGCCTGGGGAGCTGGGGTCAGACAGCCAGTAACTAGGCAACACACATCAGCCCTAGACTCCTATTCTGAAGGTTATTGTTACATCAATTTCTGCTGCATGCTTAGAATCTTCATACGGGTGTTGATGTCACTATTTTGTTGGATGACATTTTTGGCCACGTCTAAAGCTGATCTCAAAATTTTATATCAATATAGGAATTATCTACATGGTTTAAAAAAATCACATGATACATGTATACTTATTTATTTATATGTATAGTATAATTTTATTTGAATTTTTGATACAATTTTTTTTAGCACATTACATTGATTTGTTATCTTTCTGAACTGTACTTGTAGATTGGAATCTGAAAACACTAATGCGGTCAGATGTCCAACAGGTGAGGAAGTATAAGCTATTAAATAAGATTTTCATTGAAAACTACATGTAATATCAGTTTAGTTTTGTCATAATTATCACAGTTTATCTGTGAACATACCAGACTGTGCTGTATGTTTCTCCGTCAATCATGATTTGTATGGTGTTTATAACTGTTTGTTTACAGGCTGACATTGCCCCACTGATGGCCTATCTTATCGGAGTTCCTTACCCTGTCAACTCTGTGGTAAGGTTTAACTGGATGCTTGAGTAACAGAAGTTAGGAAGTAATAATACCACAGACTTAGATCTAATTCCATGGTAATACATAGTATTAAATCAAGACTTCTGATTTATGTTTCTGTTTTATAATTGATTTTTTGTTTCATTTTAATTGTTTGATGCATTTATTCTATATTTCATATGTAGAGAAAAATAAGTGTAAAGTTATTTAGAAATTATTCAAATGAAAATTTACCAATATGCAGCTAAAATTGTTTTTTAAGCCATGCATTTACTGTGTTACTGTATGGTTTGCTGCATTACTGTAGGGCGTCCTTCCCATTGACTACCTTGACTGTGATGATCGCCAGAAATCTCAGAGTCTGTACGCCAACGCCAGACAGATTCTGTCTCAGTACCAGGTACGGCATACAACAAGGTCATAGGTCTATGTATAGGTCAATTAGAGGTCATATTTCATAGCAAGTTTATCTGCGGGATATATAGATGATCACTCCAATGAATATGATACCAGTCATGCATGTTGTGATAACATTTCTGTTGTGTTACTAATATTGTCTACCACATATTCATCCAGTGAAAATATATCAATGTAATTATTGATTTCAGTTTAAAAATTAACAGTTGATCAATGGGTAAAGTGTATATACTTACAATGTAGCTAAATTGACATGATCATCTAAAGTTGGTGAATCTGAGATAGTTTGGTCTATATAGTAACACAAACAATAACATATGTCCGCTTAACAACAGATTATTCACGTGTTGATTCCAATCAGTGAAAATGATATCCCTATCAAAGTGACAGATTTTACTGCCATGGAGGCACGGTTGTCTAATGGTAGGACACGCTGGGCTCGTGACCGAAGGGTTGCGTGATCGAGTCACGGCACGCTACTGTGTTGTATCTCTGAGCAAGATACTCTACTCCACTTGTTCCAGTCCACTCAGCTGTAAATGAGTACGTGGTTGCATTGGGAAGTGCAAGAATTTTTGAATGCTAGCTGTTGGCGCCAAAATGGCAGCCCCAGCTGTATGCTCCCCAGGGAGTTGAGAAAGGTATTGGCTGGTTGCAAAGGCCCTATCACCACGGATAATAATTTGTGAACCGCTTTGAGACGACTGACGAATTTGGTTGTGATAAAGCGGTATATAAGAACCTCGAATTATTATTATTATTATTATGAATACCTGGGATCACATTGCATTCAGAACTGTGAAGCTAGCAGTTAACAATACTCAGTTCATGTAGCTGGTCCTTGTAGGAGAAATACAGTCAAAGATAGTTCCTATTGGTGAACATCATATTGAAACATATTAAATAACAACATAAATTTGTCAATAATGTTTCCGACATTTCATCTACAGCAACCTACATAACTTTTTATTTTTATTTTTTATATGTTCTTATTCACCAGCATGTTACAAATTAACAAATCTTGTCCTCTCGTAGGAGGGCTTCCATACACCACACTCTCTTTCATAAACTATTGATTTATAACTTTTTTTATAGTATTCACAAGTATTTGTTTTTCGAATTTTTTATCAGGCCTTCTTATATAACTATAACATAACTATTCTTCTGTATATGTTTGTTGTGATTTATAATAAAACTACTTGACAGTAAGATACTATTAAAGGGAGAAGCTTTAAGTACTGTTTATCAAAATAAGACACTTTTTCTGTAGAAATTGTGGGGTGTCAGCATTTGACACGTCAGTCATGCACACACTGTTACGATGTGCTTCATCTTAAAGGTCATATTTATAATAATGATGTGTTTAACAGAATGTGACTTTTAATTGCAGATTAAAATGGAAAAGAAAAAACAAACGACTTTATCTATGACCTTCAGACCATACAGGTGAGACATTTGATTGTTTTTTTTAATTATTTTATCAAAGTAATATTATAAATTATTGGAGATTTATAATAATATAAAATGTGATATATACAACACTGATTTGGGAATCTTGTGATCAGAAAATGTGATCTGAACAGACTTTATTTTTCAATGGATTTAACTGTTTTTGAAATGACACCAGTACTGACCGCATTCTCCGTCTTTTTTACAGTGAATTAACTCCTGCTATACAAGTAAGTACATGTCTTCATACCATACCTAGGCCTAAGGTTTGGTTTTATTTCTCAATTTTGTAATTTCTCATGAACTTGAGCTAAATGTTGAAATATGACTTTTTATGATACTGATCGATGTATGTTTACTTTTAGGCTGAAATGATAAGAACCATCAACAAGCTGATACAAGCTGGCGACTATTCTACAGCGGTAAGGCATTAGTTTAGGCTGTATCTTGTAAATCACTGTTTTTCAACTGTTGTCTACTGTCTGGGCTGTAAATACATAACTGTTCCAGACCAAAATTTAACCAAAAATTCTGTGACCAATGTCAGATCCAGGATTTCTGATAAACCTCGACCCTCCTTTCTTATAACCCCTTACTCTAGCTATAGGGGTTAGAGTATATATAGGGGTTACATTACTCCTACAGTGTATGTATCGTCACACCATGCTTTATCCTTTCTACTTATTTTCCTGTCTTTTCTTCGTCTGCTGGATAACCAAACTACTTGGTAGTGAAGCGGACATAAAACCTATCAATCAATCAATCAATCTCCTATGTAATGTAATAAGATGACTTTTAAGAGCAGAGGGATTCACCACTGGTGAGGATACAGATATTTTTGTTTTGTTACAAAAGTGTGTTTATCCTAAAAACAGTATTAAAAGTGAAGAATCTTGTGTTAGGTGATGATAGTACATGTACATAAATTACAATACTGTAAAATCATAAATTTTCGTGGGACATGAAAATTCGTTTAATTTGTGGCTAACAAAAATCCACGAAATTAAATCCCCACGGAAATATAAATTTAATTTTGGTATGATATATATAGAAAGGGGAAAATCAGAAATCATCGAAATATAATGTCCTTGAAACAGGCTAGTAAATGAAAACCATGAAATTTTAACACATGCGAAAGTAAATGATTCTACAGTAGGACCGTTCATTGTGTTTGAGACTAGAGACACACATTCCCTGCTTCAATTTGGTAGCACAGTATTTTAAGATAGATATAATGATTTCAGATAAAGGAGTCCCAGGAACTGATGCGTCTGACTTTACAGGGTCTGAATTATTACCAGACTTACGACAGGTTCTTCCTTGGGTAAGTGACATATTATCAAAGTTAGTTTTACTATATATATAAAATTAAAATTATAATTGGTTCTTTTTGCTCGGAAGTGTTTAAACATATTGCACAGGTTGCCTAAGTGATGAAAAGTATCAGCATAAAATCAAATGCCACTCTTCGTTCCCTGCTCCAATTAAGCATTTAAGCATTGAACTGATTTCAGTTGGCATTCATAGGCAATATGAATGCCAACTGTACAAAGGCAAATTCAATGAAGCGTGCTAGCTCTTCATGTTAGGTTTGCTTTTGTCCAGTTGGAATTCATTTTTCCTATAAATGCCAACTGAAAGCAGTTCAATACTTATGTTTACCATTTTTGGAATCTGTTCATCTCATAGAAAATTCAATTACATTTACTATTATTCAATATTTAGTTTAAATAATGTATGTATCGTGTATGCTTGTTCAATAATGGAACAGCCATAGCCAAGGGAGGGTCAGTGGTATCCGACATAACAATTATGACGTCATTATAATGATGAAGTCAACAATCGGTCCATGGTATTCATAGCCTACATAAATGCCAACTGATGTTTTAGGGTTTTATAGTGGCAATAGTTACGATTGTAAATATTCTAATGTGTTCAAGCAAATGAAGACACAATGCAAATGTTTCTTAAGTTTGAGGAACGGTAACAGTTTTAACAGAAAGTTCCCTTTTAGTGTTCAAAATTTTCCTGTCACACATTATGATGAGTTTGAATTTCTATTTGACAGTGTAAGCATTACCAGTGGATTCATTGGCTGGACATTGTACATCCTGGTTCTGGTTGTCAAGGAGCACACAGACGTTGTCAGAGTCAGAGTGAAGCTTGTTACGCTCCAACAGCCTGTACTTCTACGAAGGGAGATGATCGTTGGTGGATACAGCAGTTTAGGAGCTCTAATCTTCATCTTACTGGCAGGGAAGATAGACACAGAATTGGAGTGTCAGAGGTGATGCAAATTGTACTTACAAAATGTAATGTATATTTTTCTATCTTGCAGAAATTATAGCTTCATACCAAAAAGTAAATTTACAATGACATACTTTGGAGGCACGGACGTAGTCTAGTGGTAGGACGCCGGACTCGTGACCGAAGGGTTGCATGTTCGAGTCACGGCACTGTGCTGTATCTTTGAGCAAGATGCTTTACTCCGCTTGGTCCAGTCTACTCAGCTGTAAATGAGTACGTGGTTGGGCAGTGCTAAAATGGTAGAATGTTAGCTGTTAGTGCCAAAATGGCAGCTCCGGCTGTATGCTCCCCAGGGAGATGAGAAAGATATTGACTGGTTGCAAAGGCCCTATAACCACGGATAATAATTTGTGAACTGCTTTGAGACGACCTACGAATTTGGTTGTGATAAAGCGGTACATAAGAACCTCAAATTATTATTATTATTGATTGCTGTTTCAGTCAAATGGCCTTTACACATCAGGTCCATTTGGAAAACTATTGCAAGCAGTTCAACTCTTGACTTACACTCACTCCCACGCTTTGTTCTGTGTTTCAGTTCAGTCCCTGCCATGGACATATTACCTGTACTGCCTTTTACCTGTGGCTTTGTGGACTGTGGTTACCCTTAAGTAAGATCATGCATAACTTTACCATTCTGATTAGCGAAAAATATCATTTTCTAAATAATGATAAATGAAAAAGGAAGATGTCAAATGTCAATTAAAAAAGATACACAGTAGGACTAGTCAACTGTTGTAGAATCTGAATTTGCATATGAAGATCTTTACTTTGAAGTTGCTGCAAAAGAAAACTTTTCAAAACTGTAAAGAAGATTAATTAGCACAACATTACACATACTCTTTTTTATTGAGACAATTTGATTGTTGTGCAAACATCTAACTAATCAGTGGGTGAAATCGTAAAATAAACCAATGCGAGCAAATAACGGTGAAGTCATAGTAACAGTTAATATGCTAGTTAAGTGGAGTTTTGTCTTGTTTCTTTGTAAACAGCTGGTATGTGCTACAGGATTGTTCTCAGCGACTGAAGGCCTCACCAACTGGAGTCTGTAGTAGTCTCTGTCTGACGGTGCTGATGTGTATACTAGGACTAGAGATACTGGTAAGCTATCACAACTTTAATGTCATTTGATTTGTGAATTAAAAACCAATACTTAACCCTTTTACCACTGTAGACCATAATGGACTCATCCAACTCAATGCATGGAAGAGTTTACTGAAGATACATAGGGGTGAAAGGGTTAAAGACCATCGTTCATGTAGCTAAACATAACTTCAGGTACATGTGCTGCGACAAACCAATATGAATTCAACTTTTTCTGTAGGACCCATATTTGTTGTATCCTTGGTCAAGATGTTTAACCCTTTCACCCCTCTGTAACTTTAGTAGACTCTACCATGTATTGATCTGGATGAGTCCATTATGGTCTACAGAGGTGAAAGGGTTAACAGATTCTCTGATTATCCTGTTCACCCTGCTGCACAATTGCATACTATCACACTAGGAAGTCATTCTGCTCAGAGGACTTCTCATTATAGGGCAGAGAATTCAAAGAAAAATGTAGAGCTTTATATGCCACTAAGCTTGAAAAGATTATCTTTTTTGTATTGCAGGTCGCTGGCTTTTTCTACCGTGAGTTACTGTCGGTGGGACTTGTGTGTATGGGAGTGCTACCTCTGTTGTCTTCATCCCAGAGTTCAGACAGGGTGAGTTATCGTACATCATATATAACTTTAATATACATTTATTTGTAAGTCATAGTGTCAATAATTGGCTATAGGAGTTGTCGCCCTTTGCTTTACTTTCATTATTAAATGGTTAAAATGTTTGAATTTTATTTCTTTGCAAATCCTAACAATATTTATTTCTTTATTTTACCATAAATCTTTACACATTTTTAGCTTTTGATTTGTCTTTGATACACACTGATATATTTGATCTGAAGTTAATGTTAAGAATATTTTTTGTGTAGCAATGAAATTGTTGCTAGGATTTTATTAATTGTTTTACAGGTGATACGTTTTGGATGGGCGGTCAGCAGCCTCACTCTGGCGATATTTCCCTTGATGCCTGTCGTTGGTCGTGAAACTAACTACCTACTTGTGTAAGTGTCTTTGTTTGAAAAAAAATTGTTTTGAGACTTAGAAATAGTTACTTCAGCCTGATTTTTGTATTTACATCTATCGATCATCATACCAACAAAGCTTTCATATTTTTAGAAATGAACCTTGGTTATAGTATAGTGGCAGCTCTACAGTAACAAGGTTTCCAATATTGGTTCGATTACATGTAACAGTACAATTATATAGGAATACAGTGTTTATTTGAGCAATGAGTTTAGTGTGTGGAATGAAAAATTACCATGTGAAAATAGAGGGGGGATAACTCCTACAAGTTTCCTACCGTTACTCGCACATTTTGTCTGAATTGTTTTTTCAACCTGTTGCTGTTAACTCAAAGTTGCCCTTTAAAATCAACAGTTTTATATTATTGTGTTACTACAGGCAGCAATATCCTTGATTGATTTGGAACTTTTTCTCAAAAGTCAATATTATAGTTATACCTCACAAATAGTGACATTTCTGAAGTTATGATGCCCTTAATCCTTTCACCACTGTAGACAAAATTGGACCGATCCATATCAATGCATGGTAGAGTCTACTAAAGTTACATAGGGTTGAAAGGGTTAAGTAGATACTTAAGTGTTGTAAAACTAGTTTGTACTTGTTAAGAATTGTTTTTTATGCATTGTTGGTTGTTTGCAGGGGAGGTGCAGGCATGCTTGCCATATGTACAGGTGTTCTAGCCATACACAGGTAAGTCAGTGTATCAAGGTAGACCTTCATTTTTACATTACCTTTGGCATTTATCTGACTACAAGATCTCATTCTGTTTAAGTATATATTTTTCCCTATTGTAGTTCCAAATCTGTTTCATTTCCAATTAATCTTTCAAGATTTAATATTAAATTGTTATATCATTGTAGATTACAGCATTCCAGCTCACCTAGTCAGCATATCTTCAGTATAAACTGGATACAGGTATGTTAGACTGACCTTGCCTAGTCATATGTAGATTATAGTTTTTAAACATGATTTATATATCAGATACATGTAAGATATCAAAATTATTTTATTATTAAAATTCATAATTAATATCTAAACATGAAAATTCTTTTGATTTAATCTAAGTCTGATCAATTGGCTTGTGACATTGAGCCCCAGGCTGTTTGGGACTATGACTTTGGGGCAATGTTGGGGTGACAATGGGGTAATGTTAACATGATATTTGGGCCAGCATGACGTTATGTTTGGGCCAAACTGTCCTTTGGGGCCAAGCTGACATTAATTTTGGGACAACCTGACATGACTTTGTGTCTAAAATGGCATTATTTTGGGGACAGCCTGATTTGACTTTGGGGCCAGGCTGTCTTAACCTAAGTATTTATGATGTTGCTGTTTACTTACAGATTGCCCTAACAGCAATGTCTGTGTATATAGTCATGTCTACCTCCTCCAGTATACAGAGAAAACAGGGGCTTCCTGTCATCAACCAGGTCTTTAGCTGGCTTATATTAGGTAAGCAACTTCAAAAGTTCAAGTAAACAAAAATTTCCACAACGTTTTGTTTTATAAATTGTTTTGCTGAAGAAATTCACCATCAATTATTAAAATGAAATCTGAAATCTTAAAATTGGCTTATGGAGCGAACACTGCTGCTTTACCCAAGTCTGTTGCATTGAAGATGATAAAAGCAATACTGCAATCTCTAGAAAATATTCGCTGAAGATGGTATACTAACTTTTTGATAAAGGTGTGTTATTTTTACAGGTGTTTCATTAGTGATACCCATGTTGTCGGGAACAGGTGTGCTACATCGAGTATTGACCATCACACTAGCCTACCTTCCCCTGTACCTGCTCCTCAGCATCTCGTATCCTTACCATGTATTGTTTCATAATACTTAACGAAAAGTAAATTTTGTTGGAAAAAGGTAATTACAGATATTAAAGTTTCAATTTATGGAGTTTTGATAAAAATCTGTTTACTTAATGAGTGTATTTGCAATTCCCTGGATCAATGATAATATGAGCTACATGTACCATATAAGCCATGATCTCATGAGCTTAATTATCTATAGAATACAGTAATTTAATATTTACCTGTAATCGTTTTTTAAGGCTTCTGTATTAGGGCTGAAATAACAATATGTAGTGTAGCTGGTATTGATGAGCTGTCATGTTGTGTCAGAGTTTTCTTTAACCAGACATCAGTCATGAGGGACTCTTTGTAATCACTCTCTGCTACCTGTTATATTTCTGGTTACAACTGGAAGAAGATACAAGTAGTCAAATGACCGGGCATATGAAACAGGTTTGTACAATCGTGTGTCGAAAGGGGAATATGTTTGTACAGTTTGTATGGAAAATGAAATAGGTTTTACAACTGTGTGACTTAACAGGCTTATTATACAACTGTGTGACTAAAAAGGCTTATTATACAACTGTGTGACTAAACAGGCTTATTATACAACTGTGTGACTAAACAGGCTTATTATATAACTGTGTGGAAAAGAAGTGAACCAGGTTTGTAAAATTTTGTGTGAAACAGGGTTGCACACCTGTGTGTGATGAAACAGGTTTTTACAATTGTGTGTAGTGAAACAGGATTTTACAATTGTGTGTGGTGAAACAGGTTTTTACAATTGTGTGTGGTGAAACAGGTTTTTACAATTGTGTGTGGTGAAACAGATTTTTACAATTGTGTGTGGTGAAACAAGGTTGTACTAGTATGCGTCAGAAGTATAGATTGACAGTTTGTAACATATGTTTTTATATATGTTTTACACACAGTGTTGAGGTAGTATATAACTTATAGTTTATAAAAAATACATTTTGGTAATGAAAAATGAATAAATCCTGTTAATCTACCTTCTTGAATTAGAAGCGTCACGACAGCTAAGCAGTCATAATTAGCCACTGGACTTAGAGGATGTACATTTGATCTTCTCACTCATCCGGTCTGTGTTAGCTGCCTTCCTGTCCCCCTTATACATATGTATATGAATGTTGTGAGACAGTTAAAGTAATCATTAATGATACCCAGTTAAACCGAGTTAAACGCTTAAAAAAAACACGAAGTTCAGAATGTTGCAAAGTGTGAAAACAATATCTATTTTTTTCTTTTACTTCATATGATGAAACTGATTTATTTGGGAGCAGTAAAAATAGACATGTATGGGCTGGATGACAAGTACTGAATTGACACAGAGTTATTTTTGTTACAGGTCGGATCTATAGACTTTGTCTCCCCATTAATGTCAGAAATAAAACTACAACAACGCTACCTCCAGTTGGAAGATGTCCGCAGAGCTTTTTATTTTGTATCTTTTTACAATCGTGGCAAAACTGCATAAACAACTACTTGCATGAAAAAGCGATTTCTTATTGATGTCGTTTAGTGTGGTTACTCAGGAAGGCCATGATTCCAGATTTTTATCTGAAAATAACTTAAGTTTCCTTTAAAACAAATTGTGTTGAAAGGATGTTTGATTTTTTAGAATTCATTTGATAATTTTGAAGAGTTCAAAGTTGCTGCGTTAGAATGGGTGTTGCTCTGGCGATGTGTGAACTTGTTCTCACTGCTGGTCCGTGTGATTGGTTCACCACATAACATTGCCGACAAACTAATTTGCTAGAGAAACATGAAAGCAGTTTATTAATTGATTTTGCAATTTAAATGATTAGATGTTTCCTTAATCAACAAGGTTTTCCTCATGCTGACAGGATTTTTCGGTACTGGGAATATTGCCAGTATCAATAGGTAAGTACATGTATGGCTATATCACCTATACTGTCATTTTGTTGTATTTTCTGCAACAAAACAAAATACAAGTCTGTTGTGATGAACATTCTCTTTAATTTGGTAATACATTGTACTTTACATTTAACTTTACATGAAAGTTAATTGGATAATACAGAAATAGAAATAGGATGATAAATGCCATTTCAGGTATAATGAGAGGACTTTTCGACAGTGTGTTTTGTGTGTTTGGTGTGTTTGCGGTTTGCATACGAAACATTCTTGGCTATGTGTTCAACATAAAGTAAATCAATTTGTATTAATCTTCCTCTCATAAAGGTTTTGTGAAATTCTCCAGTCTGACTGGTCCATCTAGTGTCACGTACATATAGCAACATGAAACATGGTTCGCTTCAGAGCGCGTTTTTCTTTTCATGTTATCTATTTGTCAAATCGTCAGTAATTAGAACACGTCAGGACTGGCAATGTTGATTGCTTTTTACGGAATAATTTACAGTGTAACTCTATGTAACAAACAGGTTAAATCAATAGAAACATTCCTCACAAGACCTCTTGATGAAAATATACAACCATGATAAGAAACAGGGACGGTTTCCGTTATAACCGGGCTGTAGTTTTTGCCTGATAACTAAATACACTTCATTCCTTGTGTAATGAGAGCTGCATGGTTTTGTGCGTTAAATCTTGAAGTGAAATCGTGTATAATTTCTTGAGGTGGGCAAGTTATACATCATGCTAAAGCTGCCAAGTCTGTGGACTAAGATGTCAGAATGTGCATTTTATTACAGTTTTCGGCAGTTCTCAGTGGTATCATCACTCCAATAGATTAGTTCATCATGATTTTGTCCAAACCGTTGTCAGTTTGGTATTTCCGTTTCTTGAAAGCAATTTCTTCTCTATTTCAATTTAAACACAGTTCAAAAATTCTTGCACGAAACAAACAGCTGATATATCTTGAATATAGGGTACATACATTTTCTTCAGTATGGGCATGTACAAATGTTTATACACAAAAATGCAAAATATAACATGGTAAATTCAGTTAAAGAACTTTGATTATGTGATGCAAATTGTTGCACATCTGTATTGCTTGAACATGTTGAGTGTAGTTATAAATTAGATAAAAGGTTAATCTACTTACGTTACTATACTAACTATATTAACTTATGTAGGATTTCACCGTTCTCTCCGACTTGTGCTACAGTGGGTGTTGTATTTACGATACATACAGGGGTGTTTAGGTCCCTCCTTGTGCTAATCCTTCGTTGGGTTTCCTGAAATGACTTGCAGTACAGTAAAACCTTTGAACCGAAGATAATATAACGAACATGTGTCGGTAGCCATACTCACATTTTAAAACAAATCAAGAATACTATTACCTTGACATAATAATACGCAGTAAACATGAAATAATCTAAGGGATTGAACGACATTTAAGTACGTAGAAGGTTACGTACAAATTGCATGAAACTAGAGGTACATGTTAATTTTTATATATGTTTGTAATATTAAAAAGTTTTAGTTATTAGTGAACAAATTAGTTTTCTAATTTCTATGACGGTCTCGCGTTATGTGAGACGAGAGGAGTTAAATGACACTGATCCAGTTAGACCTATGAACGTAATTTCTTGGTGGAGTGGTTATATGGGGACTTGCACCGTACATAAAGACCACATTTGATTGTAAAGCCATACACTCCTCCGCACTTTTGTTTAGTTCCTTGCAGTATAAGAGGATCAGATAAACATAGATATGCTTTTTTCGACATTTATAGTGTTTTTTAAAACAGAATTTGTATATTCCTGTTTCTTATACAACGGTATCGCTAATTGAAATGAACATCAACTTCACTGCGAATAAAACCTATGTCAGCTCTAATTATAGACATCAGCTGTTCTTTTACGGTCCGCTCTGCTTTTTTTTGTATTCACAACTTCACGTCGAAATTAACGTCAAGGTGAGTAGTCCAATGGGACCTTATCTTAGTACCCAGATAAGATAATAGCACCTACATGTATGTATATCTAGACCGACAATAATGATAACCACGCCTTGATCAGTGTACCTAAGTCACCAGACATTCGATTTCCAGCAGCTCATCATGTGATATACATGTCGTTTTACGATAGTCTGACTACCATGATAGGCATTATGGAAACTTAAAATTGATCGGAAATACCTGTAAGTGTAATTCATTTTATAGCAAAACATCCTATCAAAGCTTCCAAGGCTGTGATGGTTTTAATGTAGTTTAAATCTATGAAAGAGATCCTGTTTTGAACGCACAATCTCGAACATTATCATTGCGACATCACATTCAGCACGTGATCTCGATGCTGCTATAACTTCATAAACATATTTACTTCCCATTGTGGCTTTTACAAAATGTTTTATTTTTATGAGCTGACTCTCAGCTCTAGTGTAAATAGAAGCTTATAAACGTTGGGCGTGGCAATGAGTATATGTTATGAAGGTGTACTGCTGTAAATATATTCTTATTTTTAATGCGTCCACACACTGAGCAGTTCAAAACATGTAAATTCCGACATTATTGAAATAAAATAGTATACCCATGATGCTATCTTCAACATTATCGCTAAACTGACTCACGATCGGTAATTATATGGACGTACTAGGCCGTTTTATAAAAATGATATTGAGTGTACAGAAAACAACTTAAAATAAAACAAAATCACGTTTGTAGATACATTTTAGTGTTTGTTCTTGTGTCAATTCAGTAGTAGTAGGTGATAGTTTTCGAACACACCTTGATTTAAGTCTGATCAACTCTACCACACGTTTTATATATATATTATTTTTTATTATTTGTAGTACTTTCCTTTTGGCTGCTTTGCTATTTACCATCTTTTGCTAATTATATGTTACATTAACTTATTTAAGTTTTTAAGATAACCTCTTTACTTTTAAAACATATAATTACAACAATGTGCTTATTTATCGACATATTGTTTTTACTTCTACTCACAGAAAGTTTGTATTGTTAAAAAATAACTTACAATGTTGGCCAAATATTCATAACATTATTGAATAAAATCATTACCAGAGAGATTCAATTTAATTCCACAAATAATCAATGTGTATTGATAAGAATATACAGACAAAATATCATTGAAATTAGTTTGTAATGTATTGAATTAGTAACGTCAACTATTTAGGTAACGAATTGTGTCTGCCTCCGAAATTGCAAGCCTTTGGTAATAGCACATTTGTTGGAAACATGTTACGGTTAAACAATATTATGTACGCATATTTATCAATAAATAAAAAGTAAAAATGTCGAAACCCATATGGTCCCCATCGTGGGTGAGTCCGATTGAAGATGCTATTTTCGTAAACTATGTGTTGTAATGAAGTTAAATAATGCATGTGAATATATTTCCGTTTTATCTGTTTCCAGCTTTGAACCTGCATCAGTGTACTGTTTTTTGACAGTCTTCAGTCCGTTCACCATGGGAACTCTTATGATGTTAAAGGTAATGATGTCTTGCTCTTATTTACAAATCATTAGTTTAATAGTTGTTTGCTTATTGACTGCCGTTTCAAGATATTTTGTATATTATGTAATACACAAATCACATTGTTGGAACTTACTAATAAAACAACAACATGTCATTATTTGGCAGATTTCATTATATTTTGTAATTGTATGGAATATCATATTTTGATTTTTAGCTCACCTGGCCCGAAGGGCCAAGTGAGCTTATGCCGTGGTGCGGCGTCTGTCGTCCGTACGTCCGTCGTCCGGCGTCAATATTTTACTTTAAACAACTTCTTCTCAATAACCAGAAGGCCAAGGGTACTCATATCGTGCATGTAACATACTTGGATGAATGGTTACCAAGTTTGTTCAAATGAAAGACATTGCCTCACTTTCAAGGTCACAAAGGTCAAATATGTTAAAAACTTCAAACGACTTCTCAATAACCAAAAGGCCCAGGGTACTGATATTGGGCCTGTAGCAGGCAGGGATGTAGGGCTACCAAGTTTGTTCAAATGAATGACCTTGACCCACTTTCAAGGTTACAGGGGTCAAATGTCTTAAAATCTTCAAACAACTTCTTCTCAATAAACGAAAGGCCCAGGGTACTGATATTGGGCCTGTAGCAGGCAGGGATGTAGGGCTACCAAGTTTGTTCAAATGAATGACCTTGACCCACTTTCAAGGTTACAGGGGTCAAATGTCTTAAAATCTTCAAACAATCTCTTCTCAATAACCGAAAGGCCCAGGGTACTGAAACTGGGCCTGTAGCATGCTTGGATAAAGGGCTAATAACTTTGTTCAAATGAATGACCTCGACCCACTTTCAAGGTCACAGGGGTCAAATATGTCAAAATGTTCAAACGACTTCTGCTCAATAACCAAAAGGCCCAGGTTACTGATAGTGGGCCTGTAGTATGCTGGGATTAAGGGCTACCAAGTTTGTTCAAATGCATGACCTTGACCAACTTTCAAGGTCACATGGGTCAAATGTCTTAAAATCTTCAAACAACTTCTCAATAACCAAAAAGCCCAGGGTACTGAAATTGGGCCTGTAGCATGCTGGGATGAAGGACTACCAAGTTTGTTCAAATGAATGACCTTGACCCACTTTCAACCTAATGTCGACAATCAAGGTCATAGGCGTCATATGTTTAAATCTTTTAATAGGTTCTTATGAAACAAACACTGATATTCTGCCTGTAGCTGTATTTTAAGATAACAAGTGTGATATTAATACGAAGGTGAGCGATGCAGGCCCATTGGGCCTCTTGTTTAATCAGTTGGTGCTGAGCTATACATTTCAGTAACCAGCTATTGTTTTGTTACTAAATTTAATATTCGATGTTTCTGTGCGGTTAAAGCATCAATATTGCATCGTTTTATATTCTTTTTGCTAAATATTTAACACTGAAATGTTTCCATGATCGTCATTTCTTTCTAACATTTTACAGTTAATGCTATACCAAGTGATGATTAAACATGTTCGCATCGTACTGATGGGCTTGGTTACAACATCTGGAATGATTCAGAAGAATTTCAAATTCACTTTTTGTATGTTAACTGGCTAGGGTGTTTTCCTCTCTTTGTCAGAAGTTATTACCCTTCCTCCTGATGAACGTTACGTACACCGTACGTTTACAATCGATAAGTCATTGCCCAGTTTTGTTAGAGCAGAAAATACACTAAACATATACAATGTACTTATTCCCAGCTTTATTGTAATAACAGGTCAATAAACACAACGGAAAGAAATTGTATGCACATTTAATCGTGACTTTAACCAAATTCACACGTGCAGTACACATCCAAGACGGGTTTATGCATGTACATCTTCATTAACACCTGCTCCTATCCCCGACATATATCCTGCAATTCCTTTTAAATTTGTTAATATTTGGTAATACTACAGCTTTTACATTGACGTCCCATTTTCTTGCGTGAAAAAAATGGTTACTTTGATAAATGTTCAATATTTGGTTGGAAATAGAATCATGATTTTAACACGATACTACTGGTAACGGACTCCTCTGTCTTAAACCACAGGTGAACAGTATTTAACCTTAAATTTATACGGTATATCCACAAACAAATTTATACATTTATACGAAACGATTAAATCATTTTTGAACACTTCGATACATTTTTCAAGAAATTGTATGGATTGTTTAGTAATACAGTTGTATTTCCTATTAATTTATAACCAAAACGGCACCCAAAGCAAGAAAAATGCTCGTTTCGCTGAAGTAAAAGAGTTTAGACTAGGAACCGTCATTATAACGTTTGTTGTAACAAACCGCACTGTTGACCAGAATTGACCAGAATACTGTGACGACTACCAAATTTGTTCTTAACTTTTAGGCTTTATTTAGGTAGTCGCCCGTCCTTAAACAATTATTGTTATCGCTATTTCTCAATAAGCGCAGGACAAGTCTTGTATGTAGGTTCCCCTTGGTCCTTTATTGTTGTGTTCCATTTCGAGTCTGATCAGAATAGGTAGACTGCAGGGTGGTCATCTTTGATTTTGACATTTCAATTATGTTATCACTATTTCTGAAGAAACACTGGACAATAAGAGCGAAATCACACTCGGTTTCAAATTGCTGAAATGAGTTAAAGTGGAAGTAAGACGGATATGGGAGGTGACCAGTCAAAAAGTGAATTTCTATTCACTGCATTATATACACCTTCTTTTCAGGTTAGATACTGATTAAGCTACTTTAAAATCTGTGGTAATTTTGGTACATTTTTGCTGCATACACGAAGAATTTTACTGAACTGTATTCTCGATAACATTTTGTAAGAAAATCTTTCCAGATAATAGGAAAACGATGGAGTTCATATTTGTCGTTGAAGGTTCTTCTAAATGTTGTTATTAATATACTTCACGAGTATGGTTTTCAACGATAGGAAAAACATTAATAGGAAACGAAACCTTTAAATATCCTGTATGTATTTTAGTCCTGTTTATATTGATTCATTTTTGAGAACATTAAAGGTAAATGTCCAAAATACACCTTTTACATACAGTAATCATTTTCCACTGACACAATATGTGTGATATCTTACCTAAAAGTACACTATTATAGAATTGTTTATGGTGCCATAAAGAAAGTCAGGACACGTTTAACTCCATTTCCCAATGTTACACTATTTATGATGTATAAGATGTATCCCGCGTTAGAGTTCTGGAGAATATTCACATACTGGCGACGCGAATTCTCCCCTGTAATCCAGATCCTGATGTCTCCAGCTGCTTTTTTCTTCTTTTTCATTTTTTAAAACATATCTTTAGATCGTAGTATTCATATCATGACACTAAGGAGACCTATTAAACTTATCTAATATTTGCCCTCCCAACATTTATTTTCCCTAGCGGTTGATAGGACATGTATATACCATTCCTTCTGGCGGTTTGCCTTTTTATTTAATCTCATGCTAAATTTAGATACAGAAACAAAAATGTAGTTGGGTGTTTATTTGATTGTAGAACTGTTTAATATTTTTACCACGGAGGCCAACGGATACATCTCGATTTATTTACACCTGCCTACCTATTGGCATAGTTTAACTATCATGAGACAAATTTACCTTTTCGCATCGTTAAGCCTTTGTAGAAATATTATTTCTTTGGTCGGATATGCACATTAATTTCAACACTGCTTCCGGGAATACACGTCATTTTCAACACTGCTTATAGTCAAGTTAGGATGTGGGAAAGGACCACGTTCAGTCTTGGATCAAGAGAAGACAACAAGGGGTCCAAGTGGTAAAGATGTTGAGTCCATGTTTGTCCATTTATTAGTGCAATTATTTATTTAACCTGAAACATAATAATAATTTTAATTTCTTCAGTAAAGTGACAGGGAGTTACATTTCTCTCTTTTAATCAAAATTTAACTAACAGAGGTAAAATATACACATGTATGCTATCCTTTTTGGGTTTGTCCGGGATTGGGAGTGTTTTCTAATAATTCATTCCATTTCTTCCAAGAATTTTCCATTTTTAAAGCAGTATCCACTCCTTTGCCTATAGAAATATATTTTTTCTGTAGTGATCTATAATAGCATTTTTTAAAGCATGAATTGATGGAGTTTGTTGCAAGCATCTTGATCTATAGATATACTGTTTCATTATTAGTAGTATAAGGTTATCAGTTGTATAGTAAGTACTTTTATAGTTATGCATGCCAAAAATGAAAGTTTCCTTATTAAAAGTAAATGGAATAGATAATGCGTCTAAAAAAAATTCTGGAAGAATGACTGTACTTTTTCACACTCCCATAGCATATGAACTATTGTTTCTATTTCTGTTTTACAAAAAAAGCAGTAAGGAGTTTCTACTAATCCTATCTTAAATATATGCGAATTGGTTGTTAAAATGTGATGATTTATTCTGTATTGTAACCAGTGTAACTTAGAATTTTTCGAAACTTGAAAGGGTGTTTTATATATACAATTCCATGTTTCATCATTTAGATTAAATATTTCATTCCATTTTATTTTACCTGTTGCTTTGATATTATTTTTGCAGAGTATTTTGTAGAAGTCCTTTGATCCTTTAATATTTTTAAAGAAAATTTCAAGATTAAGTGGAATAAAGGATAACTAACAACATCATTAACTATTTCCTTATGCCACAGATATTTCCTTACTGTTCTAACTATTCCTTCAAAGGTAAGAAAATTAGTTCTTAGGTCATGTTTCTCCATTAATTCCCGATAATTATAAAAAGTACTTGTTTTCGGGTCTTTTATTATATCATTGATAATAATTACTCCCTTCTTATACCATTCTTTATAAAATACAGTTCTATTTTCTATTGTTAAAAAATTATTATGCTAAATAGGTGTTTTCGGTATTGTCCTATTCCCATTTATCAACTTTTCTTCCTTATCATGGAGGGTTTTCCAAGAGTTTAGGACATCTTTCCAAAATGGATTCTTGCATTTTTTTTCACAAATATATAAGTATTCTGATCCACAGTTAGCCATA